CAGACCTTACGTTGCATTGACTTAATCCTTTATCCGGGACTGACCGCCCGGCAGATCCTCTCTTCACCATTCTCCCCGACTCTCTCCCACCTATTCTTACAGTTCCGATGCGTCAGAGGCATGGACAAACCATGAGTTGAGGCGGTCTGTGTGACCACATTTGAAACTGACTGACTACCGTGACAGACAGACAGACAGACAGACACGAATTGTGACACGATAGACAAGACCCAAGCGAATGACAAGGGCCATAGACGGCGGGGAGAACACGCAAATTCACGCTCTCTCAAGTAGGGTTTGAGGGATTCTCTTCCCCCCTTCCCCCCTTTTCCCCCAATCCGAATCCTTTTTCCCAGCTGAGTCGCTCAACGTACGTCCGTACGTACCATCGCATCATCCCACTCATCAATCGCAGCGATCTCATCTGACTCCTTCCTCTGAGTCATCGCATCACCGTCCGCGGCTTCATCTGTATTGTCTATCGCATCTCCGAGTGAGCAGAGTGGGCATGAGGAGTCTTTCCACGTCCACCCTCTGCCTGGCGCTCGCCGTCATGGGCCTCATCCTGCCATCCATCTCGGCAGTGCCATCGATATCGCTCATCCAACGGCGGCTGCAGCAAGAGGAGGAAGAAACCGAAGGCAGCAGCGAAGGCGACGCATCTGAAGTGTCAGGCGTCTTGCCTCCGCCGGACAGTGAGCAGGCGGAGGAGCCGTCGAGTGAGGACGCCGAGGACCCCTGCTCCCCTGACCCGTGTGGCGAATTCAGCACGTGAGAGCACGCCGGCTCGCCACATCATGATACCACACACACAGTGCCCACATTCTGTTTGTGATGTTGCAGGTGTGAGTATGACGAGTCAACGATGGAGCGAAGCTGTGTGTGCTGGGATGGCTACGTTCAACTAGGCGGCCCCATGGACGACTGCACCAAAGAGGAAACGTCGTCCACCGAGGAGGAGTCGTCGTCAGCCGAGGAGTCGTCGGCGGCTGAGGTGACAGCAGCCCCCGAGGGCTTCGGCCTCCCCCCCAGGCGGCGAAGGCGGCCAATCAACCGCGACACAGGCGAGGTGGTCTACCCCAGCAATGGCTATGGCTACGACACTGCACCCAACACCAACCCCTACCCCTCCTACAGCCAGGACCGGAGTGCGTGGACAGGCGGCCATCAGACAGTGGGAGGAGGGGACCTCACTGCCGACGAGCCCTACAGTGGTGCGCCATCGTACGCTTCGCCATCATACGGTGGGCCATCAGCTGCAGGCGACTATGGTGGTGGCTTTGGTGCCGATGGCTTCGCCCCGCCGTTCCCTTCGCCTCCCGGGATGGGCGATGGTGGGCCGGCGGGCTTCTTCTGCAGCCTCCTCTGGTTCCTGCCCGGCTGCTAAGTGCAGTGTGGGTGCCTGGGGCTGATCTGAATGTGTATAGAGCAAGAACAGTAGTTTTTTGTAGACGGGCTCATGGGGTGGACGGATGGGTGAATGGACGTGGCCGCCTCGGTTGTTTTTCAAGTGAGCGCGTGTGTCCATTCCCCGTCGCCATTCGCTGACTCACTGACGCACAGGTGCATTTGGAGGGACCCTGTCCATACTGAATGGATGTTTTGTTCTTTTGTAAACCAGCCATTGTCTATAATACACATGCGTGACTCGTGGCAGTGAGAATGACACTTCTTGAGAATCAATCGCTGCCAGCATTCGCAGACAAAATGCCCGGTGGCCCTAAAACACACAGCCTGACTTGTTCTACCCCATAAAGGCACAAAACCCACCAGAAAGTCATTCTCCCGGGCACGCACACACACACACACACACGCACACAGCCATCTAGGTCGCGATGCCCTTCTCGATTGCTGATTCCACGGCAAAGGGACACTCCATGCAGTCTGTGGTACCCTGTGCGTGGTTTCACAGACAGCATAGTGAGACAGGACATACTCATCACCCATCCGTGTGTGTGTCTACCTACCTGGGAGAATATCAGTTGAAACGATCTCCACTTAGCGCAAGGCCCCACAGGGTCGTCGGGCGACTGAAGGTCATACAGCATCGCCAGAAACTCGGCTTCGCTCCACGGTTGAACTTTCGAAACCTGCATATGCAACATACAACAACAGGAGAACAAGTAAGGCGGGGTAATGGAGGCACACAAGACACGGGCGACAGACACAGAGACATAGACAGACAGACCCGATGCTTGTCGGCTGACCTCATCGTAGCACAGCAGCTTATCGCCATTGGCGTCGATGATTAAGAAGATCTGGTTGTTGTCGGCGCACGTGGTCCCACAGTGACTCGACCCAGTCTGAGGCGCTCCACCACACGGCTTCAGCCTGCATGGAGAAACGCAGAGACACACAGACAGGAAAGAGAGGCAGACATTACTATGTCATGTGTCTCGTAGGTCGGTTTACCATCGTCAGTTGTCTTACTTTTCAAGCACTTCCTTGAAGTTCGGCGGGTGTGAGGGGTCTTGCAGGAAGCCCGTGTTGCAGAGTGGATTGAAGAGCAGGCGGAACACATGCAGCTCCTTCAGGTCGGCGACACACGTCGGGATGCTTGTGAAGGCTTGTCCGCTCATGTCAAGCCACGACAGGTCTTTGAGGGAGCAGATAGACTCGGGCATCTCAGTCAGCGCACCGATGGCGAATACTAACCCCCTCAGACGCGGCAGCCTCGAGAAGTCAGGGTTTTCCCACGTGGTGAAAGCCTGCAAGGGAGAGACAGGCGATTCTTGTCCGGGAGACACGCATCTGCATCTCTATCGTGTGTATGTGTGTCTCTGTGTATGTTGTCGTCCTCTCAACTCACCATGCCTGTCCACACGATCTCGACTAAGAAGGGCTGCTTTGTCAAGTCTGGGACCTATACAAGGAATTAATCATAAAGCTACCATCTGAGCTAGTAAACACTTCTTTGATTCCCGCTACCGTAGTAGAGCGGGGCGGTGGTGTCTCCTCAGCACCGAACGCGTATATGGTGAGCCCCTCGAGTGACTCAAAGCTATTGAGGCCTTCTACGACCGTGTGGAACATCTCCCCCTTACTCCGGGGCTTGTCCAGCCGCGTCCCATCCACGGGGTTTAGCTGAAGGTCCACAATGAAATATCTGCAGCCAGCATGTTGCCGTCGGCAAGGACGGGGGCCTACGTGAAGTCGTTGTGTGCGTATACCTGCAGTCGCAGGGGCTGCTGCCCTTCATCGGTGGCCGTGTCTTGAGCACACAGTTGTGTTCCCAGGCGTCGATCCGCCGACAAAGGACAGCGCTGCGTATCAGCTGGGTGACTTGGAAGATGAAGAGCCCCAGCAGAAAGACAGACAGTGCCGCAGTCACCACGCGAAGTCCCCTGAATGAAGGGGAACGGAAACGTCCCAGCACAGAACATTGCGCGTGTGTAGTCAAGTGAGTACTTTTCCACGCGCAGCATGGTCACTTCAGCAGACGTCTGGCGTTGTTTGTCCTCGTGGAAGGAAACCAGGTTGCTCGACCGACGAGACTCCCCCGCCCCAGCCACCGACACGTGACTCTCGGGCAGCTGGTCCACAACATTCGCCACCGACTGCCTCTCACTTTTCGGGATTGCATCACTGTCAATGTCTGCCGACTTGATAGACGCGATTGACACTCGTCTCTGTCGCAACGGAGAGGCGGGCTCTGCCGGACCAAACAAAGTGGAAAATTCGATTGCCCGGAACTTCTCGTCAGCCCCGTCGGCGAACAGGTCTGTGTCGGGAAGGATGACGCCCTTCTCCATGATGGACGGGCGTCTTTCGCGCATCTTCTCCTCTATCTCGCCTCTTGCGTAGGAGCTGAGGAAGCCCTCCTGCAGTGCACCACGGCAACCATAGCATCCCATCCAATCGAGACGGCTTGTGGTCGACTGTTGCTTACTGACCAGGTCCATAAGTCCATTCAGCTGTCCACGCACATTTCCCACCGACCGCCTGACCGAGGCTTCAGCGTCTCCAAGTGACGGCTGCACAGATGAGGTTGGAGAGACACACACGCATACATGAGTATTTCTGCTGTACCATTCTCTGCGGAAACTCGTCAGGAGACCCGCTATTTGACGCCGACTGCCCTGCCGCCTCAGGCGTGGAACGTGTGGTGTCAGCAGCCTGCGTGCTCGGGGCCGCCGGGTCCGCCGCACCAGTCGCTTTGCCGATTGGCAGGGACACCGGATGCTTGTGCTGCACTAACGCGTCAGGTGATAGGACGGTGGCGACGCTGATACGGTGCTTTTCCTTGACAGCCTTGTTGTGTTTCTGCCAGTCGTGGAAGGACTTGAGCTTTAGCAGATTGTCGAGGGCCTTCAGCTCGTGCACAGCGAGGAACTGCAGGAGTGCACACCAAAGTCACAGGCCGTGTCTCAGATCAGGACACATTTACCAACGGCATAAAGGAAGTGAAAAAGTCGACGGCGCTCCTCGATTGGACGCTGCAGAAGCAGCAAAGATGGCAGATGCATTGAAGCCTGTCAATCACATCGCGGCGGACACTCACACGAGGAGCGATCCCAATCCGATTTGGCCAGTGGTGAGGATGGCTGAGACGATGAGCAGCGAGTGGCTGATGTACAGCATGTTGGCCGTCAGCGATAGGATCACGGCAAGACCCCGCTTCTTGAAGATGAATGTGCCACAGAACACCACAGAATGAAAGCAAAGAATTCTGATTGTAACATATAACGGGAAGTATGTCCCAAGGAAGAGTCAGTCTTCGTCTTGTTTGTCGTACGCTGAGAGGACGACGTGTGTGGGCCAGTCGAGTGCCGGCACGTGGCTCCAGGTCAAAACATCCCAGCCCCCGTACAAAAGACACCGCCGCGATTGGAGAATGATGTCGGCGAAGTCATCCTGAGCAATTGGTCGTTTGCATCCTTGACGTCAACAATGCGAGTCAATCTTATTTTACCGCGAAATGCAAAATCCAAAACACAATTCCTACACAGACAGACGGACAGACAGACGGAAACATCGACAACGGGGAGAAGCAGGAAGCAGTGACTGTCCACAGGATTCGACTGCTGTTGTTGTTGGAGTCGACTACTGACCAGTGAATCCAAGGTACTCGTTTCTTCGATATCGGAAAAGAAAAAGTTAGGAAGAGAGACACAGAGACAGACGAGTGAGGATACATTTATAGAGGTAGCGATGAAAACACTCGATACACTCATGACATATGTACCTGATCTTGGCGATAATGAACCTGACTCGGCTCATGAAGGTCTTCTTTTCAGACGATGGGTCCACTGCTGAATGCTGTCCCCGGATGCCAGCACCAATGTACTGTCGCAACGTCCTGTTGTGGAAGGCGATGAGAGTCGGCCGCCAAAAAAGTGTAACAAGCACAAACTCTTGCAGTGTGAAGAAGGCGAAGAGGGCCCACACCTGGCAACGGCGAAACAGCATTCATGTAAGCAGCGCGAGTACCCTGCGCCTCACGGATCGTGCTTACGACGCTGAGGACGATCTTGTCAAACCTAGCCTTCTGCCACGTGTAGTTGTCTGATGGCACACACGTGAATGAGCTCACAGTCCTGATTCCAATGATTCTCGTCTCACCGTGTGGTGTAGTCAGGTCGTCAACAAACTCGTTTATTGATGAATACTTCTCAGTGCCGTCCTCATGCAAATCTCCTGCACACGAGGGAGTCGACCATTGACAACGTACCGGTTATCACGTGTCCCTTCCTTCTTGTCCCTCACCGTAGTAGATGAACACCTGTGCATAGAAGAGGAGAGACATGCAATCACCAGAATGGTGCACGCGTCATTGATGTGAGTATGGAAGACCTTCTTCAGTTGTTCCGCCATGCAGTAAGTGCCAGCAAGAACGGCTACCAGCAACAGTGCGCCCCAGATGAGCCAATTGACAGGGCTAGTCACGAGCCCGAATCGAACGGTGTCCAGCCCCAGCCGTTCCCATCTCGCCCTGGCTTCCACACTCTCGCGCCTCCACAGTGCTCCCGGCAGGGACACTGCCGCAGCCTTGTGGCTTGCAGACGGCTCGGCACCCTTGTGGCTTGCAGACGGCTCCGGGGCCTTGTCGACCTCCGTTGGCGGCACCTCACCCGTCTGGTCAATCTGTGGCTCTGCAGCCTGATGGACCTGCGAGTGATTGGTCGCCTGGTTGGTTTCCTCGAGTTGCTGGCCTCCAGCTCCAGACTCCATGGGCACATCTTCATCAGGAGGATCCGGCTCATCCTCATCGCACGGCCTTGGGGGAGACGGGGACGACATCGAGGAGGGACAGGGGGGAGAGAGAACGAAGAAGAAGGGGGAGGGAGGGGATACGGGCCCCACTGGGGCCTGATCGAATCGGATCGACAAGTGATGTCGTCGTTGGATGGTTTCTGGGCTCCTGCTCGCTTTGGAAGGACATTGGCGCCGAGTGCAGTGATCATCTTGCTCTGTGTTGCTTCAATGACGACTGCCGAGGCCTCAAAGAGCGGTAAGTGCTGTTTTAGCGGGCAGACGAGCAGCCAACAAAGGACAAGGCGCCCCAGTACACAGATCATACATCGTGACGTCCGTCTGTGCACTCAGACGATCACACAATTGTGGACCATTTGAGCGAGTTCTTCGTGTCCGTAAGGCTTCTTCGCCGCTTGAGCGGTGGCAGCTCCAACAGCGCTCAGCAGGAGCGCGAGTACAATGCCGTTCTCATACTATTTGCCATCATTATACTCCTGTCAATGGTCTTCCAGACCGGACAAGTAGGCGACTGACGGAATGGGTCTGTGACTCTTCTTTCTTGACGACCTCTACTGTTCATCTCTGTGTTTGCAGCACAAGATCATGATGATTGTGCAGAATCGGTCCGAAGGCAAGTCCGGCCTCATTCCTCTCGCGCGTCTCCTGCAGGCTCTCTACACCGAAATCGCGATTCTTGGCTTCGTCAGCCTGGTCCTTGTCATCGCCGTCTCGACTGGCGCCATGAAAGAGATATCGCAGGATTACTTCCAGAAGGACACCGAGCTGCAGCATTTGTTCGAGCAGGCGGACCTCCTGCTGTTCGAGGTGTGTATTCTCTTTATAATGTTGGTCGGCTACCTTATGTGGTTTGCGCGGCGCGCGGAGAAATTCTTCAAGAAGGCCGAAGGTCAGAGTTTGCGCGCGCTGCAAAAGAGGCTTAGCGAGGAAGGGAATGAGCAGAACCTGACGCCCGCAAAGAGAGCAGAGCTGAGGGCATATGTGGAATACAAATGCCTGAGATATGCATTCTTTCACCCGTAAGATTCTAACAAAGAAAGCTGGCACGCATGAACACCCATCACGCAGTGTCTGCGTGTCTCCAGATTCTCTCCATTCGCGAAAAATCCAAAGAACGTGTCGGCGGTCGGATTTCCCTTTCACACTTATCTGGTCAACTGCCTGACCGAGACACTGGTCCAGCTGATAGAGATCCCACCAATCTCGTGGTTGGTCGTCTTTGTCACCATCTGCGTTTTGAGGCCGGCCTTCGGCCTGCGGGGATCAGCTTTATATGGTCTCTTTCTCGCTATGTCTTGCTTCCTGGCCATCAGCCTGCACGTGCTGCTGTGGAAGGTGCATCTGATTTATAACGAGATTCTTCCTCCGCCTCCGCCGGACTTTGAGAAGATCCCTGCGCTAAACAGGATGGATCGGGTCCGCTTGTCCCTCACAAACATCACAAACGACTTCAGCAGGACCTTCTGGTCCACAGCGTGGGGCGGCACTCAGGCGAGCGCCACTCCACGGCCACCACCCAAGGGCGCCTATGAGACAGTAATGTCACCCTCGCGGCCCATGTCGCCTCCTTTGGCTGTTCCGGGTGGTCCCCCGCTAAGCAGGCTCGCCACTCAGCGCATCAATCCGTCCATCTACACCGGTTCGCCCGCAGCGTCCACCATGTTCGGCCAGTTCGATTCGCCCCAGGCCACGCCACGAGACACGACCATCAAGTTTTCCATTCCAGAGCAGCAGCCTAGCGCGGGTGAAGCGCAGCCGCCTCCGTCCAGCATGTGGCTGCCATGGTGGCCGTGGTGGGGCGCTGCCCCGTGGGTGGCGGCCGAGGCTGCCAAGGCTGAGGAAGCGGAGAGGCAAGAGGGCGAGGTCACACCACAGCCGGGGGGAGACGCTGCTGCAGCCACGGCCCCGTGGCTTCAGCCCTTTTACCCCATGATGCAGCCTCTGGACGAGGATGCGTTTTTCATTGCGAGGACACGCACCTTCGCCTCTGACGAATCGGACAACGATGGTGACAGAGACTCCGGCAAAAAGACAGTAATCCAGCGCATTCGGGCACTTTTCCGCCCCCGCAAGTCCCGTCCAGCGTCACCAAAAGAGCCATCGATGCCGCCTCTGGCGGCCAATGACACTATCAACACCAACAATACCAGTGACCTCGGCACCAGCACCATCACTGTCACCGACATCCCAGCCCCCACCAATCCCGATGGCCCTGGCAACCCCGCCGGCCAGCGCTCGGGGTTCTTACGGCTACCTCAGCGGCTGTCGCGCATTGGGAGGAGAAACAAGGGCAGCAAGGAGCGGGCAAGGCTCAGTGTTGTCGTTGAAGAGGACCGCAGCCACAGGAGCCCACCGGAGGGATCGAGTGTGCAGACCTCGGTGGCTTTCACTGAGCCCAAGCCCGACCTGACGCACGTGGAGCAGGGCGAAGAGACGCCCTACTTCCCCGGGAGACTGGCACAAGACGCGCTGGGTAGGTTCGGCTAGTCAGAACAGGACCATCCTATGCACTCCCGCTTGTGTGTGTGTGTACCTTGTGCAGCCAAGTCTCTCGACCAGTATATGAGGACTCAGCAGCGCACCACTCACTCCGAGCCTCGAGTGTCCCGGCAGAGAGACCCTTCACCCATGATCAAGGGCGAGGAGGCCCCGCCCACGCTGGCACAAGCCGCCGCAGCCCTCACGATTGGCAGTAATCGGCAAGACAGCGTGCACATCGGCAGCAAGAGCCCCTCTGGTCTGCCCCGCCCCAGTGGAGACACAACCCCCCTCAGCCAGGCGTCCCCCGTGGGTGTCCTCAACGAGGAAGACTTTTTTGCTCCAGCGAATGACAAGGACTGGGAGAGCCATATTGACGATGCCTCGGAACCAGACACGAGTCAGCGGCGTTCGTCTGTGTTTGCGCGCCTCTTCAAGTCACGCCATTCCACCCCTGGCCCGACGCCTGTCCCATCAAGACGGAAAGCCAAGAGCCTCCATGGGCTCGGAATGGCACGCACCCCTCCCGGAAACAGCGATCGGGACCTAGAGGCCGATTTCACTCCGAGAGAGCTGCCCCGTTTCCATGAGACGCCCCTTCATTCAGCGATCTTCCCATCCTGGGGCAAGCAGCGCGACGAGGAAAAGCAATCTGAAGAGCCCAAGACGGAGAGCAAGCCGAGAGGTGGGGGCTTCATGGCAGCTTTTGCTCGTGGTGGCCACTGGTCAACCGACTCAGCAGAAAAGCGCGCCAACACTGGCAAGAGCAGCAGAGCGGCCACGCGGAGCGAGCACTCGACACCGCACACGTCGCGACCTCCGTCTCGGAAGGGAACACAGAAGTCGACCACGCCGCGCATAGGAGAAGGGCTGGGGCTGGGCGACACACGGGGGAACAGGAGCCTGCTTGCGGGTCTGGGGCTGGAGAGCGGGTCGCTGTTCTCTGGAACGATTGACAGGACACCCATGCTGCGGCCGCGAGCCAGCATCAGTGTGCTGCCGATGGAGGGGACGGAGGTGTCGCTCGTTCCACCCATGTACCAGAAAGACCTGCAGGTGAGGGAGGGAGATGATTGATGAGACACGGAGATTCCCACCAGATGAGAGAGAGGTGGCAACACTCCGGCGATTCGGTGAAGACGTCCGTGTCGTGTCCTCTTGAATGCTGTCGATTCTTCAGATATCCAACAACCCCGTGTGGGTCTTCCTATGTGGCACATCGACTCCGACGGCGCAGGAGATCCTCTTCTGGTTCTGGCGAAGGGGGCCATGTAAGCCAGTGAGACGGAAATAATCATACTACTCCAACAGAACAGACAGACATCTGTACGGCTGCTCTCGACTTGCTGGGCAGATTTTCTTGAGCGGCTGACGCAGATCATTTTGTTGTACAGCGCCATGTTTGCGGCCGTGTTTTTGACAACGGTGGCGACGACCGACTGGAGCAAGCAGGAACCCATCAGCTATGTCCTGGCCGTTTTGTGCGCCATCCCCTTCGGCTACGGGGTAGCCCATACGCTGCCCCGCCTCATCTATCGCATGGTGGTCGTGAGCAAAGTCGAGCTCATGAAGGACTACCAGATGATGGACAAGACGCTTCAGGAGTTCATCAATTATCGGAACCGCTGGGCGGCGAAGATCGTCCTGAAGCTCAAAGCCAAGGCGTTTGCGTATGCGCTGAAGAAGGAGATGAGGGAAGAGGAGAAACGAAGTGAGCAAGCCAAAGACGCCACATGTCAGGCCTTCTCACCTGGATATATCTGTCGGTCGGTCGCGCAGATCAGATTTTTGCCATGTATAGGGAGCGTTTCGAGTCTCTCCCTCTGAGCCAAAAACGTCTGATCCGAAAGGTCTTCCGTCTGTTCGACTATGATAAGTCAGGCACCATAGAAAAAGCAGGTAGGTGCGGTGAATGAATGGCAATAGGACAGACACAGAGGCAATCCATCTGCTCACGCGAATGCCTCTCTCTGTCTCCCTCCCTCTGTTGCCTGCGTGTGAGACAGAGCTGATCAAGTGCCTCCTGGCACAGGGCTTGTCCAACACTGAGGGCAAGGCGGTCGCCGAAGACTGGTAAAGACACCTTCCCGCATCCCAAAATGGCCAATCACTGACTGTCTGTCTGTCTCTCACCTCGCTTCACTCAGGTTTGATATGTTTGACCTGGACAAGAGCGGATCGCTGAACGAGTCGGAGTTCGAGATGCTTATGGTGGTGCTCGAGGACCTCAGGGGCAAGGGCAGGCTCTACGACCGGACACAGGTCAACCTTTGGGTCGCTAGCTTCCTCGACAGAGAAGGTACATACGTCTGCCTCGGGTGGCGAAACCCGCTCCGAATATGCCGTTCTCGTCGCGTGTGGTATGTGCAGGTAAGGGTTATTTGACCCCCGAGGTGTTCCAGAAACGTCTCAAGGAGGCCCTCAATGTCAGACTCGACGACGAGGTGAGGGAGACAAGACAGCCATCAACGACCGACATGAACACATGTCTGTAAGCGTGAGTCTCGGCTTTTGTGTTCCGTTGCTTTGCTGGCTGACAGGTCCTCCAAGACATCTTCCGCACCATGTACCTGCACGACCTACACAGCACAGAAAAGGTCAGCCAGCCAGTCAGTCAGGCCCTCATGCATCTGTCTCCATTTCCCACTCTCACTCTCTGCCTCCATCTGCTCTTATCCGTCAGAGTGTGCGGAAGGTCCCTTTGCACTTATTTATGCGCTGGCTCGAGCAATTTGAGGAGGAAAACGAGGGCCGCTCCGGCCTGCAGCTGCAGCAGCCCTTCCTCACCCTCCCCGGCTTCCCCGGCAGACGTGGATCGGCCGTGCCCGGCTTCATGGCCACGGTGCCGCGATTCCCTCGATTCGCGTTCACGGCCAAGAAGAAGGAAGGCCAGAAGGACGAAGGCGGCACGGAAGAGGGCGGGCAGGGGGCCGCTGGCGCAAGAGGGCAACTCGATATTGCAACCCATCTGGGGCGGGGAGAGACAGTCAAGGTGAGAAGACGACTACAAAGACGAGACACGCTCTTCAGTGGCACTTGGCGTCTGTTTGTTCTTGCAGACCATCACGTCAGCAGTAAAGCAGGCGTCATCGATCAGCGAGCGGCCACAGATACCACTGGACGAAGGGGCGGAGCCGCCGGAGCATGCGGCCATTCCGCCCTACGCCATGGAGCAAATGTTCCCTTACCTGCCTTGGTGGTTTCAGCTGTGGGGAGCGGCGCCGCCACTGCCGCCACAAGTGCAAGTCACACCTGCTGCAGCAGATCCACCAGGCACTGGTGCATGATCGAATGTGCTGTTTGTGTGCTCGTGTCAATTGGCGTTTGCCAAATGAAGCTGGCCGTGTGATTGCTCCCTTTTGGTTTACATGTTTGTTCTTTTGCGCATTTGTTTGTTTGCTCATTTGTTCGTTGCTTCTCTCGGGACTCCTCCATTCATTTCAGACATGCCATTGCGCACGTGCTGGTGGTGGTTAAGGGTAAGATTGTCCGTGCTGTTTTTCCGCCGTGGTTAGCTCGCATCTCTTCGTTGGTTCTCCACTTAGAGATTCCCCCCGGCTGCACCCAGAGGTCCAGATCCAGCAGGCCAACGTGAGGCCAGCTTGTCACTGAAGCGCTCCTGAGCTCTCGTCGCCTGCAGGAGCAGGAGCAGCGAGGGCAGTACAGTATGAGTGACCTCGGCGAGGGCGACTACTTCGATGACGACGAGCTCTCCCACGGGGAGGCGCACGATGGCGAGGAGGACGAGAGCAAGCACTTCGTGAATGTGTGCTACGCCTTCCAGAACTACACGCTCGACGCCATGAGGGAGGTGGCCAGAATTGAGAAGCACTTCCACTCGGTGAGCGAGGACGACCAGGCCCTTCTCATCGAGAAGGTCGAGTCGAGGGTGCAGAAGATCAAACACGCCGTCCACGTCAACCAGCAGTTCCTCGACCTGCTCCTCCAGCCGCACAGGCCCGCCATTGATGGCCAGGTGGGAAGGAAAAGATCACACACGCACACAACACAGGCAGGCCAACCAACAGGCATTCGCCCGTGTGTGTGCGTGTGTGTTTCACACAGGAAGAGCTGATGGAGCCTCTTCTGGAGCCAGGCCAACAGGACGCAGCCACGGCCATTTCGTCAGAGCATCGCGAGGAAATATCCACGCCCAACCACACCGACACCACCACCCCAATGACCCCATCCGCCCCGCCGCCTCCCCCACCCCCTCCCAGCGACCCACCCCCATCTGCCGGGCAGCCCCCGCCCTCCAGGGCATCCCCCCCGGCTGCCCCCCCACCCAGTGGGCCGCCCGTCACATCACCAGATCAGGAGCAGCCACAGCACGAGTCGTCGACCTCCCCGTCGACGCCGGCCGGCCCGCCAGTGGGCAAGGGTAACGACAAGGACAAGGAGAAGGGTGGCGTGGGTGATGTGGTGGAGAGGGAGCGCGAGGCGTGTGAGTGCTGCCCGCCCCAGGACGGCCATGGCCAGCACGTGTCGCCGCTCGACCGGCTGGACCGCAGTGTGCGGCCGAGGCCGTCGCCACTCGTCATGGCCAGGAACATGACCAAGGTGGGTCGTGTGGTGGGTCGGTGCACGCTTGTTGATCTGTGTGGTTTGTATGTATGTGTGTGGTCGGGTCGGTCGCTCAATCAGGTGCGGAGTACTCTGCGTCAGTTTGTGCGCGACTGGAGCGACGAGGGCAAGGCTGAACGCGACGCCGCCTACGGCCCGCTGCTGGACGCACTGGACGAATTCCTACCACTGCAGGAGTTCGTGGCCAAACACGGCAAAGCACCCAGGTCTTGGCGGCACACGAGAAACGGACGGCGGGAGACAAAGACGACGGCCTGCCCATTGTGTGGTGTGGTGTGGTGTGGTGTGTGTTGTGTGTGTAGGGTGTTGTGTCCCGGGTCTGGTTTGGGTCGGTTGCCCTTCGAGGTGATCCGCAAGGGGTATGCCTGCCAGGGCAACGAGTTCTCGTACTTCATGCTGCTCGGTCGGTAGCCGCCCACACACACCACACAGAGACAGAGACAATTGTTCCGGTTGTCTATCTATCTATCTCTGTCTGTCTGTCTGTCTGTCTGTGTATGTGTGTGATAGGATCGAATTTCATCCTCAACTACAGCGTGGCGCCCCGGTCGTGCGCCATTCAGCCCTACTGCCTGTCCACCTGCAACAGGTACGTAGCGTAGGTGTGTGGCATGAACGAATGATGCAAGCCAAGCCAGGCGGGTAGCGACACGACACACCTCTCTCTCATCTGAGCGTGTGTGTCGTGTGTTGTGTTGTACTCTCCCTCCCTCCCAATCAATTTGATGGATCAGGTTTGGTCATGACGACCATCTGCGGATGATACTGGTGCCCGACCTGTACCCCTCGCACTACATCCAGGCGGGACAGGACTTCTCAATGTGCGCTGGAGAGTTCGTCGAGGTCAGCACAGCACACCACACCGCCCCCAACCACCCCCCAGCCACCCAGCCATCCATCCACACACCCACCCTTCCGTCCATCCATCCGCACACACACACACACAGGACAGACAGCAGAATGCATGTGTGTGTGTGTGTGTGTGCAGGTGTACAGTCCTCAGAAGGCTCAGTGGGACAGCATCTTGACGTGTTTCTTCATCGACACGGCCAAGAACATCCTGCTGTACATCAAGACCATCGCCAACGCCATCAGGGAGGGCGGCGTGTGGGCCAACCTCGGACCATTGCTCTATCATTTTGCCGAGATGCCGCACGAGGTCTCCGTCGAACTCAGCTGGGAGGAAATTAGACCCGGTATGTGTGTGTGTGTGTGGATGTCTCGGGTTGGTCGGCGCATTCATTGCTGTGTGTGGTGTGTGTGGTTTAAACAGTGATTGAGCGGTATTTTGAGATTCGCAAGGAGGAGCGGCGGGACGCCTACTACACCACCAACCAGAAATCCATGATGCAGGTACGATACGACGCCTGGCACACACACCCGTCACCCCGCCATTGGGTGTCTGTTGCCGTCGCGTGTGTGTTGATGTGATGCTCCATCTGTCCTCCATTGATCCATCAGGTTCAATACCACTGTGTGTACTTCGTGGGCGTGCGCAACGGCGTGGAGGTCTCGGGCGTCTCCAACTCGGTGTACCCATGACGATATCCATTCATGAATGACGGGTGGCCATGATGGCTAGCTGCCCATGAAGGATTGATGTGATGGACGGCAATGGGAATGGCCGACCGGCCAGCTCCTTTCATTGACTCCCCCGCTCACCCACTGATGTGAGTGAGCGGAGATTTTGCCCCCTGGGGCGTGGCGCTTCCTTCGCGTGTCGTGTCGGTGGTGTGTCTGTCGGTGGTGCGGTTTTACGTCTGTGTGGCGTGTGGCGTGTGTTGGTGTGTGCACATGTGCGACGGATGGATGGAGGGATGGATGGATGGTGGATGTGTCGATCGATGGGCGTCAATAGGGGACAGCCAGGCTTTAGCTGTGTGCGTTGTTTGGGTCTGTTGCTGATGAATGCGATTCTCCCACCTTGTCGGCGCTGCGATGCCTGTCGGCCAGGCATTCAGCAACTCGGTAGCGAAGCGAGTTGCTGCAGCCCTGCGTGTCAGGCGTCAAAGCGACGACAAGGAAGCCGAGAAGTCGTGTGGTAAAGCGATACGACAGACGATATATGGTGGGCATTGGCCGGCGAGTGTGGATGGATGTGATGTTGGGTGGGCTTTATGCATCTGCGTGGGTAGCAAACTCCTGTAGTGACCGTGTGTCACTCACTCCTTGCTTGCATGGTGATGCAACCATGTGTGGGCGATGGATGGGTGGCACGGGGGGAGCACAGGGGAATGTGAATCATCCGATGGGTGTAGCGGTCCACCGAGACTGACTGATGGGTGAGCGAGTGGCCATCTCGCCCTACAGACGGACAGAGACAGACAGACAGACAGACAGAGAGAGAGAGAGACAGGCAGCCGACCACTGACTGTGCTTGTTGGGTGGGCTGCCTTCGCGTCTGTATCTTGTGTACGACTCTAGATGCGTCTCCCAAAAGGAGCCAGTCACGTACTATCTATCCCCCCACCCACCGAAGCCCAGACAGACCATTCATTTCAATCAGTGTGCAGACAGACAGCCCCCTTGAGCTTCACCCACACCACACCCTTCATCTACCTCTGCCGTGCGGTGCCGTGCGGTGCCGTGCCCACCTGCCTGTGATGCGGCCGGCCGGCCGGCCGGCAAGTGTTTTTTACATTTCAAGACAGGTCCAGTGTGAGTGAATGCGTCAATCAACAGGGGGTGAGGGATGAGAGATGAGTGTCACGAAATCGTGCACTCAGGCAGGCAGGCAGGCAGGCAGGCTGCTTACTGAGGGCTGTGGGGCTGGCTGCATGTGTTTTGTGAGTGGATTTTTCATGCATGCTTTGCTTTTCCTTCCTCGTGGTGTGGGCTGGCTTACCTGCTTTGACTGACTGACTGACTGACGATGGATGATCTATCTAAATCCTCGCATCGCATCAATCAGCCTGGCTGCCTGCCTGGCCTGCAGTGGGGTCCTCAATCGATTTTCGATGCGCCCTGTGTGTGTCTGTGGTGGGTTTTTGAATAACTGACTGACTGGGGTGCATCCATGAGCCAAAGGGAGGGAGAGGTCTCTCTCGGTCAATCACTAAGTGTTATTAATAGCGCTTCCTCCCTCCCTCCCTCCCTCCCTCCCCCTGATGACAGCGTATTGCGTGATGCCTGCCTGCCTGCCTCTTGCGCGTGTGTGGTTGACTGACTGACCGGTACGTGTATTTGTTACACATTCAATGTTCTAAGTTTGGATGCCTTCACTCACTTAATCAGCCGATGAATGGACATTCATTGAATCTGTCCCAGTTCAACAACCAAGCTGCCACCCACGCAACGCACAGACAGGCGTGCAAGCAGTAAGTAGGATGACCCAGCTGGAGTGGAGGCGTACAGAAAGGCGTGTCAATTTCCCTCCACAGCCTTAACATGCGCAAGGGTGGCACAGGAACATCAGGATATAAAACGTAGACAGCGATTGATGTATAGATGCTGCATGCAGAGGGGCCCACAGCATCCATCCATCCACCGCTGGGGCAGTCAGGTCGGTGTGATAGACACCGGTGGGTGGTGCCGTGAAAGTGGCTGCGGTTGGTAGAGACGATCCGCTGTTCAGCAAACAGAGGCCAGACGAAAGAAAACACAGCACATCAGCAACGCTATGGTGAGCAGCGTGCCGCTACTCTAGCTCGCCCCCTGCTCTCTCTCTCTTGTCTGTCTATCTCGTCAGTTCTCCTCCTGGCCCCGCAGGCACCCGCAGCACTTGTGTGGGGGATGTGTGTCAGTTGCGTCGGCGTGCGACGCGCACTCTGGTGCGGCGGAGTGGGTATCCGCCATCAAAGTCGATGCGCCCCTTCTTGACCTGCCAGCTCTCTGTGTCGGCCAGCTCCTGCAGCAGGCGTGACCGCTTGGCCGGCGGGGTGGGCTCCTGGCGCTCTCCTTCGACTCCCTCGGCGGCCTTCCTCTTGTTCTTCCTCTTGGCCCTGAGACGCGACCTGAATGAGTAACCAACCAACCAGTCATCGACAACCAGGTGTATGAGGACCGACCGGTCGGGCTGTGTGGTTGGGCTTGGTGGCTTTGGTGGCCTTGGTGGTCTTCTTGTGGGTGGTGGGGGCCTTGGGGACCTTCTTGGCTGGCGGGCATGGCTGGCTGGGGGCCTCACCGTCGCCCTCCTCACCCTTGTCCTTGATATGTGGGGGAGGTGAGAACAGCATTCGCAGCTTCTTCACCGATGTGTATATGCGCCACCGGCCAACTCCTCATCGGCAACACCTGAATGAATGAAACGCTCGCACGCACCCACAAAAGAGAGGAGCCATGTATGTGTGTATCCGAAGTTGTGGTAGCCGTGCATCTTCAGCCTGCGGCCGTCCTCCTCGCTGCGGATGCGATGTGTGATGCCCTCCGTCAGCGTCAGTCGCGTCTCCTCGGCCTCGGACACTATTGAGTCCATATTGACGAAGAGCCCCTCCCCCAGGTGCTTCGTCGAGATGATGTGCGTCGTTTTGTCGAGGGGCCGTCCCGTCTTGTTTAGGTCGGCCTCCACGCTGAGGATGAGGTCGTCAAACTGCGAGGACGGGAGGCGCGAGAGGTGAACGAGGCGCTGCTCCAGCGTGTCACCGTGTACCTGACACACAGCACAGCACAGCACAGCACAACACAAGGCACATGGTGGGTGGGTTCATTCAAACACCTGTCTGCCTGCCCGCCTGCCTGCCCTGCTCACAGACATACCTCATCCAGGCGGATGACGTGGAAGTCGGTCTCCCTATTCAGGTAGTCGGAGCAGTCGCCCACGGCCACCGGCCCCCGCATGTGGTCCGCCGGGTCATGCCCCCTGCCCTCGACGTGGAAGCCCGGGTTGGGCACCGCCATGCGCCCCAGGACCATGTTGGTGGCCTTGAAGCCACATGACAGGTCGTACCAGCCGCCCTCCTTGAGTGAGCCGCCCTCCTTGAGGCGCTGCTCCTGGAACCACAGCGAATACTCCCTCCTGTACCCGTCGAGCAACACGATATGGGCGTCACGAATCACATGGTCTTGCAGCGACGCACGGCAGATGGCCTTAAGGCTTGAGGGATTCTATCGAGTCTGAGTTCAGTGAATGCGCACACCAGGCAACACCGAACCGCATCGCACCAAACACACACACAGACACAGACAGGCTGGTATGTATGTGTGCATGGAGGTTGTGTGCATGCGCCTCGCCCACCGTGTGTGAGGTTGAGTTCTGGCCCAGGGTTCGGGTAATCTCGAGCACCGGGTGGCGGGGGGGGACGGCAGCTGGGAGCCTGGGACAGAATCTGGATCATCCCTGCATGAGGCACAGATGGTACACATCGCGTGCGTGCGCGGCATGCATGGGATGCTCACCTGGAGGGTCAAGCCACCACCTCGGGGCGGCCTCTGCGGCGTCCCTTGAGGCGTCTGAAACTCCATCGGAGGGACACCGTAGGTCACCTCACGTGACACTGCCTCCCAATCAACACTTCAGAGCTGCCTCGTGACGGCGGACCAGTGGTCCACGACTGATATATGGGCTGACAGTCGTTTCTTTGAGTTCTAGAACTCCATCGGCGGAGCGGCACTCAAGTGACACCGCACTTCAGCTTCAACACTTCAGCTGCCTCCTTCCCTAGCAAGCCACGCAGCGGGAATGAGATGCGACAGCGAAGGAAAAAAAAAACTCACGTCTCGTCGCGAATTCTCGCCAAGAAACAGTTCCTTTTCGTCTGCGAGCTAAGCTGAACCTCCAACTTACCTCTTTGCCCCGTTTCCAATGCCAACGCACTCCTGCATCCCTCCCCCACCCTGCCAATGCCGCGATCTACCGATTCGACCCAAGCAGGCGTGGAGTCACCCTCATCTGTCAATGAAGAAGCTGCATTCACATCGCCGTCGGTCCCTGGCGATGTGGCGGTGGCGGAGAACCGCTCTGGTCAACCTCATCTCGCTTGCCGTGTTTGCCATCTTTGCGCGAGTTGCGGACGCTCATCGGCTGTTGCTGAGGAGGAGCGGCTTTACTGGGTCACCTGTGCTGCCCGGTAGGTGAGGTGTGTGTTGACGAAGATCCTTGATTGATCCATCCATCGGTGACGCGCTGGCCTGATTGCCACTCATTGCCCCTCTCTGTGTGTGTCAGGCCCTTTGTCGCCTTCATCTCTGTCTGTGCCTGCGTCTGTGTCTGTGCGGCATCGGCAGCCAGCGTCCCGTCGTGTGCGTGTGCGTGTTGGGTCAGCATCGTCGATCCTGCCCAGGCTGGAGGAGGAGCACGCCGCCATGCTGGACAGGAGGCGGCGCGACAAGAGGGAGTTCAGACAGAGGCAACGCGACGCACTCCTCGAAACCATCACACCAGAAGGTGAGTGACCGAGGCCACGTCCAGCACAGCCCGGCGCATCAAGTCGTATTGTTGTGGCTGTCTGGCTGTCTGGCTGTCTGGCTGTGTGTGCAGATCGTGAGAGGTTGTTGACTGACCCCGTTGACCGTGCCATGAGTGACTATGAGCCAGAGGTGGATGATGTGTCGCCAGACGAGCGGCGCGCCTTTGAGAGGGAGCGGCGGCGGCTGGAGAAGTACTTTGAGATGGAGAGGAACCACACCAAGTGGGAACAGGTACATGGATGCTAGACACACAGCACGAAGACACCCGCATTGAGTGCATCCATGCGCTTGTATGGTACAGGTTCGCCTGGATCGGCGGTGGGGCCGGCGGGGAGAGGAGATCCTCGAGTCCAAGTACGGCTGGCGGCGGAAGTCTAAGTCCAAGAGGGACAGGAGCGCTCCCCGGGAGGCCAGGCCGCAGACCTACCTGCAGGCAGTCATGAGCCAGTTCAAAAAGGGCTCAGATTTCAATCGCATCGACGTGCAGGCGCTCGAAGACGCAAAGAAGAGCGAACTTCTCGAAATGGAAGCCTGGTGAGCGTGGACGGACGAGTGGGAAACAAGTAGACGACCTGACCTGATGAATGAATGCACCAAGTGTGTGTTTGATTGTTCGATCAGGGATCGGTGGCAGGAGCTTCGGCAGAAGCGTCGCAAGGAGATGGGTCTCAGCTCGGCCCAGTGGGAGCGGCGGTTCGCCGCCCTCAGCGACGTCCTCGCCAGGGAGAGCGGACTCGAGCGCATCAAAGGCAATGTTCCAAACATGCTCCAGGACACTAACACCACCTTCTGGATGGTCAGCCACCACACACACACAACAGATACAGATGAGCAAAGGTGGCTGACACACGTGTGTCTGTGCGCGTGTGTGTGTGTGCGCAGCGGGCCCACTCAGTCGAGGGCGTGGATCCCGCGGCTTACCCGCATCTGGTGGATTATTCCGACCACTTCTCGTCTCTGCTTGAAGAGGAGGTGCTGGTCAAGGACGAGATGGCGGTGGAGCGGCTGCGCAACTGGACCAACGCCCGGCTGGAGTCGGAGGGCATCCTCATCAGGGGCCTGGAGGCCAAACACACACATCGCATTCTCAAGGAAAAAATCGTGAGGCTGCAGCTGCCCATTGAGACCGTCAGGAGGAACAGCACTGACGCCGGCGGCGATAAGGATGGTGATGTTGATGGCGAGGAGGGTGACGGTCAGCAGGTTGAGTCGAGGTTGGTGTATCGGCGGCCTTATCTGCCCTTCCACCAGTTCAGCAGGGGGGATGCCGTGACTCTCACACTGGGCGAGCAGAACCCTCTAGACGCGTAAGCAAGCAGCTGGATCGATGGCCGAGAGCTGCATGGATGTGCGGTGTGTCTGTGTCCTTGTGGCTGCGCTGCAGGATGGACCGTTACGAGGGCGTCGTGCACGAGAAGCACCCCAAGTACATCGACATCGTAAGGAGGCGGGCGCCACCGATCTATCGCCCACTCACTCACCGACCACCGACATCTTTCTCTCTCCTCTTTCAGGCTGTGATGGACCTGCCCCCAGAGCTCTGGAAGAAGAACCGCATCCCCAACAAGCAGCAGCAGCAGCAGGATCCAGACGACCAAGACCCGGCGGAGAGGAAACTCTTCAGACCTGCCGACGCAGACACTGCAGACACAGTCGAGGAAGATGAGCTCGGCCAGGATGATGATACACAAGGACAGGAGGACATTGACGACAACAACAACAACAACAACAGGACGGTGTCATGGCGGCTCGACATGTTCGAGAACCGCGTCTCTCACGACCGGATGATCACGGCGCTGGCGGAGCTGACGGCGCCCAACGTGAGCGACAAGATGGCCCCCGACCTCCGCGACGCACTCGTCTACAGCTTCATCCAAACCGTCATCAAACACAAAATGGGAGTCGGTAAGTGCACTCGCCAGCATACCCACCACCCCGCCCACCACACGAACACAGACACAGCACGTGTGTGTGTGCCGTTCAGGTGAGGATGCGAGCACGGATTTCTACGCGGTATTCCGGCGGGGAGACGATCCTGCCCCGTGGAACGAGTGGTTCAGCCAGCCTGCCAACAGGTGGTGGTATTCGGCCGAGCGGCTGGACGCCATCCTGGACATGGCCAAGCGGCAGGGGCTGGTCGACCAGTCACAAGAAGAAGCCGTCCGACGCGTACGCTCCCCACAGATACCACACACAGACGAGGGGTTGGGGATGGCTATGGCTGATGCACATCACACATGACCATCATGTGTACCTCTCCCTGTGTGTATGTGTGGCGTTCAGTCGCTGACCCAGCGTGTGACGTTGATCCAAGGCCCCCCAGGGACCGGCAAGACGCGGACCTCATGCCTGCTCCTCGGCTCCATCGTAGCCCTCATGAAGGCCGCCCGTGCGCAGGGCATCCAGCCCTGCGGCGACCTCCCCGCCGCTCTAAGTGCCACGGGGCCCCCTCCTCGGATCGAGAAGGTGCTTGCCGCTGCCTTCTCGAACGTGGCTGCTGACAACCTGCTGGAGGGCCTCATTAAGATGGGCGTCAAGGCGGTCCGCTCTGGCCGTGCGCTCGTGGTCAACCCCGCACTCAAGAACTACACTGTGGACGCTATGGTCGACCAGCACCCAGAGGTGAGTCCACAGATGCAGTGCACACGCCCCACCACACACAGGTGCACTTGTCTGTCTGTCTGTCTGTCTGTTTGTCTGTGTGTCAGTACCGTGCTGCGCTGGCGCATGAGAGGGAGGCCAGGCAGAGGCGGCAGCAGCTCTACAGGGCCCACCAGGACGACACCAGTGACGAGGACAAGGCTGCCAGCCAGGCCAAGGTACACCACCACATGTGTGCATCTGCTTGGGTGTGTCATCTATTGGTCGGCCGTCGATGTGTGGGTACATGTGTGCAGCTGGACGAGGCGAACCGTCTGTTGCGCCTGGCAGAGGAGGACGTCAAGGTGGCTGAGCAGCGGGCGATATACGACATCGTCACCAAAGCCGATGTGGTCGTCACTTCTGCCATCAGTGAGCCACCCAGACGCCTACACACCATTGTGCCGGCCTACACAGAGGACAGCCACGTGTCTCTCTCTCTCTCTCTCTGTGTGTGTGTGTGTGCAGGTGCGGGTCAGCCAGGCCTGACATCCACCACCCAAGTGCCCGAATGGGACACACAAAGGTCACTCACCCACCACTCACTCCACACACAAGCGCCTCTAGGGACCGCTGTGTGGTGTGTCGTGTTGTGTTGTTTGCAGGGTGCCAGTCAAGTTCTCGACAGTGCTGATAGACGAGGCGTCCCAGGTGACGGAGCCGGCGGCGTCGGTGCCGATGGTCAAGGGCTGCGAGCAGCTCATTCTCGTCGGCGACCAGAACCAACTGCCCGCAACCGTCGTCAGCGACAAGGTACCCACCTACACACACACAGAGAGAGAGACCTGTTTGTTCTTTCACCCCTTTCTGTCTGCAGGCTAAGGCTGAGGGTCTGAATTTGTCTCTGTTTTCCCGTTTGGTGCTGGCGGGTGTGGTTCCGGTGATGCTGGCGGCCCAGTACCGCATGCACCCCGCCATCGCCATGTTCCCATCCTTTGAGTTCTACGACGACCGACTCATCTCCATACCCAAACCGGAGGAGAGACCCACACCCGGGGGATTCCCATGGCCCGACGAGTGAGTGAGGCAGGCAGGCACCACACAACGGAACGATGATCATGATGTGGCTCCCTTGATCTGTCTCGTGTCTGTGTGTGTCTTGTGTGTGTGTGTGTGTAGTGTGAAGCCGGTTGCGTTTGTGTCGGTGATGGAGCCGGCGGGTTATTCTGAGAGCAGGCCTGACGAGACCACCAAGTGGGGCGGCAGCACCACCAGCAAATACAACCGGGAGGAGGCACTGTGCCTCGTCAAAGTGCTCAAAGGTGCACCAGTGGGGGGCGGCCCGGGGCCACACACCACACCACACCACACCACACACCTGCACGTGATGTACATACATCTTTCTCTCTCTCCCTCTCTCCGTCTCTCTCTGTGTGTGTCCAGAGCTGGTGTCGCATGGCGATGTGTCGTACACTGACATCGGCGTCGTCACCCCATACGCAGCTCAGGTCAGGTGACGGCCTCAACTCAGCCCCTAAGCTGGCCAACCATGCCTCTCTGCCGGCCTGCCTGTGCATCGTCTCGATGTGTGTGTGTGGATGGACGTCTGCATCAATTTGGTGCAGGTGCGGTTCCTGCAGGACACCCTCCGCACTGAGCTGGGCAGAGACACAGCCGCGCTGATAGAGGTAGGTACCTACACCTATCTCGCCACACACCAACGCACCACTGCGGGCAGAGGCACACGGGCTGTGTGTGTCATGTCTTGATGTGGGGATGGATGGCCGCATTCAGGTGAAGTCGGTTGACGGTTACCAGGGTCGCGAGAAGGAGGTGATCCTGTTCTCGGCCGTGAGGTCGAACCCCACCGGCAGTGTGGGCTTCCTGCGCGACTGGCGGAGACTCAACGTCGCCGTCACACGAGCCAGAAGGTCAGCCAGCCACTCAGGCAGGGCGCACCAGTAGCAGGGGAACCACGGGCCACCCAACCTCCTCTGCTCTGTGTGGACATCTTTGTCAGGGGTCTGGTAGTGTTTGGGGACCCCCGCACGCTTACCGCCGACCCGCACTATGACAGCTACATCCAAGTGAGCCACAGCACAGCCACATGACCATTGACCATACCACTCCCCCTTCCTGGACATGTGTGTGCCGCGCCGTGGTGCGTTTATCAGTGGTGCAAGCACGAAGGTTTGGTGGTCGACTGGCGCACCTTCCGCCCCATCACCAACCTGGACGAGGCGATACACTACGCCGAGCTGTCAGGCAACATCGGCGCCAGCAAGCTGGGCGTCGGCCGCATCGACGCGGGCAGGGGCGGCTTCCAGGCCAAGCTGCAGTGGGAACTGGGGGGCGGGGGCGAGGGAGAAAGGGATGACAGCAGCCCCTTTGGCTCAGACACCGATATTAGCGCACTGCAGACGGGACGGAGTAGTGGCCCCGTTGTCAACGGCTGGGAGCCTCACCCACCGGCACCTTCATCGGACGACACGCAATACGGTCAGTCCAGGCAGGCACACACGCATCTATACTGCAACAGAACGGATGAATGTTTTGCCTTTTGCCGCTCAGAGGTGCGAGGTGCCGAGAAGGAAGATGATTCCGAGGAGCCAAGGTATGTCGATCCTGCCCCGTTCGGTGGTTCCACCGACAGCCCCTTCCCGGCATCGCTCGAGGATGAGATGGGCTTCAGCGCCCCGTTCAGCAGGAGGGGTGCGACGACAGACGGACAGGCCAGATTCTTTATCGACGAGGAGGACTTGGAGGGAGACAGTGGAGCAGGTACACGGAAGAGCCCGGTGGACGCTTTCACGTCCGTGTGACTCATTCCTTTGTGTGTCGTGCTGCACACTCAGTGCGGGAGGCTGATTTGGCTGAGCTGAGGCACTGGCTGGACAGCAGCGCTCCGGACACAGCGGACAACAAGCCCATCTTCGCCCCCACCCCTCTCACGGACGACAATGACGACCCCTCGCCCCCATCCCTCCCTACCCTCCCCTCACCGCTCCTCCCGGCCAGCCCATTGTCCACACACAAAAGTCGCTTCCTCAGCCGCGCCAGGTCCGCTCTCAGGATGTCCCACCAGCGACAGCAGACGCAGGAGGCCCCGCCACCGCCCGCACCACCGGCCACAGACGATGAGGGTGCGTATGATAGTGGTGGTGAGGGCGGCATGTACGGTGGCGATGATGACGACGTCGGTTTGGCGATCGAGGTGCTGGACTCGCTGCCCGCCCTGAGCGATCCTGAGCTGGACGCCTACCTCTCCGACTTCGACATGCCCACCGAGGGGGGCCGCGCCGCAAGGCAGGAGCTGCTAAGGGAGGTGCTCATCAACCTCATTCGCGAGAGGATGGGGAGCACCGACAGCGCGGACAGCTTTTCCGTGGCGGGGCCGTCGTCGGCAGGGGAGGGCGACAGCATGTCCGACATGGAGAGGAAGGAGTTCTTAGGTTTTCTCATGACGCAGGATGACGACACCGGCGGGATGGCATATGACGGGTACGGCGGCGGCGTCCGCGGCCAGACGACGATGCGCGACCTGGTGGAGATGGTGGAGCACGAGATTGTTGACATTGACGAGGTGGATGAGGGGGAGGGGGAGGGGGAGGGAGATGAGGGTGGTGGTGTCGTTGAGCTGACGGCGGAGATGATATCTGGTATGCGTGTGAACGAGCTGAAGGAGTGCTGCCGAGAGATGGGGCTGCGGCTGAGCGGCAAGAAGGCCGACCTCCAGGAGAGGCTGCTCCAGCACATACAGCAACAACAGCAGCAGCTGACATGATCGATCGATCAGGCAGAGAGGAGAAGCATCGTTGGCTGGCTGGTCGGTCAATTGCATGCCGTGAGTGACCATGTCTTTGTTGTGCAGAGAGAGAGGAGAACATCGTAACGGTTTTATTGGCGTTCGTTCGCACGTCTGCGCCGTGTCTGCGTGTCTGTGACGGGAGGGAGACAACCTGCTGTGACTGATGCATGATGGATGATGCCTGATCGCACCACAGTGCAGCGGGAGAGGGAGTGTGTGTGTGTGTCACGGACACAATCGACCGATTGATCCATCCATCCATCCAGGTTTCCGACTCTTCTGCATTTCGTGACTGTCTTCACTGCACTGCACTGCACACACGCACGACAACACAAAGGACAAAACAGCCTGTCTTTCCTCCCGCGGTCGCACAGCCATCCTCTGCACCTCGTCACCCACTCTGCCCCAAGAAGGCACTCAACAACGGTTTGCCGCGATCATGCGAGCTTGAAAAGCAGGAAAACCTGACCCCTTCAGATCAGTAGGGGCTGGATGTGCGGTCCTGCATGCATCCACATCGTCACGATACTCGCCATCAGCAGATCAACCATCAGCCTCACATCGGCCTTCTCCCTCACCCCATTTCCACCCTCCTCCCGCTCCCACACCCTGCTGACCACCAGCCGTCCGATCACCGTCATGACCACCGCCCTTCGGTCCAACCAAGTTGGATCTGTGGCCTCTACGGGCCGTGATCTGTGGCAGTGGGTGCAACGTCGGGGCAGTGCCGTGTCGGTGGTGCAGCGAGGCGTGCCCGTGGCGGGCGAGGGGTGGAAGGTCTGCGACGTGTCCATCAAGTCTAAAGCGGGCGAGAATGACCTCTACGCCGAAGATCAGGAACTACAGGTGGGTGACCAACGGGCAAATGGGCAAAAACGCGGTGAGGGATGCGACTGTCTGCGGTTGTGTGGTGTGTGTGCATGCAGTTTGTACTGCGTCGTGGGTGCTCGCTGTTGCGGAATGCCGACGGGGAACCCCAGATAATCAGGAGGTAGGTACATGTGGGAGATGAGACCAGACACGTGTACATCCTCTCACACATCGTCCATCGCACCACTGAGCACTTGTCTGCCTGTCTGTCTGTCTGTCTGTCTGCCGCCCGGCCCACAGAGGTCTCCCGAAGTTCTTCGACGTCAACACGTCCCTGCTGTCGAGTTACCTCTCCCAATGCAGCGCCATGGCCGATGTGACGGCCATGCCGCCCGCACAGGGGCAGGCGGAGAAGATCGCAGCACAGTGGGCCGTGAGGATCACCGAGGCACTCAGGGCGGGGTGGCAACTGCAGCTGTTTCAGCTAGACAAAGCCAACGGAGAGAACGCCCAGGTCAGAAACAAGAAGACACACGCAGGTTCAGTCACTGCAGCACATATATGTGTGTGTGTGTGTGTGTGTGTGCAGGTGTCTTATTCGACGGTGCTTGAGGCGTGGGTGATCGCCTCCAAGAACGTGGCGCTGCTTGCCCGGGGCCGCACCGACATATTCTCGCCCCAGTACAGCGAGCAGCGCTACGGCTTCGCCCGCAAGATCGCCCAGGCCTGGTTTGCAGACATTGAACGACTCGACGCACGGCAGGTATGCTTGATGGCGACCACACACACACACACACACACACACACACCTCGCCCCCTCTCTGTCTGTCTGTGCAGCTGTCATGTCTGAAGAGCGACCTGTCGTCGGCCACATTGATAGGGGAGCTGGTGGGTGTGTCTGAGCGGCAGCATCTCGTGGCCTACGACACTCTCGGCCTGGTCTGGTACGCTGCCGTGCCCTCAGACGGCGTCGAGCAGTGCTGGCCGCCGCAGAAGACGCAGGCCATGCTCAAGAACCACGGACTCAATGCAGTCGGCTGCAAACAGGTGGGTGCGTTGATGCCATGCAGAGGGGAGGGGAGAGCCGAACGAGGAGTGACAATACCTGGTGCTGTGTGTGTGTGTGTGTGTGTTTGTCAGGTGGGGGAGACCGTCCGGTCGTCGTGGCAGCTGATGTCGATGATCGAGGCGCTGCGCGACAACGTGGAGGCCAGCCCCCTGGCCTCCGTCGGGGAAGGCGTCGTCATCTACCTCGTCGCCGTCCCTCCCCCCTCCCGCCCCCAACCCTCTCAGTCTGTCCTTGGCATCGGCAAGTTCAAGTCGGTCGACTACCGCATTCTACGGCGGATGCGCGAGCGGCTCAAGAGGTTCATCCCAAAGGCCAAGAGCGTGGCCGGCAACGGGGGGCGGCTGCGGGACCTGTGTGCTGAGGAGGTGGACTCGTTCAGGGGCGACATGCAGCAGTGGGAGCCCATGCTTAGGGCACGGCAGCAGCAGCAGCAGCAGCAGCAACAGCAGCAGCAGGAGGGTGGTGCCGGGGGCGAGGGGAGCCGGGAGGAGTTTGAGACACTCTATGAGATGTGTGTCAGGTGAGAAAGAGAGAGAGAGAGAGAGAGATCAGTTAATCACGTTTGTTTGTCACTCCTGTCCTTCCCGCCTCCACAGGCATGTGGAGGGCCATTGGCGGCAGATGGACGTGGACGAGGTGGACAACCGGTTCCTCGACTTCATGCAGATGGTCAAGGGCAACGCAGAGGCCGTCAAACAGATGCACCGAGGAGGGGAGGGGCCCAGGGCCGGCAGGGGCGTGTGCGTCAACATCATCTGCCCGCCACTGCTGCTGCCCGTGGGGCTGGTCGCCAAGCTCAAGGAGACACTCACGCTTCCGCCACATGAAAAGGCACCCGACCAGAGAGGCGGTGAGCCAAGTGACCCACCAGCACACAAACACACACACACACACAGAGAGAGAGAGAGAGGTGCGTGTGTGCGTGTGTGTGTGTGTGTGTGTATGTGTGTGCAGATTCGCTGGAGCCCTTTTCCAATCGTGTGGTGCAGGGCGTGCACAGCCGTGTGTCCACGGGGTGGGACGCGCTGCACATGAATCACATCCCCAAGACCATCGACAGCGCCCTCAAGCTCAACACCGACGTCAACAGCAACAGGGGCGGCAGAGGCAAAACCAACAAGGACGACGACCGCATCGCCGCCCTCCGGGACCGGCACATCGTCAACGTCTTCTGGGGATATGACATACAGGGCGTGCAGGAGTCCCTCAGGCGGCTGCAGCACGCCACAGCCACAGCCACATCACCCACGGCCATGACGGACACCGCCGCCCGACCCTCTGTGGGCGACGTGGCGGGCCGTGTGGAGCCGCCTGTGCAGTGGAACGGCGAGACGGACGTGGTGGTGAACCAGCGGGCGATGGCGGGGGTGATGCTCGACAAGTGGCGGGAGCTGGCCGAGGAGGCCGCCAGCATGTGGCCTTGCTGTGTCGCACTCTCGGGGGTGCCCAAGGAGGGACAAGAGGGGGACGACGCCATTCAGGTGGGGTGGGTGAGGCAGTGACTGACTGACAGAACCAACCCGCAACAAACACCTTCCCATGTTGTGTGTCTGCAGGTGATCAGCAGAGCCGCGTCGGCCCTCCGGGAGCGGCTGGCGAGCAATGCGCCGCCCCCGCCCCCCTCACTGGCCCCGTACGCCCCCTCCCCTGCCAAGTATGAGTGTGCGGCGACGGTCCTGGCGCTGTTTCCCGTGGGCTTTCCCGGGTCGGGCAAGTCGACACTGCTGCAGAGATGGGTCAACGAAACGTCGCGCATGCTGCAGAGGGACAATACCACCGGGGGGCCAGGTCCGGAGGGGGAGGGAGAGGGGGGGATTCTGCTGTCCATCTCGCTACTGAGTGGGGATGTGTGTGTGTTTTGCTCCTCTGTGTCTTCTTTTCAGAGGTGCTATTGATGCCGCCGGAGGGCGGGGAGCGGCCGGAGGGCTCGTTGTGCGACTGTCTATTCTATGCGTCCTCCGATGAGTTCACTGCCAAGGTACTACACAGGGATACAGCCAGGCAGGGAGGCAGGGAGGCTCTTCAATTGCACTGCATATTCTTGTGTGTCAGGCGTTGCGTGAGCGTGGTTACAACCCGATGGCCGATGTGCCTCAGCCAACCTTCAAACAAGCAGCATCCACAGGTGGGTGGCTGGCTGGGTGGCTCCCATCACCTACCTGATCTCCTCTCCTCGTCTCTCTCTCCCCCCTTTCCCTCCGTGTGTGTGTGTCTTTCCAGGCTCCCAGCGGCTCAACACTGCCGTGGAGCGTTTCTTCGACCAGCTGCGGCCGGCCATCTTGCCGTCCCCGCCCGACGGCTACCTCTCAGAGCAGATCCAGCAAGACATGGTCCAGGCCGACGTAGAGGCCAGCAACGTCCTGCGCACGCTCATCGGCCTCCCACCACTGCAGCCACAGCCAAACGGCTCCATGCCACTACCAGCGGCAGCCAACACATACGAGGGCGGCAAGATGCGGCCCAACCTGCCGGAGGCTAAGCCACAGCGGCCGGGGAGTAGCGGCCCTGGCCAGCCGTCGTGGACTCTCCCCCCTGGCGGCCGTGTGGCGCTGATCGTCGATAAGAACCACCCGCCCAGTGCGATAGCGAGGCAGGCGTCGTACCTGAGGACTCTTGTGGGCAGGCTGAACCGGCAGCTGGAGAGCGACGCGCGGCGAAGGGAGAAGGAGGAGAGGAATGGCGAGGGGGCGGTGGGTGAGGGTCAGGGTCAGGGTGAGAGTGAGGGCGTGGTGGTGCCCCGAGTCAATCTGGTGGTGGCCATGCTCATCCTGCCACCGAACGCCACACAGACCGGGGCTGTTGGGGAAATCCCGGCAGGTGAGGAAGAGAAGAAGCGAGTCATTCAGGATGTAGTGCACATATCCATCTCTTCTTTTCCCAGGTTGCCGGGTCCCTTCCCCTGGCTCGTTCGACCAGCTCCTGGCGCAGCACGGCCCCTGGCCCTTCCCATGGGCCCTCGACACCCTCATCGAGGGCCTGGCGCGTGTGGTCTCCCGCACCGACCACCCCACCCTGGCGGGCCCGCGGGGAGTGCACATCGTCCTGTCGTTCTTCTCCCTCTACCGGGGGTACACTGACATGTCGCAGCGGGCCATGCAGCGAGATGGCATCGACAGGGTGGTGGCCGTCGACACGTCGCAGCCCCGATGGATGCGGGGCGATGGTGGCGTGGGTGTGGGTGTGGGCGAGGGGGTGGGTGAGGGTGAGGGTGAGGGCGATGAGTGGTGGGGGAATGTCCGGCGGCTGGTGAGGGAGGCGCTGGTCGACTTCAGACCCTTTGAGGACAACCCAAAGGTACGGAGAAAGAAATAGCCGCCGTGTGGGAATGTGCATATGTGTGTGTTCGGTGTGGTGTGTGTGCAGAACATGACCATTTACGAGTCGATAAACCACATGCTGACCACCCAGCGGTCTCCCGACACCCCAGAGCTCATCAAAACACAAGTAAACGCAGCCTGCCTCAATTAATTCCCCTTAATTACACTCATCTATCTGCCTCCGTCCTTCGCCCATGCAGGTCGACGTCAACTACGGCAAGATGGTCGCCTCCCTCCGGACCATCTATGACGATGCCGACCGCGCCATCGCCTCCGACCCCTCCGGGGCCCTCTTCCCCTCCCTGGCGCCCGCCCCGCCGCCGCCCTCCGTGCCGGTGTATGCAGGCATCGACCTGATAGGCTGCCGCGGCGTGCTGGACAACGCCGTGCGGACGCTCGTGAGGCGGATGGAGAGGGCATTTCCACACTTGGCCATCGACGGCAGCCAAATGCTGCAGGTAGCCTGCCTGCCCTCTGGGAGAGGGGAGAGAGGTTAGGTTGATGTGGAAGTGGTTTTTCTCAATGGTAATGCTGCTCAACTCAATGCATCCGTCCGTGTGTTGCTTTGCTTGTTTGCAGGGTTTCAACTGGGTTCCGTCGCTGCACATGACGACATTCTTCTTCGGTTGCTCGAGGCGATACGCCGACAGCCATGCGCTGCAGACAGCAAAGGACAAGAGGGTCAGTCAGCACCCACAAGCACACAACACAAGACAACACACAGCAAGAGATGGATGCACCGAATACAATACTCCCTCGCTCTATTCGATGTATGCTATGTGTGTGTGCAGGGTCAGGTCTACCCCCTCCGTGTCACGCACCTCATCCTGGCCACCGACATGCTCGTGGTGGCGGCAGTGGAGCCCGAGGGCCTCCTGTACCCCATCAGCATGCCGTCCGACCCCATATTCAACAACAACGGCCCCCTCCCCCGCAGGTCGCCCTCCCCCTCCCCACCCCCGAGTGTGGCTGGCAACGACGCCATGGATGTCGACGAACAAAACGCCGCTGAGGGGGACAGTGGAGCTCAGGCACCTGCCGCTGCTGCCGCTGCTGCTGCTGCTGCTGCCGCTGCTCCGGCTGGTGCAGGTGGCGGTGGCGGTGGTGGTGAGGGTCAGAGTGTGGATGGGCTGCCCGTGTTGGCTGGTCGTGTGCCGCACGTGACCATGATGCTCAAGCCGCCCTTCAAAGCCAAGCTATCCAACGTCGTGCTCGACGCCGTCAGACAGCAGTAAGCTGAGCTGAGCTGAGCTGAGCCCATTCATATCTACCTCTCCCCCTCTCTCCTTTAGGTTGTTAGAAGGCCAGTCCCGCAGCGACAGCCCATGGACAGCCATCCCCTCCCTCCCCTTTGTGGCACCTCCCCGCCCACCCTCAGCAGCAGCAGCAGCGCCCGAGGTGGTCGTCATCGACGACGACTCACCAGGCAACGCCGCGCCCATGGACGGCACGCAGCAGCCGCAGCCCGATGGGCCAACCGTGAGTGTGATGAGGGGCGATGGTCGTGAGGGTGCGGGGCTGTGGTACGTGGGCGGCATGTCGGTGGAGGGTCGGCTGCAGGACGTGTTTGTGCAGGATGTCAGAGACGAAGGCATTGTGCTGGAGGGGCCGCTGGAGCTCATCTTCTGACTGACTGACTGACTGACGAGATGTCAAACGGGCGGTGGGTGGTCGAAGGTAGGCCGGTGAGTGAGTTGATGCTGCTGTGTGGCGTGAAGCGTTGAGGAATAAATGGCTGTGGTCACTTTATGGGGGGCAAATAGTGACAGTGTCCGTGTCTATTAGAGCCTAACTTGTTTGTGAGCTTCGAAATGCATCGGGTGCTATTATTTCTGTCGATGTAAATTTTATGTGTCCACCCCTGTGAGATGAGGGACGGGCGCAACACGTCGGACAGCGACTCTGACAGCAGCACTGACGACCTCATCTACCTCGCACCACCTGACCCTAATGAGCCGGCCAGCAGGAAAAAAGATCTCACACAGGCAGATCTGCCACCTCAGCCCCAGAGAGAGCACGTCGCTGGCAAGGCGCTCGACCACAATGCCAAGAAGAGGGTACGGTACACAACAGCGTCGTCACGCTCACGACGCTGCCCACTGTTTTGCGCCCTCTGTGTGGCTTCCTTCAGAACCTGGTTCTGTCTATCGCTGCGGGCACCTTTCTGTTGTTCATTCTCGGCCACCGAGTCCTGTATGGGCCTCTCGGTCCCGATCTGCTCGACTCCTCCTTCTACGACCGAATCGTAAGGCCGCAACAGCGAGCTGTGTGTGGGGTATCTAGCTGTCTGCTCTCCTTCCCTTCCTGTGTGCCGAGTTCAGTCCACCATTCCCTCTTCTCTTCGCGAACCGCCGCGGCTTCATGTCAAGACGTCAACGGCTGTCCCTGAGGCTATGGGTGCAGGTGCTGCCGAGCCTGAGGAATCGGGTGGATCTTTCTACCCGTCATACGTCGGCGCACTGGAGCATCTCGACTGGGCTGACATCCCAAAGAGGGCCTACCGGCCGAAGGCACCACATGGTACCGTACCTAGCGACGCACTTGATCCGTGTACAGCAGAGTGCACAGGCAGACAGTGAGTGATTGACTTGCCCTCTCCTGCAATCAGAGCTGCAGCAGGTGGTGCTGGACGCCATGACGACGTATGTGATGGCCCCGCCCCTGCAACCCCTGAACACGACGTGTGGGCCGCCCGCCAACTACACCACATTCACAGAGGCCGACTGCTCTGCCAACGATCGGCACCTGGGTATGTTCACCGGCAAGGCACTTGCAGAGCCGAGGAGAATCGTAGCCGTTTTCTACTTTGGATACGACCTGGGTGGGTAACAGGGGGGCATCCTGCCTGCCTGCCTGCAGCTAATGGCACGTGTGTGTGTGTGTGTGTGTGTGTGTTGGTCTGGCAGACATTGCTGAGATTCGGTTTGAGGAGCTGCGTCACGTCGTAGATCTGTTTGTCGTCGGCGAAAGGTACGGTGGAGGAAACACCGACCCATCGCCGTCGTGTATGTGTCGTGACCGCCTGCGGTGTGTGCGTGTGTGTATGTGTGTGTGTGTTCGTGTTAAGTCGCATATCGACGACGGGTTTGGCCAAGCCTCTGGTCATGAAGGAGGCGCTGGAGTCGAATGCCAGGTGGGTCGGTGTGTGTGTGTGTGTGTGGTGGCATACAGCAATTGGTGTGGTGTATGCCGCCTTCTCTTCAATGGCCTGCACAGGTTTGCCCATTTGAAGGATCGCATCATGGCCATTGAGCTCGACAAAGCGACGATGGAGGGCCAGTCGTCCAAGTGCCCCCACCAAGAAAGCCAAAGCTGGTGTGTAAGCACACAATCGCACACACACGCACGCTCTCCCTTCACTGATGGTCAGTTCTGCGCCCAATGCGCTCAGTTGGGCCACGCAGAGCTGGGCGCGAGATGAGGTGATGCGGCAGTTCCTCAAGAGAAACGAGGACGAGGGGTATAGATACCTAAGACACGACCATGACATAGTCATCATGTCCGACTCCGACGAGGTCCGTCCGGACAAGACAAGACACCCATTGCGTGTCTGTGCGTGTCTGTCTGCCTGTCTGCCATCATTTGTCGCTCTACCTGTCTGTCTGTCTGGTTGCATTCTGCGTGCGTGCCTCCGTGTAGATCCCCGCGGGCGATGTGGTCAAGCTGGTCAGGCACTGCGAGCGGGTGGACCCGGCGGCCAAGAGCGGCTTCGCCATCCTCAGCTGGGCGGGCCACTTCAATCTGGTTTTTTCTCGCTTCAAGGACATCCACATGCAGCTCAACCTCGACCACGCCTCCATTCCCAGGATCAGTGTCGTCGTAAGTCAGCGGACGGATGCACAGCCGGCTCGACTCGGCTGGAGCACGGTCTTGTAACGTGTTTTGTGCTGTGGTGTGGTGTGGTGTGGTGTGGTGTGCAGCCCTTTGTGGTGGCGAAGAGTGAGGGCTTTGTGTACAGGGCGTCAGGGCCGCACATGCTGTATGGCGGGTCAGCTGGCCAACCAGCACACACACACAGACAGACAGACAGACAGACACCGCTGGCACTGTGTGTATTGTCCTCTTTGTGTGTTCGCCTGTGTGCATGTGTGCATGTGCCTTCAGCTGGCATCTGACAGACTACGCGTTCCAGCCCTTCCTCTTCCTCAAGTGTACGTATGTCACGACACACACACGTCAGCCGCCATCCATCCGGCGCATGAGACATGTCCATGCGCTGTCCCCTCTTTCAGTCACCTCCTATGGCGAGGGCTTTGGGCAGATCTACGCCCAGGACTCGCCCGCCTTCGGGGAGTCACTATTCGGCAGCGGCCTGAGCAACATGCCGGCAGATATATACAATCGCATCCCGCCTGAGCAGCGTGGCCCCGCCCAGCGGCTGCTCAGTGCCATTCAGAGGGTCCTCTGGGGCCGCCCCATCGCATCATCGAACAGACGTGCACTGCGCCGGAGATTACTGGAAGGGACAGACAAAAGCGCTGCCGCTGTGTTGTCGTCTCTGCGTGACACTAATCGATCGCTGAGTGTGTGGGAGGCGCGGGTGGAGTGGGCACAGAGGCGGCTGTGGCATGAGGGGTGGACCAGGTGAGAGACAAGTATGGTGGTGGTGTACATGTATCGTTGCCTGATGTACTTACTGATGGGATGGCTTGCAGGGATTTCATGCCGAGATACGTGCCCCCGGATCAGGTCAGCCAAAGTCAGTCAGTCCACCAACCAGCCCTACTACGGACAGGAGGGACACAGGTGACTGTCTGTGTGGTCTGTGTGGTGTCTGTTTTTTTTCATGTGGGCGCACCGCACTGCCTGCAGCTTGGGCCAGAATACGACATCTTGAAGGTCAGTCAGTCCGCTGCAGTGCCCACACTGCTGCTTCTTTCCTACCATGACCATCCGTCAGGTGCGTCAGCTGCCATGGTTCGTCGCCTGCAACCCACACAGGTCGGTGGATGAAGGATGACTGACGACCACAGTCAATGCAATGCGTCTGTCTGTGTACTACTACTGGTTGTCGTGCACTACACAGGTATCCTGTGCTGTTGGGTGGCACCGACCCGCGGTATTTCGTCGATGGGCGGGGGCCGAGGGTGTACCGCAATGGCGAGCACATCCATGTAGCCAACCTTTCGGAGTGGAAGGAAGTCATGGGATGGCGATCTTGACGACGAACGGATGAGACACCACGTGTGCGTATGTGTGTGTGTGCCTATGTATCTATGTATCTATTTGTAGCTGTTTTGGTAGCTGTCTGCATTTGTATGTCTGTCTGTGTGTGCTGAGCATGTCAATCACAGCAGCTGACAAAGACCTCGCGTGAGCCTGTCTGGTATTATTTATCCTTCCATGGTCCTGTGGTTGTCAGCCTCCCCCTGGCTGCATGTATTTGTCAGCCAGCCGGTGCATTCATATGGTGGTATGATGTCGGGTGGACAAACCAAACCCCCCGGTGTGTGTACGTGTGTGTGTGAATAAAGAGATGGATGAATAGTCATGCCTCGCATGCTGCATGTGCCTTCAGAACTGAAGAAACGGCGCATCCATCGATCTCCACCCATCGATGCATCCATCCATCCATCCATCGCACACACGCACGTCGGCTGACTCGCGTCTCTCGCACAAAGACAGAGCCTATCTCCACATGCCACACAGAAACCCCACCTCACCCTCCCCCACGCTCCACTCACTCGAGAGCATCCAGCTGCTCAATGGCCTGCCGCACCGGCTCCCACACCTTCTCGGGCGCCACATGCTGCAGCGACTCGTGCATCTCCCACCGTCGGTGGCCCACCTTCGCACAGGTCGTGTGGAATTGCCTGTTGCCAGGCCCGCGATTGCCCCCGAACATCTCGATCACCGCCGAACCGTTCCGCATGTATATGCAGAGAGTCAGGCCCGCCCCGTGCACGCCCACCAGGATGTCAGCCGCGGCCGCCATCAAAGCTTGGTCCCGGAACCGGTGCTCACCAGGGTTGAAGTTGTCTATCTGCCACCCAGAGAAGCGGCTGTCGGTTGTTGCTGCCTTGTCCAAAGACTCCCGGAGAGACACCAGCAGCTCCTTCTCGTTGCCCACCTGCCCCGTCCCCCATCATAACACACACACAAACGATATTTGCTTCTGAAGTGAAGCATTTGTGGGTCACCTGTCTGTCTGGTTTGTAATTATGGACCCGGCCCGCCGCCTTGTCGAAGAGTTGTGGGTATGGCCGTCTGCTGAGCCACAGGATGCGCCTCTGACGCCTGGGGGCCACTGCCATCGGTGCCGCACAAACTCATCCATCATTGCCACGGTGGTCGTGCTGCTCAGCTGCCTTTCTTCCAACACCTCCACAGTGCTGTTGCTGCTGTCTCCCCCATCCACTTGATCAGTGTCTCGGTCCTTGGAGAGACTGAGGGCCGTCAGCACGTGAGCGCGGAAGGCGTGCATGATGGCCGAGCCACAGATGTTGGAATGTCCTTTGCCCAGTGGATGGAAGGTCGCAGGGGAGTTGCCGCGCAGGAGCACCTTGTCTGCTGCTTGCTTCTGCCACTCGAGGTTCATCAGCCCCACTCCTCCGTGGGCGCCGAAGGCCAGACGCGAGAAGCACAGCTTCCCCTCGTAGAACCGCTGGGTGGCTGGCGACGGGGAGGTGCCCAGGAAGACGGGGGGGTAGGAGGGGAAGACACTCCTCCAGAAGTCGACGTAATGGCCGGGCGGCTGCTTGTCGACTGCATTCCCCCCCACACAAGGCGCGGAAGACAAAGATGTGTCTCGTCCATTCTTTGCTGTATGTAATTACTTGCAAGGAATTGTGTCTCAAAGGGCGACACCCCAGCCACAGCCAAGGCAATGAAAGACCCAACTGCACCCGACACAATGCAGGCATTTGTCGTCCCACCAAGTTTTTCTACTGTCTCATCTAGATACCCGCATCAAGATGGAACTGGTTGTTGTTTGTCGGGTCCCACCTGCACACACCCATACAATACAATACAATACAATACAGCACAGCACAGCACACACATTGCAGCATATAACGGGCTCCTTCTCTGTACCTCTCCAGCACAAGCACCGGATGCCTCACCCACTCGCTCTCATTGCACGTCACCTCGCCATGACCGTTCGGGTCGCCTTGATAGTGCAGCTTCGACAGAAACCGGGACGGAGGGCTGTGTGTCATATCTGATGGATCTTCCAGCTGCAAGTCAGGGCTGCAGCCGGTGTCGATTCCCTCCCACTCATCTTCCCCGGGCGGGCCCCAGCCCTTGCCGCCCGTCGCGTACTGCCATACGGCCACTTTGATACCGACGAAGTCACACATCAGCCGAGGGAAGGGGAAGTCACCCTTCCTCAAAAAGCAGTTGATGGATGACACAGGGGATGTCAGCGAGGAGTTGCCGGTCTTTTGCAGTGTGCTTTCGCCATTGTTGTGTCGGCTTTGGCATATCTGCACGCGGAACCCCCGCCAGCGATCGACAAATGGGAGGCCAAACCTGCACGCACACAGCAACGAACGTATCACGGCAAGCATACTGCCTTCTCTTTTTCCCTGCAATCACCAGTATCTACAGATGCCAGGCTCCTTGACGAGGGTCCGGTCAGCCTGTCGGATCTCATCGTATATGAACCGCTCAGGTGATGATGCTGACACCACGGATGGAGCTGACATGGAGGATGGGACCGTTGCCGCTGACGACAGGGAGAGAGAATGAGGATGGTCTGGCTTCTGCTGTGGGGGGCAATCGGTCACATTCCGCACGAACGATGACATGATGCGGAAGGGACTCCGGCTGCGGGCGGGGATCACGTATTGCTGCAAGAGGGGGGGGAGAGGAGAAAGAGGTGAAGGTGCAAAAAAGGCTCTTGTGTTGCTCTCACCAGCACGCTGATGGTGGTGACCACGGTGACCGATGCAAACGTTGAAAATGTTGTCGACAACGCAGATCTGCACACACACGGCACAACACATGCAGACACCAAGCGCTGCAGGTTCACTTTTGGCTGCATCCTGCATACTCACGGCAAGCGGCTGCATTGGTTTCATGTTCCCCTTCCCCAATTTACAGTGAGCTCTGTAAACTCGACGCTGCAAATCCAATGGAGGCGCGGTCAGCCGTACTCCTGTTTCTTGCGGCCGTTGTGTTGGTGATCTTCATCGACGCATCTTTGCTGCGGCAGGGATGGACCGGCCTGAATTACAACTGCGATTGCAGCCGCTTAGTGAGGGTAGATGCTAATGATCAGGACCTGTACAACGTAAGCACAATAGGGCCAGATCTATGGACAATTCCTGAGCATCGTCGATGGTGTCATTTTTCCTCAGTTCACCTGTCCCGTCTGCCCACAACAGCAACAGCAGCAGAATGGTCAGCCTGTCCAGCAGCCCTCTGATGGCACGAGTGGGGCGGACCAAGCTGCCATCAAGCCGGAGGAGACCAATGCGCTGCGTGGCGCCTTCTCGTTCATCTACAGCTCGGCTGCCTGGGGAAGAAACAAGGACGGGAAGGGGCACAGCGGCGCGGGCAGCACCAAGGAAGCTACAGACAACTTTCGCCTGCAGCTGGAAGACTTTCTGCGTCAAAAGGACATCAAATCAGTCGTTGATGCGGGATGTGGCGACTGGTACGGCACACACACACACACACACACACACACACACAGACACACACAGACAGAGAGAGAGAGAGAGAGTCCTCACTCGCCATGTACCTTGCTACCGACATTGCACTTCAGGGAGTGGACGCAGTTTGTGGATTGGGGCCCAGTAGAGCAATACACCGGTGTGGACGTGGTGCCGTCCGTCATTGCTCGCAACCAGGAGCTGCACGCCGCGCACAACAGGACTTTCCATGCGAGGAGCATCTTGGAAAAGGACAACCTGCCTCCTGCAGACGTGAGCTGACCGACAAAGAAAGGAGACCATTTCCACACTCGAACTCTCTTTCTGGCTGCTGTTTGTTGCAGTTGTTGATGTCCAAGGATGTGCTGCAGCACTTACCTACGCCGATGGTGCACCAGTTCGTTGCCAACCACCTCACTGCTCACGACGGCCGATACAAGTACAAGTATGCCCTCATGACCAACGACAGATGCAATGTTACGACGCTGCACCGCAAGTGCGTGGACAATCGGGACCTGGGCAAGCCGGGCGGCTGGCGAGAGGTGAATTTGGCCCTGCCGCCGTTCTGTCTGCCGGCGTTTGAGTTCTATCGGTGGCCGAACCACTGGTGGGGCGACAATGAGAGGGAGAAGGTCACGTTGCTGATGGACTTCACTAGGGCATAGACAACTGTCGTGTGGATCCGTGCACGATTGCATTCTGCGTGTACGTCTGTCAGCAGACGTACGTGTACGTGTGTCTTCACATGCTATACATGTACATACATGATCGACTGTGTGTTCTAATTATAACAGTACAGCGTGTCAACAGTCAGCGATCAGCGAGTCACTCACTCACTCACTCACTCATTCGGTGACTCGTTGAGTCAGTCTATTGCCACACGATGACGATGACGGCCTCCGTGCGTGTCGGCTGGCCAGTGACGGTGGTGGTTGGTCTCCTCGTCAGTCTCCAGCCTGCGTGCGGTGGCTCCCATCGGTTGGTGCCTGGTCTCGTTGAGAAGCTGCTCGCCCCTCCCGCCCAGCAGCCCAGCGCCCCCTCCGCCCCGCCCGTGCCTGTTGTCGCCACTGCACCTGCCGCCGAGACCAAACTGCCACCACAAGAAGAGGGTGAGTGGACGAACACACCTGCTTTGTGTGATTATGTGTGTGTGGTTGTCGATGTGTGCAGAGTATTACGACGAGAAGGAGCGACGACTGCACGAAAAGGTGGCACAGACCGCTGCTGAGGTCACACAACAGACAGACAGACAGACAGACAGAGAGTTGATTGCTTTGCTTTGCTTCACGTCTCTGCTCTGTGTGTGTATACGATGTCTTCGATCCTTCCACCACGTGTATGCAATGCAATGCCATGCAGGTGGAGGAGAAGGAGAAGCTGGTGGAGGCTTTGCGAGGCACGGCCGAGCTGCGTGGCGAGGTGTCGCCCGCCACCGTCGCCAGGGCACAGGCCGACCGAGAGCTCACCGACCTGGCCGCTGACATTCAAGACCTCCGAGCGCTCGTCGCAACAAACCCAATCACTGCCACCAAACAATCGGCTGTCGTCGTCTCACTCGTGCCAACTAAAAGCAGGCATCCATTACACACACAGACAGAGACCGAAGGAAAGCAAGAGACGCGCCACGTGTCTGTGTGTGTGTGTGTGTGTGCTTTGTGTCAGTGAGCGAAGGGCGTGACGGTCAGTTGATTGTGCAGGCCATCCCACCAGCCGCCCTGCTGCACACAATCCCCGACGAGAGCGACCAGGCGGCAAAGGAGCTGGCCAACCCTCAAACACAAGACAAGGTAGAACACACACACACACACACACGGCACACGCATCATGATGTAGCCGCTGGCTGGGCTGTCTCTGTCTCTGTGTGTGTGATATGCAGCCGTGTGCCGAGCTGAAGGTGTTGCAGGAGCGTCAGAGGTCGCTGCGTGCGGCCCAGACGCAGCCACCAATCGCCATGCCCGAACTACCCAAGGTCAGCCGCACGCACACGACACATGTGGAGCCATCCTCTTTATGTGCCTGCGTGGATGGGTGCAGGTCGAGAAGAAGAAGGGCGTGCTGCACAAAATCAAGTCGTTCGGCCGGAAGGTCAAGGGGCTCTTCTCAGGCGGCCAGCCTCAGCCTGCATGAGCTAGTCACTGACAGCGAGGGGGAGAGGGACCGACAGACGAGTGATTAACGGGGCATATCTACATGAATGAACGTTACAGCTTGCAAATCGTCCCTGCGTAGCCGTGTCGGTTCGTTTGCAATGACTTCAATCTCCGCTTCTTAGGGCCCCTCGCGAGCTGAAGCTCGCGCTTCGGCGTGGACGTGCCATTTTCCTCAAAAGCCTTCGAGTCCGTCGTGCCCGCATCGTGCCTGTTTGTTTGCAGTCCTTTCTGTTTTCTCGGATTGGTTTCCTCTCAGCATGCCGCCTGAGAAGCAGCGTGTGGGTTTGGGCCTGCTGGGCACTGGGAGAGTCGGCAGACTGCACCTCAACAGCCTCTGCCGGCTGCGTGACAAATGCCAAGTCATCCACGTGGCCGACCCATTCATCGAGAGGCACCGTGAGTGGCTGGAGGAGCTCGGCATTCATAAGCTCAGCAGCAACTACAAGGACGTCATTGCTGACCCTGAGGTCAAAGCTGTCTACATCTGCACCACCACCGATACCCACGGCCCCCTACTCAAGGAGGCCGCCCGCGAAGGCAAGGACATCTTCTGCGAGAAGCCCATCGACATGACCCTCGAGGGCGCCGAGGAGGCCTTGCAAGTGGCTCGCTCGGCTGGCGTCCTTCTGCAGGTGGGCTTCAACCGGCGATTCGACCCCTCATTCGCCAACGTGAGGGAGCGGTACCGGTCGGGGGAGATCGGGACAGTGGACATCATGCGGATCACGTCGCGAGACCCGGAGCCGCCCCCTTCTATCGACTGGATCAAGTCATCGGGCGGTCTGTTCCACGACATGACGGCTCATGACTTTGATATGTGCCGCTACGTGGCCGGCAGCGAGATCGAGGCGGTGTGTGCCGCCGGGGCGGTCCGTGTGGATGAGGCCATCGGGCAGGCCGGTGATATTGACACGTGTGTGGTGACGCTGTGGCTGGAGAACGGGGCGCTGTGCTCGATTGACAACAGTAGGGAGGCGGTGTATGGCTACGACATGCGCATGGAAGTCTTCGGTAGGAAGGGCATGCTGCGCGCACTCAACGAGACGCCCACACGAGTCGAGAGCGTCAAGAGCGAGGGCACGCTGACCGACAAACCACACTACTGGTTCAGAGAGGTACGCACAACAGAAGACAGGACAGCAGCCCACCGCCATAGCTCATCATATGCCTGTGCATGCTGTAATACGCCCTGTCGATCTGTCAGCGTTTCCCTGAGTCGATGCTCCGGCAGGCCGAGTCGTTCCTGGATGCTGTGATGACCCGCAGCGCCCCCCTGGTGAGCGGTGCCGATGCCCTCACGGCCCTGCGAGTGGCGCTGGCGGCCGACATTTCGATGAGGGAGAAGAGGGTGGTGAGAGTGGACGAGATCAAGCTCTCGCGGGAGGCCGCGTCGTAGGTCTGCCCATCTGGGTGAAGCCGCTGCTAGTCAGGGAGGGAGGGAGGGATGGAATGTGTGTGTATTTGTCAGTGGGCGTCAGTGGGCGTGACGATGGGGGACCAGTCGAGTGAGTGTGTTCCCGTTGGTGGCTGACTGGCTCAGAGATCTGTGTGTCCCGCATTTGTGGCTGCCCGTCCGGGATGGTTCGTCCTGCGCGTGCGCGGTACGGACGCTGTTCTATCATTTTGTGAGGGACTCTTGTGGGGAATTGACGTTGTTCCTAGTGCTTATAGCTGGCTGAGTGACGAATGACGGCACCATGGAAGCATTCCAAAGACATTTCTTCACAAGGAAGCAGTCTGCCATCTTGTGTGTTGTGATCACAAAACACAGCTCCCAGCCGAGAAGTAGCATCTATCTAGACAAGAGTTGCAAACGAGTGACATCAAACCAATACGGAAGGGCAGATGTGTCGTCACTCCCCCCCAAAACAGTCGCTATACATGCGATGGGAGACAGACAGATACACACATACGTATCGACAGTACACACGCACGCCACGCCATGAATGCAATGCAATCCACACCCAACGGCCGTCATCTCTCTTCTTCTGTGTAATACATACACCATTTGGCGCTTGCCCCTCCGCTGACTCGCTTTCTGTCATTTCCCCCGTCAACGCCACGACAGGCAACCAGCATCGTACCACGCTGCCTACCTTGCGTTGCAGAGACGAACCCGATGACAGAAGGCGAGCCAACTACCCCTCGACACAGAAGGCGGCCATTCCATTACAGTTCTATCAGCTAGGCAAGTCAAATGGACGAACCTCACCGCAACTAGACAGACAAAACACACGCCATAAATACATTCCCTCCCTCCCCCGGTCCTCCCCCCCACCCCCTCCCTCTCTACGCAGCCTTCTGCTCCATGATCTCATCAATCACGACCCTTCTCTGCAGCCGCAATGCCTGGTTGGCGGCCTGTGCTATCAGTAGGGCCGCAAGGCCGTCCTCGCCGCCCACCATCGGCGCCGCCCTCCTCTCCACCGAATCGACGAACGCCTCCACCTCCCTCACAAAGGCACGCTCGAACCTCTGCGGGAAGTACCAGTGGGGCTTGTCCGCCTGCCACCCGGCCCCGGTGAAGCTCTCGACACGTGTGGGCGTGTCATTCTCTGCCCGCAGCATGCCAAGCCTGCCGAACACCTCGATGCGCTGGTCGTAGCCGTAGCACGCCTGGCGGCTGTTGTCGATGACAGCCATCGCGCCGTTCTCGAAGAAGAGCATCAGGACGGCCGTGTCGACGTCGCCCGCCTCGCCAATGGCGGCGTCTGCCCGCACGCTGCCCGCTGCTTGCACGGCCGTCACCTCGCTGCCGGCGATGTACCTGCACATGTCGATGTCATGGATGCTCATGTCGACGAAGATGCCGCCGGACTGCTCGATGTACATGATGGGGGGCGGCTCGGGGTCCCTCGAGGTGATCTTGATGATGTCGATCTGGCCGATCTCGCCGGCTTTGCATCGCTCCCTCACGTTGGCGAATGAGGGGTCGAATCGCCGGTTGAAGCCCACCTGCAGGACGATGCCAGCCTCTCGCGCCACAGTCAGCGCCTCCTCTGTGCGCTCGATTCGCAAGTCGATGGGCTTCTCGCAGAACACATGCTTGCCTGAAACACACACACACACACACACACACACACAACACATGCAGATGCCGACACGCACCCCTTCCCCTGACGTACCGAGCGTGGCCGCCTCAATGAGATACTCGGCGTGCGTGGTGGTCGGCGAGCAGATGAAGACGGCGTCGACATCTGGATGGGCGAGCAAGTCCCTGTAGTCGGTGTACGTGAGTGGGCTGCCCAGCTCCCTCACCCACTCCATATCGCCCTTTTCGATAAAGGGATCTGCGAGGCCAACCAGCCTCGCCTTCGAGACGTGTCTGGAGATGTTGTGAGCGTGCAGACGGCCGATGCGGCCACATCCGATGATGCCGATGCCAATCTGCTTGTGCGGCAATGGTGCATCGTGCCCCGGCGTTGCTTGACGGATCCCGTGTGGCTGACCGCAGCGGGCGGCGGCTGGTGTGTGCGGAGAAGATGGAGATGGAGATGAAGCGAACGGCAGCACCATTGAGAAGCGCCTTAAGTCGGGTCAACGTTCGTTGGTACACAGGCGAGATCTACGAGACATGAGTGCGATCTTGTGGACCCAAGCTTGCGTGTCCATCGTCAACTGAATGCTCCTTCCCTTCGTCACATTCCTACTCGCTACCCCGAGCTACTGCTGATACTCCAACTCATGATTCGTTGCCATGGCCGCCCAGCACGCGGGACGGCAGCAGAGTCGGACAGGCATGATTCATCCTTCATGCTTTGTCTTGTGGCGTCGGTCTCCCTCATTGCTGCTGCCGTTTTGTGCTTGAGATCCCATGGTGAGCCATCTCAAACAAGGAGTAAGGAATTGTTTTGAATCAGCAAACAGTCATTGTCTCCGGTTTTTTGTTTGTGCTGTGTTTGACTCAGATCCGTCGCTCTCCACATCTTCATCACTGCGGAGAGCCCTTCAAGGCCAGTGCGAGGACGACGAGTGCGCTGAGGGTGAGCAGAGTGTGCTCCTCTCGGTCAGTGGCTGCCGATGCATCGACGAAACATGCCAAGAAGAGGAGATTCTGCGGCTTGGAGTTCTACTGCCGCGTCGAGAAAGAAGACTGTAACGTTGGCGGCTGCCGGTGCCAGGGGCCGATCTTCGGCCAGTACATTGATGCGTGCGACTCGACAGCTGTGATCGGGTCAATCGGTGCGGCGGATGAAGCAGAGGAGCTGGCCCATCAGGCTGTCTTGTTCTCGCTCACCGGTTGTCGATGCGTCGAGAGAAGCTGTCAGAAGGAAGGCCTCAGCATCCCCGGCCTGGAGTGGTTCTGCATAGTTCAGCAGGAGGACTGCGGCAAGGGCTCATGCATGTGTTTGGGGCCCACCCTTGGCCAGTACTACGACGCGTGTGTCGAGGGAAGCGAGGAGCAGGTCTTCACCAACGGCGGCTGTCGGTGCGTCGACGACTGCCGCAAGCGGTCATCAGACGACAAACCCACGTGCCACATCCATCCAAGGGAGAATTGTACAGACCAGTCGACAGCTGGCGAGCCGTATACGTTGCCTGAATGCGACAGTCCCAGGTGGGAGTACCAACTGAGGCCGCCCACCTTCTGTGCGGGGGTAGCTGAGCGCCTCGAGAGCAGGAGGAAGGCCCACTGGACGCACCTCGTCTACATGAATGCGGTGAGAATGGCATAGGGACATTCGCTCTCCCCTCCCTCATAGCTGTTTGTGTGTGCATGTGTGCGGCTGTCATCAGGACAACAACTTGGAGAGCTATGCCATGAGTGACTTGAAGGAGATGCTCCAGATCCCCCAGGGCGACATCAATCTGCTCGTGCTCGTCGATCGCGCCGACCCTGAGATCGACGATTCGTCGCATCGAGCCGTACACGAGCTTGTCATCTGTCCAAGTGTCACCCCAGAGGTCAACGCTAGAGAGGTACGCACACACAGCCATCCTCACAAACACGCAGACGGACGACGGTTCATTCCCAGGCAAGGCAGCAGTTTTCCGGGGCATACGAGCTACTGATGATCGGTGACCCCTACGAGAACGAGAACAGCACCAGCCGGCGCCGCTGGTTGCTCAAGCAAGACTGGGGCGAGGCCAACATGGACGATGGCAAAGTGCTCAGGGAGTTCATCTCTAACAGCTTGAAGGACTTCCCTGCCGAGCACTATGCGCTCACCTTCTGGGATCACGGCGCCGGCCGAAAAGGGTGACATAACAGATCAGCCGGCTGCACTCTTGATATCTCAAGACGGCAAGTGTGTGTGTCTGTGCAGTTTTGGAGGCGACGTTCACAATGGCGACAGGTCTTCTGTGATGAGCCTCTTCGGTTTAGAGACAAGCATCAGAGTAAGTGACACCAGCACCCATCAAATGACCTCTTCGGGGGCCCTTCTAATGAGTGACCTGGTCGTGTTTCCCGTCAGAACGGCATCCAGGACGCGGGGATGCCCGACGGTTTCCGCTTTTGATGTGCTGTCTTTCGACGCATGCCTTATGAGCTCATATGGGTCACTGCTGCACTGTCGGCCCACGGACACTTCTTTCTCGGTAATGGACAGAACCACGTGGCTGTGTGGGGCTTTGTCATCCTCGTTGTCCACTGCATGTAGGCAGCGAGACCCTTGTCAGCGGCCCTGGCTGGGACTGGAGGTCCGTGAGGCCAACACAGGATGGCAAGGCGACCCCGCCATTCGAGCACGCTAGAGGCATCGCTCTAGCGACGATGGACTACTACGTGCGCAACCAGCGCCTCATGACTCTGGCCATTGTCGACCTCTCCAAGATCCTGGAGTTCCGCCGGGCCTTCGCACAACGCCAGAAGACGCTGACCGAACGACTGCACGATTGCGTCGAGACAAAGGAGATCGACCGCATCCGGACGGCTTATCAGAGGGCCGACGACAGCCTGCGAGGGCAGCAGCTGTTGCTCTTCAGCCGAGAGATTGCCAATCCCGTCGACATAGGTCATCTGCTGAGTTACCTGGAGGCCGAGGTAGAGCGCGTGATGCCGGCAGATGAGCTCGAGATCTTCTCCTTCGAGGACGCTTTGAAGAGGTACAACGAGAGCATCCTTTACTTCAATGGCTCTGACAGCTTCGGCAACATCCCCCTGACCGGTGGGTTCATTTGAGTTACTGACGAACTGCAATATCGTGTGTCATTCATGTCTCCTGTTTATCAGGGTTGCACGCTGATTTGACTCTGGAGGACGTCAATGCCCGCTTGCTGGGGGCAGATGGGGATGCCATGAGCGAGTCGTCTGCATCCGGTGCCCGCTACTTGCAGGACGATTGGGCCAAATGGGGAGCACCCATCGTAAGAGAACATGCACCGGACAGAGAGTGAGAGCGCCGTCTGACCATTGCTGTGTCGTGTATCTTGCTTCGCAGACGCAAGACGAGATGTGGCAGCTCACCGGCACGCCGAACGAGCTGCGGGTCTTTCTCGAGCCCATCTACGATACCAAACGCACCGTGTGTCGGGGGAGGAGGGGCCCACCAGAGTTGCAGCCCACATTTGTGATGCTGAGCACCACCCTCTACCTCATCAGCAGCGCCGACGAGGAGGTCGACAGCATTGGGGCAGTGCCGCGCTACCGTGTGGAGGCGTTCAGAAACACGTCCAGCGGAGCCGCGTCATACACGGTCAGTGAGGCAGCGTCGAACACTGGCTCATGTGCATCCATGGATTCATCTGTCCTCTCATGGATGTCGTTCAGGCGCTCAAGACGATCATGACCAAGCCCAACACAGCCGAGGAAGATGGCAAGTTTCAGCAGGCGTTTGTGGTGACGGCGGAGGAGCCGCCCGACAAGGACGAGCTGGCAGACTATGTGATCGACCGCGTGACGGCTGAGTGGGAGGGCGAGGGGTGGATCCTCCACCAAAACATATGGAAGGGAGTAGCTGGCAACATGACCCGGCCCGGCTGCGACTTTTTCCCATGGCTCAGAGAGTGCCCTGCGGGGTTTGGCGACGCAGTGCCCGCAGGCCACTCCTTCGCCCGCCAGTGCGTGTGGCTGACCGCCCTGGCGCCTCCCCACAATTACGGAGCCACTCAGCGGACCCTGCAGATCCCTGCTCGTCTCCATCGCACCTTCACTGACTTCATGCGCAACGCGTCGGATGCCCGCTCCGCCACTCTGGTTATTGATTACAATGTCAGGAGTCCCGACAAGAGCCGCTTGTCTCTCTTCGCTGCCAATCACTTCGGCGTCGTGGCAGAGGTGTCGCCTCGGGGCTGGGGGTTGATCGAGCCGCTGCACACATACGTCAATCTCACGGCGGTCGACGGGTCGGGTCGGTATGACATGGCCTCCGACGACGCGGAAAGCATCCAGTCGGACGTGCCGTCGTGTCAGGCATTCATGTAGGCGGACGGAGAGAGGGGGAGACAGATGCACATGCACAACACTCAAGTGCACACCCAGGCATACGAGGACGAGCCCCTCATTTGCGTGGGTGCTGTGCTGCAGGTGGGGATCTGGTCCTGAGGTTCCTGAGCCTGAGGCGGACAAGATCGAGGTCTTGCAGTGGCCGCCAGCTGGACAGGCAGAAGAGGCCCAAGACGGGGCCTCTCAACGACCTCTGCAAGACAGTGACGACAACCATCGTGGTAAGTTCTGCTGAGGCGTGACAGATCCAGTTATATGCATCAGCCACCATCTCGCTCTCTCCCTCTCTCTCTCTCTCTCTCTGTGTGTGTGTAGAGCGCGTGTTGGGCATCAAAGCTAAGGAGACGCTGATGAACCCGAGGGTGATTGGCAGTTTTGTGGTCCTCTCAGAGGAAAACTCAGAGCAGCGGCACACCAACACGGGCTGCCCGGAGTGTGAGAGGGACTCGACGGCCTACTGCAAGACGTGTGACGCACTGTCGATGCTAGATGAGTGCGACACAGAGGAGGATAGGCTTGGGTGCAGTGGTATTTGTGCACGGTTCTGTGACGGCAAACCATGTGCATGAGTGGGTGGTGGGTGGGTGTGTCAGTGAGGGTGGGGCCAAATGAGTTTGTCACTACGAGATGCGTTGGGAGGGGCCTGGGCATGGGGAAGCCGTGTGGATGAGTTGAGTGCGTCTCTGTTGTTGACTGGCGAAGCGAGCGGTCGTCATTGGTTTGTCGGACCGCAGTTCTTCGCCAGCCCTCTTTAGTGTGGTTCGTCTTTTTTGTTGGTTGGGCGGTCTTTGTGACCCATTTAGGAGCAGATAGTGTGATGTTGGTGTGTGGTATCGATAGCGTTCATGTTTTGTGGGTGCGAAGGGCCGGCATCAATCAATGTGTGGAGTGTGTCTTTTTATGTAGGTAATCTATGTGTGTGAATGCAATGCGTCACGGACGCGCAAGAGTCTGAGAGAATCAGTCAGTTGTGCAGAGAACCGACATTGACATCACTACCACACCACACCTGCATCGTCGTCACTCGCTCGTTCTCGTCTTCATGTCTGTCTGCGATCACACGCCACACACTCTCTCCGTGTTTGTCCCTTAATAGACATCCATCTCCCTAGCGGCGGCAGCAAGAGCGTCGTCAACAGAGTCGACAGCCAGTGCCGGAGAAGTGCTATCACCTTGCTGCGGCGTGGTGGGTGACGTCTTTGCCTTCCCCGAAGAAGGTGGCCTTTTTGTTTGAGTGCTTGCTTCATCAGTGGCTGCTTTGCCGGAGAGAATGTCCAGCACGTGCCGCAGTCGCTGTGTCTCCTGAGTGGCCAGGGAAGTGCTCGCTGCCTTCTCTTCGCCAGCATCGCTGCAGTCTGCCTCAGTGGCCGCCGATGTATGTTTCCACTCCTCCAGCTGGCCGCTTCGGTCCAAGATGGCCGCCTTGGTCGCTTCGATGACAAGCTTCTGAGCCCCGATAGCATCCCTCAAATGGCCAGCCATGCGTCGCTGCTCAGACACTACAGAATGGCCGGCAGCATAGACCTCATCCAAGAGCCTCCCTGCCGTCTCAAGTGATGCCTCGAGTGAGGATGTCGACGCATCGACCGCCGAAATGGACGACTTGATGAGCGCAGTTGTGGCCTTTGCTTTCGTCATGAGGGCTCTTTGTCGCGCCTCGGCATGAGTGCGGAGAGCAGTGGAGGCGGCGGCTTTCTTGTCGAGGCGAGTGGCCGTGAGAGATGCGGACCTGGAGACATACTTGGCCATTTGTTGGAGGACCCCGGCGGCTAGCTGGTGGTGTTTCTGCACGTGAGAGAGCCGAGACAGGGCACCAGAGAAGTGGCTGCGGTCCACTTTGGCTTCTTTTTCCAATTCGTGTTGGTCTTGTTCGGTGGTGACAAGGGCGGCCCTCAGGGTTCTCAAGTCGGCTGTTTCCTCTATCAGCTGATCCTTTAGATGAGCCATCTCCCTCTGCAGCAGCGTAGCCTCCTCCAAATACCGCTCACGCTCCTTCCAACAGGAAGCCGCCCTCTCATCCGTCGCAGCCTGAGCGTTCCCGATATCAGACACGCGTCTCTGTATCAGCTTTTCTAGAGTGGCCTTGGCGAGCGTCAGGTGGTCAGGCGCTGTGCTGCTTGTGCTCTTGCTGGCGGCCTCGATGTGCAGCTGGATCTGCAGTAGGCTGACCGTCGCCGGCCGAGGCTTCATCTCTGTCATATCGTCTGCAATCGCCCGCTTGATTCTGCGGAGTTGATCGATCTCCTCTTTTCGCTGTGCAGCCAGGGCCATCCCTGCACCGGTGATGAAGTCGCAGCTCTGTTTGATGCGCTCCAAGAGAGTCTTTTCGACGTCCATCACCCGCTTTGTCCAGATAAATTGGTGCTCCATGACAGCCGCCAGCTGCTTCTTCGAAGCGAGCATCTTGGCTTCCACCTCCAGCTTTGCATTGAGCCGTGTCAGGTTCATCTGCAGCTCGTGAAGGGTCATATGCTGGAGGCTCATGGTTGCGTTGAGCTCGGCCTGAGAGTCGTTAAGGCTTTTGTCGAGCGTCAACTTCAAGGCCGCCAGCTTTTTATCCTCAAGCCTGCTCAGCGCCACGATATGGAGAGGGTCTTCCGCAGTGATGTGGCGTGAGGCATTGGTCTTCAGGATCCTTCCAGCGGAAAGCTCCGCCGCCCGAGCGATCTCGTCCATCTGCCGGTGCACCTTGAAGGCGTCTGCATCGTGGGCTTGCAATAAAGCCGCTTGCGTGGCCGTCAGATTACGAAGTCGAGCATTCAATGCCGCCATTTGTTCGCGGATACCAGCCGCGGCTTCCGCGGCGTTGTCGACAGCTGCCGAGCGGAGAATGAGGGTTTTGTTGAGGGCCGCGAGAGTGTGGGCGTGCTGCTGGATCTTGGCTTGGAGTGCGGCCTGCCGCCGCTGGCACCTGTAGACACATCCAGGGGGTTGAGAGACCTGAGCTTCCACGCACTGCCACTCGTTGCGTTCTGTACCATTGTTAGAGGTCACCCGCCGATTTCGCGTGGTTGCGCCCCTCATTTGTTAAGCTTTGTACCAGCTTCGTGAGGGAGCCGTCCACCTGATGGCTCACACACGATAGCAGGCCGCCATCCAGGACACATGCAACTGTACTGACTGTACCTGTGTCAATAAGGAAATAGGCGCCTTCGCATCGCCTCCCGACCCACGGGCGCATTGAATGCATGCAAGCAATGCACACAGCATCCACAAACATGGCGCCATCCCACGCGAGAGTTTACGCAACAGCTCGCGGGGAGGGTGAGGACGTGAAACTGCTCACTCACAAGGCGGAAAGCAAACAGAGATGCACGTGGCCTGTGTCCTCGCTCTACTTGCGTCGGTGGTGACATCGTCGGCCGAGCGAACCCAAGGTGTGACATGCATCCCACACACAGATCTTTCCTGGTGGCGTGGGAGGATGCCTGATTGGTGTGCGCCTGTCTGTCTGTTTGTGTGTTTGCTGCTTCAGAAGAGGCTGCTCCTCTGGCCAGGGGGATGGTCCGCTCGGTTGGGTTCGGTTCACTGAGCACTTCTATCCCCGTGGGGAGCATGAAGGGCTATCCTTACAGCTCTGTGGACATATACGCGGAGGACGTCTGTACCAGCTCCCGGGGAGATCTGCTGTTCTTCCTCTCGCCGGTAAGCCACGCTGACGGGGGAATCAAAAGGTCACTTGCTAAGCGACAACACTCTGCTTGCTTGTGCGATGGCGTCAGCTGGAGATGAATGTGATCAATTATATGGCCGAGGGGAACAACAAGGTGAGCTTGGCCGTCCGGTCGCCCGACACGTCCTCGCCCGACCCGCTCTTCAACGCCAGAGTGACTCTGCTGGGCAACATGACCGCTGTGGCAGGTCACACACAAGGCATGGCATGGCATGGCATGGCACGTCATGGTTGTGCCTCGCACACACACTTGAGTTGTGTGTCGGTGTTGTGTCGGTCAGATCCCGAGGCCGGGGTAAGGGACTGCTACTTCGCCAAGCACCCCGAGGCACACGTGAGGCAGGGACACAGGCAGGGAGGGTGGGTGGAACGGAGGATCGTGCTGCACTCACTCTTCGTTCGTTCGTTCAGGCGTGGGAGCACCTCAAGAGCCACAAGTTCTCCTTCTGGCGGTTCCAACCACAAGGTGGAAGGGCAGGCCGGAGAAACAAAACACTCAGAAGTGATATGTGCGTGCGTGTGTGTGTGGGGGGTTGATTGCAATCAGCTGTACATTGGATCGGGGGGTTTGGTGACCGACACTACATTGGGTGGATCGATGTCGACATCTACAGGGATGCGCAGCCGGAAGAGGACATCTTGATGCAATAAACAGGCAGACTCACTGCCTCGGTCGGTCAGCCTGTCTTGCTTGTGTCTTGCTTCTATCTATGGTCGGTTTGTCTGTGAGCGACTCCTTTTTTGGCCTGTTGCCGTGACGTGCGGGCACCTCCTTGTGCCGTGCGGCTGGCTCTATGCTATGTGCTATCTATCTGTGTCAACAAGAATCAATCTGTGTACGCAAACAGACAGACGAGTGTGTTGCTGTGCCCGCCCGATGTGTGTGTTATGCATATATTTGTATGTGGTTTAACTAAGGTGTGGGTTTTGTGTTTTATTTATTTGTCCATGCGGTGCCGCCCGGTCGAGGGTTCTCTCTTGCGGCATGCGTGCAGTGCAGCCAGCCCATACATACATCTGGATGGATGTGGCTCGTTCTCCTTGCCTGCCTCTCATCTCGTTCTTCACTCGAACCGAATGCAATGCGCACAGACAAACACTAATGTGTGTTTTCGGTTTGTGTTGGATTGGAATTGGAGGAAAGGTTGGCGAGTCAACAGACGCACGTCGTGTGTGTGCGATGAAAGGCGGAACGACTGACTGACAAGCAGCTTTACGCACTCAAGTGAGTCCGTCAACGCGTACGTGAAAATCTCACTGTCAGTCGACAGACAGTCTCCGGCAGGCAAGAAACACGCACAGCCACCATAGCCAGGCCATGATTGACAGGGACGACGGGAGGCAGGCGAGAGAGGAAGGCGAGAAACCAGAGAGAGATCTAGCGAGAGGACAAGACGATAGGCAGTCAGTCATTGCAGCACAACAAACAAGCAAACACTTATCCCTCCCTCTCTCCCTCCCATGCCGATGCACGCCATGCCATGACGAAAGCGAGACGAAGCGCACAACAACCAAAGCCAACAGACAGACAGACAGACGGACAGACAGACAGACGGACAGACGGACAGACAGACCGATAGATCGACAAGGACATGACCCAACCACAGCGCACCACACACACAGGTAGGGAATGAATGCAGGGTGCTGCATGCATTCTCTCACTGCGCCCATCGTGCTGAATGGCCAAGCCGTCCGGCAAGCAAGCAATACGCAAGCAACACTCTCACTCTCTCCGTGCCTCTCTCTCTCTCTGCGCCTCCTTTGCTCTCTTTACCTCCTTGCGCATGTCATGTGTCGTCAGGTCGTACACGCACCCAGCCATATGGGTTTCAAGATACATACATACGCAGCCTCTCTGTCTTCTGTCTGGCTGTGTGTGCACGTCTGCAGCACACAGCCAGCCAGCCAGGAAGAATGAATCCGGTGAAGTCAAGGACCGTTCGTTGTGTGAAGGGCAGCTTGGTGTGACGCCGTTGACCGCTCGCTCAGAAAAACAAGAACGAGCCGCTCGCCGCCCTCCCACACACCCAACCACCCGTGCTTGCTACAACACACCCACACAGGAAGCCAGACAAGGTCACGTAGCCAGACAGACAAGCTAGGTAGGTGGATACATCAAAAACCAAAAAGGGGTGACATGCACAATTAAACACCTTCATTGCAATGCATCAGCTGATATCATGACATAGATGTACGTGTACTTACTGTGTGTGTGGATATATGTGTGTGAGAACGAATGAATGGGTGCTGGCGTGCCTGAAAAACTCTAGCAGTGGCCGGCACCCTCCCTCCCCACACACAAACAACACCACACCACACCACACCACACCACCACAGCGTCCGGTGTGCCCTCTCTCTCTCTCTCTCTCTGTCCCTCCCTCTCTCTCTCAGAGAGGGGAGGGTTGTGTGTGTGGTGGTCGATCAATGTTTCTGGGCGCGTCGCCCAGTCAGTCAGTCAGTCAGGGGAGCATGCAGCCATCCATCCATCCATCCATCTACACGTACATGGGACTAAAAACACGGTCATCCACGCAACGACAAAACACACCAACCACACCATCCGTCCATCCAAATACCAGCCACCAACACACACACACACACACGCACGCCCGAGAGAAGGGGTAAAGAACCCGCAATACTAGGAAAGGCAGAAAAAGAGAGAGGGACAAGCACACAGAAAGGCAGCTGGACAGCTAGACAGAAAGACAAGAAGGGGAACGCCAAGCAAGCGCTAGTTGTCAAAAGGGACGGGCTGATCGTCCTTTTGCGTACGGTTGGTACGAAACACTCACCAGGGGGGGGGAGGGAGAGTGAGGGAGGGCATATACCCGACACACAGGTATGCACGCAAATGCACTCAATGGATCACTGACACCCCACACAGCAAGCGGAGACACTCCCTCTCACCCCCCACTCCCTCCCCGGACCCGCATCGCATACACACAGAAAAAAATGCCATCACGGTCGGTCGATTCCTCCCTCTCATGACCCATCCATCCATCCATCCGATCCATTCATCAACCAGTCAACCTAATACCCTAGCCAAACCCGCTCGGCTAACCCTCCCTCCCACAAGCTACGTACACTCCCTATCGCCCCCTGGGCTGTTTAGGGTGGGCCGGTGGCTGCAGCAGAGGGCAGCTCTTGACGGGCGGCGTGGCGAACAGGTCCGACGGCTTCCTGTGCGGCTGCACCGGCGACACAACGGGGCTCGTCACAGATGAGAGTGTGAGGGGGGTGGTGGATGGGGGGGCGGGTGTGGGCGGGGCGGTGTCCAGCCGCAGGGAGGCGGGGAGGCATGCAAGGACGCAGTTGACGAGGGTGACCAGCCCGCAGATGTAGAAGGGCAGGCCGTAGCTGGCCTCGCCCACCACACGGGTCAGCCAATCGCCGCCAGATAGAATGCCGTGCGCAGCCTGACACGCAGACATAGACACAACACAACGCATTTACATGGAGCAGAAGGATACATTTGGTGGTCAGGCGGTCACCTGCAGTCCCCATGAGAAGGTGACTGATGCGATGACGGGCGAGAACGTCGATGCGACAGACTGCGCCTGGATGTTCATCCCGTTGACGCGACCCCTGTGCAGTCACGCACACAGCCGAGAGAGATCAGAGTCTCCCTCCCTCCCTCCCTCCCTCTGTGTCCAATGTGCTCTTCGTGCCTGATGGTGGGGAGGCAGTCGTTGACAATAAGGAAGTTTGAAGTGTGTCCGAGTCCGCCATAGGCCAGGTCCTTGACGGCGATGTAGGCGGCCACCATGCACACCAGCACCCAGTCGCTCACTAACCCCGTGAGCAGACCCACCGACGGGAACAGCAGGCAGCAGAGAGCCGCCGTCAGCAACCCCACCACACGCGCCACTCGCGGCTTAAACGTGTCTATCAACCACGGCACTAAAAAAATCTGCAGAGAGAGAGCAGGGTTATGCTGTGTCGATGTGTGTGGGAGGGGATGGCGTGCCTGTAGTGGGAAGTTGATGAGTCCTGAGACGAAGAATACGGTGCCCACGGTGGCGACCCTGAAGTCCAGCGGCTGAACGCAAAACAGGGCCGACGTCTGGTCCGTTGCGATGCGCGCAAAACTGATGAAGAAGGCGATCATCACCTGCAACATTCACAGGCAGCCAGGCAACACACAACACACCACTGCGATGTGCTGGTGCGGTGAGCGAGAGTGGGCTTACGGTGACGACCAGCCCTGGGGTCATCTTTAAAGGCGTCGCTCTGGTCCGCCTTCGCCACCACCGTCGCGGATTCAGCGACCGCCACCACCGCGGCAACCCTCGGCTCATCTCATCCCACCGACGCAGCTCTCGCGCGTGTACCACTTTCTCGACAGGCGTCTCGTCCAGCTCGTTGTTATTGTTGTTGATATTCCCAGCATCCTGAGGGGGGCTGGGTACGTGCCCCTGCCCACCACTCTGGTAGCTCCCTCCCCCATTCACGGTGGCATCGTCGGCGCGTGGGTCGGACCCCGGCTGCGTTGATGCGTTGTGCGTGGGGAGGGGGAGGGGGAGGAGGGGGCTCTTGAGCGAGCTGTTCTGGACAGCAGCGTTGTCCTCCTTCTGCCGCTCCAGCTGCCGCCGCCTCTCCTCCCGCTGTCGGTGGCGGTCGTCGCGTTTCCGATGGAGCTTCTCCACAATCGCGGGGCTCTCAGGGACGTAGGCGAGCAGCACCAGACATACCACTTGCAGCAAGGCGCACGTGATGCAGGCGGGGGCGAAGGGGAGACCGGTCGAGCAGGCGACCGGGAAGCTGGTCTTGAGAAACTCTGACCCCCACTTGCCCGGCTCGCATGGATACGCGAGCCAGCCACCCATTGTCGGGCCTATCAGGAAACCCATTGTGCGACCTGATAGGCAGGCAGGCACACACAGTCCATTTCTCTGTGCCAGTTTCCTTCTCATCTCATCTGCTCGCTCTCTCGTACCTGCGGATATGTGTGCCATGGTTGACGAGTGTTTGTGTTTGGGGACTATATCGGCGGCCAGCGCCCGAGCCACAGACAGAGTGGGCGAGAAGCAGCCGGCCAGAAAGCGGAGGAACACCACCATCCAAAAGTTGCGAGTCAACCCCACAAGACCCGTCAACACACCTGACACACACACACACACACACACACAGCCAGGCAGACAAGGCAGCCAGACAGAATGAACGAGTCCACCATGCTCATGATGCTCCCTCCACTCCATCCCGTGGCTCACTGCCTGACCAGTGGTAACAACCGCGATGAAGAGGCAGACTTTCCTGCCCGAGGTGTCGGCCACCCAGCCCCAGGGGTAGGTGGTGGTGACGGCACGGCCGCAGAAGAAGGCCGACAGGAGGAACCCCGCGTAGTATCCGATGCTGGTGTTCTCGTTCTTGACGAACTCTTTCACCATGTAGGGCGCCGCCGTCACCAGCAGGTTGGCCATACACGTCTGGAAGCACACGATGCCGCTCAGGTACACCGAGTAGCGAAGCCACTTCTCGCTCGGAGGGTGGTGCAGCAGGAGGGCCTCCTGCGGCTGATCCGTGGGGAACGACACCGTCACGGAAGGCTGCTCCACGTCCGCCGCCTCCTGCGAATCCTCCGAACCCGGGCAGACCGGTGCACTGCGCCCCACTACGGGACGCGCCATTGTTGTTTGTCGTGGGTGGACGCCACAGGATTCTCTCGACGGACGAGAAGAGGCGGATTTTCTCGACGAGCCAAAAGATCTTGCGGCGGCTGGAGAGATGACCTTGTTCTGCGCGCGACTAAAACAACGCTAGAGGAGATGCAGCGACACCCTGTGGCACACCGATCTTGCAAGTGGCGCAAAAGGGCCTTGCCGCGATTCGAACGCGGGACCTTTCGCACCCTAAGCGAAAATCATACCCCTAGACCACAAGGCCGATCTACGGATGTAGGGACTTGTCAAGGCAGCATCCTCGCCTTCTGTCGCGTTCCTGCTCTCCTTCGCCCTCTCGCAGCTCTGACGTACCTGCCCGGCATGTTGGGTGTCTCATCTCATTGCCGTGCATCATCACGTTACCGTCCCGGCTTCCCCGCGGACGTTCTGTCGCGGGGGCGCGCCCCCAGCCCACTTGTCTGATTCACTGCCGACTCGGAGCCTTCCTTCGTGGACAAAACCAATGCCGAGTCAGCGTAGCAACGAAGTCGGTGGAGGGAAAGCCCCTCGTGCCGACACTTTGCCAGGTAAGCCAGAAAACACTGGATGGACGCCATGCGAGTCACACGTGCCAGCATCCACCCTTCTCCCTTTCTCGTGCAGGTGTGGAGGGTCACAGCTGCTCCCTGTTCTCCTTCGCGACCGGCCAGTCCACCCTCATGTTGGCGGACAGCGACCCTTACAGCCAACAGGGCCCGTCTTGGCAGCACTCCCCCGCTGCCAAACGGCACGCCAGGGCAAAGGCGCTGGCCAAACTGGCGCTCTTCCTTTCAATGCGGCGCGACCTTGAGGAGCGCCTCGACGCCATTGACATCTATGTGGAGGCTGCTTTGGTGGATGTGGACGTGCTGTGGCTGAGTGCGCCGGTTCGGGAGCAGCTGTGGGGCGTGCTCGAGGACTATCTTGACCAGTACAACGTCACCTTCACGGCTATCTTTATGGCCTCTGTGCTGTACTACGCCGCCTGCATGGACGGCGCACAAGTGGAGGCGGAGGGGGCGATAGGGATCGCCCAGGAGACTGTTGATGTTGACGAAGAAGGAGATGAGGGCGGCATGGTCTTGCGTGTGTCGGAGATGGAGGCGAGAGCCGTCTCCCACCTGCGGCTGTGCATGCATCTGCGGCGTGACCTGGTGCCTCTTCTGGGCGTCATGACCGGCCGCCTGCTGCTACACATGGGGCGAGACCGGGAGGCCGCGGACGCATTCAGGCAGGCAGCCGAGTATGTGCCACCGTCAGACAGCCATCGGGGAGACACCAAGCCTTTCGCTCCGATGACCAAGAAGAGAGCGCGTCGTTTGGGATATCTGTGCATGGGGACGGACAGGCAAAGGGCGCAGCGGGAGCAGGAGGAGGCGATGCGGATCAAGCGGTCCGAGGCCAGGTTCTTTCTCGGTGTCGCGCTGTACAACCGTTGTGTGCGGAGCGGCGCTGAGAGTCCGCAGAAGGCGTATGCCTTCATGTGCCAGGCCAAGAGAAGCCTCGATGAGTTCCGTCTGCAGGAGGTAATGTAATCGACAGGGAGATATATATGGGGTGGGAGACACGGGTTCCTCTCCTGTGTGTGTCTGGCTGCATGCAGGAGTCTAGTGGGTCTAAATTTCTGTCGTCTTGCTACTACCTGCTCTGTGAAGTCAACCTGGCCCTTGTGACAGATGTTGAGCCCCCCAAACAAACAGCCAAACGACCAACACCCTCCACGCAAGGACACAGAATACTGATTGCATCGGTCGGGGTGTGTGTGTGTGTGTGTGTCTCGCTGCTCAGATGTGACAGATTTGCGGGCTTTGTGTTTTCGAGATGAGTCCACCACCAGAACAGCCGTTGACCTGTACACACAGGTGATGACACACAGCCATTTCTTCCCCTCCCTCCCTCCCTCCCTGCCTGCTCGCATCCACACATCCATTGAATGTGTTGTGTTATGCGTTGTGTCTCGGCTCCGTCCACTCCTCTCCTCTCCTTCAGGGTTTGAAATCAGAGGTGAGTGCGCGTCGGTGGCTGGGTGAGGACTGGTTCGCTGGCGGGGACGCACGGCCATACGGACATACACAGGAGAAGGAGACCGCCACCCAGCTGCTCATGACACTGCAGCAATTCGGTCGGTGAGTGAGGAAAGTCGGGGGTGGCATTGATGGATGGACGGATGAATGGATGGATGCATGGACTGTGTGTGTCTGTGTGTGTGTGTGTGGCAGGTGCCGTGCCTTATCTGCCATGCCCGGAGGACGCGTGTGCCAACCCGATGTGTCTTGCCCATGAAGCGGACCTGCCGCCCTCATCCACACTGCGGCCATGCCACAGCTGCGCGAGGCCTCGCTTCTGCTCGAAACAATGCGAAGTAACCCAGCGACAGCCTCCATCTGTGTTCTTCTCCATGTGTGTGTCTGTGTGTGCAGTGGTCGTACGCTCAGTATTGGCATCGGTTTGAGTGCCTCGGTGCCTTGCAGTCCGCCGTGTCCCGCTCCTCCCGACCGTCACAAATCGCCACGCCAGCCCACAGGCACATGTCCCTCTCGGCAACAACACCAAGACGGAAACCGGAGGACGCAAGACAAACGGCGAAGCCCAAACCCGCGACCGCACAGCCGACAAAACACGGAGACAGCACATCCCTCTCTGCGCCAGTTCATGAAGTGAAAGAGACGAAGGCAGACATTGCTCAAGGGGCGTGGGCGGAAGACAGAAATGGCGGCGGGAAGAGACGGTTATCCAGCCCTCGGAGAGGCGCGGCTCCCTCATCCCCAGAGCAAGAAGGGCTCCCCAGCGACCTCTCTGGGTGGACGCATCAAACAGACGAATTTTTCCGGCTAACAGCTCTGCCAAGTCCCCCAGAGCACTCACCGGCGCGCCTTTCCCCGCCGGCAGAAGACTCGGCAAAAATGGTCACACGGGGGGGCGACAAGGTAGCAGCGAGACGAGCCAAGGGCAAAGGCACATCGACGGCCAGGGCAGAGGCAATGACGCTGCCGCGTGTGCGGATCAGTCGTCCGGGTACGCGTGTGACGCCCCCGTGTGTGCGTGAGGGGCGTGTGAATTGTGGGGTCAGTGAGGGTGGGATTGCTACAAGGAGGGTCATGGTCAGTGAGGGTTTGCCGGCAAGGCAGCGGAAGAAGTTCATCGTGGCCAGAAGGAAGACAGATGACTGATATTAGATCGCACTGAACGAATCGATGGATGGACGAGTCAGTCGGGGTTTGACCACACTACACTCACACACTCGCACGCACAGTCAGTACACGAGTCGACTATTTATTTGTCTGTGCACATGAAGTGGGATGGGGGGAGGTATCCATCCATCGATCCAGGTATGTATTTGCGTTAAGCCCTGTACACCACATGAACATGAAACACGCTTTCTTCACACACATCCTCCCCCCATGCAGCCCTCCCCCTCACTGCATCACCACAGCGCGGCTAGGCAGGATCTTGCCAAACAACACGTCCTTGATCTTACCCACAATATACCACAGCGGCACCAGGAAGGCCAGGCACTGTATCCACGCGAACTTGAGCAGCTCCAGCGCATCCGGGCGGTACCGCACCGGCTGCTCGGGGACCTCCATCACCACCGTCGCACGGAAGCTCTTCGACCCACTCGTCTGGAACCCCTGATACACGCTGCCGCCGGATGCCTGGCCGTCCATGCGCCGCACCATCGGCGCCGCTCCGTTGGTTGTGGCCGGCTCGTTCGACCAGAATGGGGGGCTGTTGAGGTCGAAGCTAATGCTCTCATTGCGGTTGGTGTAGCTGTCGAGCAGCCGACGGACGACAAATGGGAGGGCGTGGGTGGGGGCGGCGTAGGCATCCTGGCTGCTGGAGGGCGAGATGGCGCTGATGGACAGAGGGGAGGAGTCATAGACCCGGCGAGGCTTGGAGCCGACGGGGAGGGGGTTGCGCTGCACCAGACGGATGGCCCCTTTAGCGCTCAGCGAGGCCCTGCCCTGTGCGGTGGACGCGGCCAGCACCGCCAGCCCCTGCATGTCCATCCGGACCCGGTCGTTGAGGCGGTAGGTCACGCCCAGCATCAGCATGACTGAGTCCACCTCCTCCATGCCCTGGGTGCTCAGAGGGAAGGTCATCTCCACCGTCAGCCGGTCCGTCTTGCCGTCAAGGTTGAAGTCTGCCGCCCTCACGCGCACATCGGGGGTGACGACGGACGTCCCCGCCAGCTGGTTGAGTTGCTGCACGGTGCTCCAGAAGACCGTCGACGGTAGGCCGTTCTTTCTGCCCTCGATGAGTGCGAGGGCGTCCGATGAGTAGGCGACCTCCGGCTGCTCGGTGTAGGATCCCTCGTGCAGCCAGAATGAGTAGGACGAGAAGGCGATGAGGAAGGGCACGATGATGACGCCGATGGTGAGCGCAACGGAGAGAAGGCATCCGAGCGACGCAATGGGCGTGACGTACGCCACTCTGCTGGGCGTGGAGTGCGCAATCGCCATTGGGAGATCTCCCACACTGGCCGGCCCAGATCTTTGGCCCGGATCCGCGCAACCGCCACGACAACCGCCTCTGGTCGATTATTTTATTTCTGCCGCTGCCTTGGCTCTTCGCTGTTGTGATGCTGTCCTGAGATGGGGCGGCGGGGTTGCTTGGGCTGGTGACGCCGCTGTGAACGGGGAGGCGCATGATGAAGGCGAGGAAGGCGGCGGTCATCTACCTGATCATACTGCTGTGCATTACGGCCGTCATCTGATTGTCGGCGACCAGAGGCTCAGATCGATGCTGCTCACCAACTTCGCAAGGGCATCCATCGCATCTGCGGCCACAGCTGCTGCTGTCAGCAGCAGCGGCATCAGCATCAGCAGGACCGACGCCGCCTCCGCCACCGACCACCTGTCAGCCGGGCGGGCCCATCTTCTCCGCGGCTCCGGCCATCAACTCATATCGCAGGAACAAGACTGCCATTGCCCAGCCTGTGCAAACACTGACCCCGCCACTGCAGCTGCAGCCGACGGACCGGCCGTGAGATCATCGGTCGAGTCGTCCCCGTCAGTGCCGGCGATTCCCCGGCAGGTGTTCATGACGACGCGCGACAAGCAGAATATGGCGAGGTGGGAGCAGAGGAATTTTGAGAAATGCACCAGGATGAACCCCGGGTGGAGGTTTGTCGTCTATGACGACATCGACATGGAAGAGTACGTCAGGGCGACGTTCCCGGGGATACTCGACACGTGGAGGTTCTTGAAGAACACTGTTGAAAAGAAGGTCAGACTTTGTCCGCACACACAGACAGGGGGAGGAGGGGCTCGGGCCGCACAGGCCGCTTTGGCGTCTGGTGTGTGTGTGTGTTGGGAATGGCACCAGGATGTGTGGTCTTACTTGATCATATATGACAAGGGGGGCTTGTTCCTCGATACCGACATCGATTGCCGAGTGCCCATCGACAGGTGGGATCAGCCATACGGACATTCGTCCAGAGGTGAGAGAAGACAGAGAAGAGAGAGGCATCCATCCATCCATCGACCTGCACGGCATGTTCTCTCCTCTCTGCTCTGCCATGACATGCCATAACAGGCCTGATCGGCGTCGAAATCAACAAGCCCCAGGAGGACTACCTCCAGTTCACCAACTGGTGTTTCGCATTCGCCCCCAGGCACCCCATTCTCTATGCGACCATCGCCCTCGTCCTGCAGAAGATCGCGCAGCTCCGGGTGACCCCCACCAACGTCGATAGCGTCTTCCTCACCGGACCCACTGTCTTCTCCCGGGCCGTGATGGACTACATGGCCATGTATGGGCTCGATCGCACCGCCGTCAGGGAGGGGGGAGACTTTCAGACAGGCGACGTGAGGCTGCTGGGGGTCAACAGGTTCGCCCCTTTGCAGAGCCACTCACACGCCACGATGGACTGCCACAGCCCGGAGATTTTCGTTATCCATCAGTTCAGCGGCAGATGGCGGCAGGAGTACAAGTGGTACACGGCTGACGGCAGTCGGCCCAAGGGGGCGTGGGTGCCGCCAGCCAAACCGGCACACTGGCGGCCACCGTGCTGGGAAGACCTTAGAGAGACATCGACATTATGACCTGTGTGTGCCTGTCCATGCTTGTGGGTGTCTGTGTGTGTGTGGCCCACCCCTGGCTGCCTGCCTGCCTGTGTGTCTGTGTGCCCGTGTGATGCGATCGATGCGCGTGTAATGATGATCGAATTGCTGTTGCTCATAATGAATGCCTGACAAATGGCTGGTGTAAAGAAGGCCGGGCCTGCCTTGCAAGAAATTGCTTTGCGGACATTTTGGTGCATTGGCATCGATAGCTATCGTATTCATACCCAGACAGACACATGTGAATAAACCGATGTATCTACTTGTGGCATGCGATGCGTGTGCCAGGCCGGCCTACCGGCGATTGTGGGCGTGGCGTGTGTCTGATGAGATGATGGATGAGCTCACATGATTGGATTGACTGATACGATGGATGCATCCATCATGATATCATGGATAGAGGCATAGAGAGAGGAGTACAATAAATAAAGTCAAACAAAAACGCATGTGTCCATCCACCATCCACCACCCCTCCGCCCCATCAGCCAGGAATTATATCAGTCAGTCAATGCATCGCATCGCATTCATCGGCAACTTCAATCAAGAGGACCAAAAAAACGAAAAACGGACGGCTGGCTCGCCTCGCCTCGCCTCGGCCACAGGGCTACTCGCATCACACGCACAAGTCGTACAGACAGACAGGCAGACAGACAGACAGGCACATGTCATGTGTATGTAATTCCCCTCCCTGCTCTGCCTGCCGGCCACACATCAATGAGATGAGCTCGGTCTGTCCATCAGTCAGTCAGCCACACACTATCAGCTTGCTGCAGGCTACATTTGGTCATTCCGTCTGGACAGCTAGGCTACAGGAGCTTCCACTCCTCCTCCTCCCCCTCCGCAGCAGAACCAGCACCAGCGCCGCCCTTGCCCCTCTGGCTCAGCAGCTCCTCGAGGTACCCCACCAGCCACTGCTGCTCGTCATCGGTGGCCGCCCAGTGGCCCTGGCCCACCTCCGCCGCCCCCACCCGCTCGGCGAACTCCATGACATACTTCTTGTCAAGGGCCGCCTGCCGTCCATCGCCCTCCCGCACCTGGTGCCTCACTGCAGGGGTAGGTGTGCCCTTGAGGGATGCCAGGTGCAGCAGGACGGCCGCGCCCCTCTGCGGCGAGATGCGCCACATGGGGAGCACGAAGGCTATGGCCCACACGATGGGCTTGAGCAGCAGGAGGGCCGGCGGCGGCAGCTCCGTCAGCACCACACCGGGGCAGCCCACGTAGCTCCGCACACACCGACCACGAGCACACCACTCACGGTTGAGAGCCACACTCAACGTGTCCTGTGTCCACACAACACACAACACACAAAGGGGCACACCCAACAAGCGTCCACGTGTGTTGGTTTGTTTGTCAGCATCAATCTCACTTGAAGGTGTTTGGTGTATCCGTAGGGCTCGTCGCCCGTCACACACATGGGGTCCTTGAGGTGCTCGCCCTTGACAATCCACTGGTTGCTCGAGCCCCTGCTCCCCGTCCACACCAAACACCCGTTGCCAGCCTCGAGAGCCTGCTCCAGCTGCCGCACCAGCACATAGTGGCCCAGCACATGAGTGGCGAACGACGTCCCGTAGCCCTCGGCCGTCACCACGCCGGGCCGCTCTTCGATGAAGCAGGGGCCCTCGGGCGTCACGCGTGACAGATTGAAGAAGGTCCGGATGCGGTCGAGAGAGGTCAGCTGGAGAAACAGGGAGAGCCGCTGGCTGCCGTACTGCACCACGCCCGCATTGCAGAAGAGGAAGCCGATCTTGGGGTGGCGCTTCCGCACCTCAGCGGCAGCGGCGAGGCAGGACGCGGGGGACGACACGTCCACCTGCAGGATCTCCATGCTGCCGTGATGGTCCTTACCAGCCAGCCTCTCAGCCACGGTGTCAATGGCCCGCTGCGCCTTGGCCACGTTCCGGCAGGCAAGGACGACGTGGAGGCCGCACGCCACCAGCTGCTCTACCAGGGCCAGACCGATGCCGCTATTGGCGCCCGTCACGATGGCCACACGCCTGCCGCCCTGCCTCGTTCCTGCCTCCCTGCCGTCGCGAAAGTCACCTGACTCAAACACCACACCCACCCCGCAGTGTGGTGTAGCGCTCACACATGAGGATTCTGCCTGCGTGTTCGGCTGGCTGCCACATGTGGCTGACTTACTTTGTGTGAAGGTCCACTCCTTCTCCTCGAGTCGTCTCTTGCAGTAGCGGTTGACGGCATCGCAAATGATGGCAAAGCCGACGCAGTAGAGGACAGTGACGATCATGTCGAGGCTGCGGTTGACGAGCCAGCAGGTGAAGAAATACGCACACACCTTCCGGCTTCCGGCAGGAAAGAATAGGCACCAGATCATCCAACTCAGTCAACGAAAACCAGCCTGAAAATCGCTGAAAAGTGACGGATCTGCCGCTTTTTGCTACAGGACAGCTTGGCCGCGCCGCCACGTCACGTGCTACGCGCTCCGATGTCACGGCTGAGCTCGCAGACGATCGGCGCCCTTCTCCAATGGGTTTTGAACGCTGATCTGGGGCGCTGGCCAGAGTGGAGGACATCAATTGACATCTTCTGCAGTCGCAACGCACCCTTGCCTGAAGGCGGCGCGAGATGTACTTCGGCGCTCCGTCGACGCGATGGGGACTGCCCATCAGGCAGTGGACGCCTCTCCCCGTCACCACCCTGCCAGCAGACATGGGTGCAGGCGATATCGAGGCCTTCCTCAAGCAGCAGCGCCTCGATGACCTCGAGAGGAAGCTCAAGGACGGCGAAATCGAGATGCCTGATCCAGACATACCCAGGCCGCCATCGCCAGAACCCGTCTATGACGCTGAGGTGCGCTGCACTCACTGCACACACAGATCAGGGTTCACACTGGACGCCGTTCTGTATGCCCTCGTGTTCCTTGTTGTCTCAGGGCAACCACATCAACAGCCGTCAGAACCGTGCTCGGCAGGCTATGTTGGCGGAGCGGCAGTACCTGCTCGAGGACCAGTACCGCCGCGACCCCTCCACCACCCCCCCGCCGCACTACAAGCCCCCCAGGAAGCAGCGCAAGATCCCCCTCCCCAACCCGCCACACACCAACACGGCCGTCGCTACCCTCGCCGGCCCCCGCGGCATCATGCACCAGGAGCTGCAGAGCCGCACCAGCACCAGGATCACTGTGGGCGGCAGGGGCTTCTCCCGCACAGGCGAGCCGGGCGACGGCGAGGCGCCTTTCGTGTTGGTGCAGGGTGAGGCCATGGATGCGGTGGAGAGTGCGGCGGGGATGATTGAGGCCATGGTCCAGGCGCTGACACAGGGGCAGCAACAACAGCACCACACCGAGAACGGCGTGGGGGCAGCGGCGGTCAAGGGAGAGAAGGATGACGAGGCGATGGACATCGATGGGGAAAAGGTGGATACAGCTCCTGCTGCTGCGCCAGTGGCGGCGGTAGCGGCGCCGAAGGAAGAGGCTGTCAAGAAAGAGGAGCCTCAGGTGGTCTCTGAGGAAGCCAAGGTCAAGACAGAGGACAAGAAGGAACCGACACAAGCTGCGGCTGCTACTGCTCCTCCTACTTCTCCTGCTGCTGGCGGTGCTAAACCACCGGCAGCAACGAAAACAGAGGGTGAGCCAACACACACACGCGCGATCCACAGGATGGACACACACCGAGCTCTCCTTCCCTGTCTGTTTGTCTGGCTGTGTGCAGCCCCCGTGGCGTCAGAGAGTGCGTCCCAGTGGCCGACGGCGGAGATGATGTCGTCGATGATGATGCCGGGCATGATGCCGGGCATGATGCCTTTCATGTTCCCCTACGGCATGCCCGCCATGGCGGCGGCGTACGGCGACATGTCGGCCTACTATGCGGCCATGACGGGCGGGGCAGCCGGCAGCAGCGGCGCGGCAGCACAGGGCAGCACATCGCCGAGCTCTTGAAGGGAGGGAGGGAGGGAGGGAGGTGGCCTGGTCCAGGCTGTGCGAGTGTTGTGTTATGCTGCGTAGTATGCCGTTTGGTCGTTGCACTGCTTCGCCGCAGCTGGGCGACCTCTTCGCCATCCACCACAGAGGATGGTTGTGAGATGTGGCTTAGATGTGGGGAACCGCTGCGACGACAGACGGCTTGGGCGCTGCTTCCTGCGTGAATTTCTCCTGACTATTGTGTGTGTGTGTGTGTGTGTGTGTCATGCTGGCTGAGTCATGTGGCGCTCCTCTACTTCTACCTTGCGGTGCGTGGTGGTTATGTTTGTCGCTGTTGAACATGGTGACAGACATGGCCGCTGCGATGAATGAGGCTGATGTAAGGGACTGGCACAGCAATGCATTGGATGAGACCACCGTTCCCTCGTTGGTTCATGACACAATTCAATTCACATCCCTCTGTCCCGGACTTTGTTCCAAGGTGGGAGGAAGGGAAATAGCGCATCAGAAGCGAACAAAGGCAAGTTGTGCGTGCTACTGCGACTGCATGATCCAACCAACAGACAGACAGACAGTGAGACGGGGTTCACAGGTGTCAGGCGTGTGTCGAGGAGTCACGTGTCGCTGTCGTTGGGTGTTCGCGTCTGTCTCATCGGTTGAGTAACGAGCTGTGCCGCCTTAATCTGACCATTCATCCACCCACAGGTTGTAACGGAACCCAGATGAGTTCTGCGAGACGTATCGCGGGTTATGTCACAGTGTGTGGGTAGGTCGACGGAGGAACCAGTGGCCACAGGTTTCGCGTGTGTTCAGACAATATCTGTGTTGGGGGTGGAGAGTGACGCTGTTCCATCAAGGAGCGAATTAAACAACGTACATTCATGTCAAGGCCAACGCATCCGTGATATTAACACATGAAAGCAGCAGCTGCCAGCGAGCTCACGCTCGTCAACGTACACACGCACTGCACTCCCTCACAGCACACACGCATCAGAAAGGTGTCTGCAGGTTCCAGTAGGTAGGAAGGCGTGGGGCGCGTGGCAGACCCACTCGTCCACAGACCCTCAGGCAGGCAGGCAGGCAGGCAGGCAGACAGGCAGACGTTCACACCATGAGCATTAAAGCGTGGTTCATGAGATACAGACATTCAGACAAGTCAGTCAGACAAGTCAGTCAGACAGCCGACTATAGAGGGACGCACTTCAAGGGTAGTGAACACACTCTTCACACATTTCTATCGAGCCCTTCCCTTCTGTCTGTCCGAGTCCTTGTACGATCCCCGGGGCGTGTCACAAGAGCGCACCCAGGCCGCTGGCTGTCCAAACGTCTGTTTTGCAGCCCCACCGCCCGCGGCACCCAGACCACGTCCCCTCACCTTCACACCACACATCCACTGCTCTCCCCTCCCCTCCCCGACACACATACACACCTTCTCAAACACGGGCATCGTGCAGCACACTGCCTGTGTGGGTGGGCGTGCACAGCACCACCCACACACATGCCATGAAGGGCCACATGGTGTGTATGTTGAGCTGGTCGGCAAAACGCCGCTGTCTGCCAGCTGGTCGGTCCCCAAAATTGACGCCCGTCCGTCGTTATCAACACAGACAGCCACACACCCACGAGTCAGTCAGTCAGCTGCACAAGACCCGTTGGTCTGGTCGGTCGAAAATGAAAAAAGATCGGCACAACGAAACGAAAACCGCACCACCTGCCACACACCACCACAACGCACCAAACACATAACAGGTGAGCAGTGAAGTGCATTGCGTCCCCCAGCCAGGCCTCTGTCTGTGCGTGTGGTGTGGTCTGTCTCACCGGCGTGTGGTGGCGCTGGTGTGAGGCCGTGGGTCTATGCGCCCCGCTGGACCTCGCCGAAGAGGCCGCCGGTGGCGGGTTTGAAGTTGGGGTCCTTGAGCTTCTTCTCGCGCTTCGCCACCACGGCGTGGCCCATCGAGTGGTAGATGCTGTTGTACTTCAACGCACGCTGCAGCCGGGCCTCAGACATCCTGCAGTCACAAACCAGACAGAGACACGGGATTGCACATGAATACGCCCCTCCCCTCTCCCACCCAGTGCGTCCCATCCCATGTGTGTATGGCCCAGCTCACCTCTCCAGGTGCCCGTCCCCTGTCATCAGTCGCGCAGCGACCGAGTAGGCGCGTTTGGTGTGACCGTCCAGCTTGCCCGACAGGCCCGACGCCTCCTTCTCGAGCTTCTCGTGCACCTTCTTCTGCTTGTCCGTCGTCTTCTCGCCGCGGACGTTCTGAATGAAGTTGCCGACGTTGTGGGTCGTCCACAGGAGCATCGGAGCGACGAAGGCCATCTCGTCAAACAAACAGAGGGAGTGCTATACGAAGGACGCGAAGCGGACGTGAAGAGGACGCAAAGAGGGTAGCAGAAAGCGAAATGCAACCACAAGCTCTGAAAGCAGGTGGTGACGAGATACGAGGCGGGTCAGAACGGATCTTCGCTGACCTTCGCTGGTGGAACCCTAAGCCCTATACTCAGGAACCCGTTAACCCTATAACCCTGAGCCCAACCCTTTAGGGTTCCAAAACGACAAAACGGAGAAAAACCAAACGCCTCGTGTAGCGCTGCTCTCGTGAGTGAAGTGATCCCCACCTCCTTTAGGCAAGCCGGCTCTCGACCACTGACGTCGAGTCATCTCGCAGCGACGGCCGATCTCATCTCCAGGGGAGGGGTGCACCGCACCTGGAGGAAGATCAGCTCACTGCATAGATAGCGAGGCCCTCCGGAGCTGCCTTGATGAGTCACAACAGAGGCGGGGCTGCGGGCGAGCACTCGCCGGCCGCAAATAAGAAACTCGGTGAGCTGAGCACCCATAGCGATGCATGGGATAGGATGTGCAAGGGTCAGATCACGTGCCTGTGCACCTACCTGTGCTGTGTGTTTGCTGCCTGTGCGGTGCGGGCTGTGTGTTTTTCTTCCCTTCAGCTCGAGAGTATGCCGTTGAGAGCGGGATGGACTGGGCTGTGCCGCTGATCAACAAGGAGAAGGACGGGTCGTTCGTCGGCTTCAATGCATGCCAGGACAAAGGCGCCTTCATACACACTCTATTCAGCGGTATGTATGCATGGAATGGACGCGCACACATCACATCACCTGACGATCGTGTCTATTGATTGATCCTGGGTCCCTGTCTGTGTTGTGTGTTCTATCTATCTGGTGTGTGTGTCAGTGAATCGGATGTACATGACCATTTTGTGTTCGCGTTGCGGAGTGGTGGCCCATCCCGTCTACGGAGTCAAGAAACGAACTTGCGGAGGTCACCCACACAGACACAGCACAGCACAGACCAGACCAGACCCACACACATATAGCCAACACACCACATCTGTCTGTCTGTCTGTGGCTGGGTCACCTCACTCACCCTACCCTTGCATTGCAGCCGGTGGCACGCATTCATTTGTCATTCGTTCGCCCGCCGGCTGCCCCCGCCCGCCGCCCAGCACCCCGCACCCCAATCCCAACCCCAATCCCTCCCCGGCACCAGCGCCCTCGTCCAAGCGGCGAAAGCACGACGAGATGGCCTGCGACGGCCACACGGACATGGACAGCCTCGACAGACAGGGCACAGCGGGAGGCTGTGGAGGAGGCTGTGGAGGGTGTGGGGGCGAAAGGGTAGCGGAGGACCTCCACCGGCCGCCCAGCCGTGCGGGCAGCCGCAACAGCCGTCTGGTGCGTGAGAACCTCAAAAATCTGAATGAGGCTGCGTATCACCATCCCGACACCCCCCGGGACACCAGCGGCTACGCATTCAGAACGAGGAGCGGCGCAGAAAGGAGCGGAAGCAGAGTGAATGGGGGGCTGGGCGGCTCTCCGGCAGTGGGAGGGGGGCCGGGTGTAGGTGTAGGTCTGTTCGCTGCGCCGGGCCCAGTTGAGTGTTGTTTCCTGTGGCTGGACGGTGGTGGGGGTGGCGAGGGGCCGGTCCAGGTGCAGAAGGGGGCGGCGGCCAAGGGCAAGACGGGCGAGGGCCGGGCCTGCCAGGTCATGAAGTCGACAGCAGACAAAATGTATGTGAGGCGGGAGGGGGGGAGGGAGGGAGGGAGAGGTGGGCGAGGCATGCGAACCGGTGTAAATGTGTGTGTGTGGTTTTGTTGTCAGACGTGGCAAGGGCGACTCGACGCGGAACGCCATAGAGTGCCTTGACGACGTCCCGCCCTCACGGGACCCTTCACGTGAGCGCCAAACAGACAGACAGACAGATAGACAGATGCAGCAGTGTTTGTTCTGCACCATCTCCCTCTCTGTGTGTCTGTGTGGCTGTCTGTGTCCCACCCACCAGTGAATGTGTCGCTGCCCCCTCCGCTGCCCTCGTCACGTTGCGGGTGCAGTGCGCGGACTCCATCGGCAGCCAACAACCCGCAGCCAAAGGCCCAACCAAAGTCAGTCACCACCTATCCACACCACCCCAACACACACATGTACCTACCGTACCAGCTGGCTGACCTCTCTCCCTCCCTCTGTGTGGTGTGTGTCGCGTCAGGCGTGCCTCGTCTCAGCATCCGCCGGCGTCGTCCCGTAAGGCCAGCCAAGCCAAGCGCACCCCCGCACAGGCCAACGGGGAGGGCAAGGGCAAGGCCAAGCGGCCCAAGGCGCCGCCCCAGCCGCCAGTGGCAATCACTGACACGCCCACTGGTTCTGCTGGTGGTGGTGCTGGTGGTGGTGCTGGTGGTGGTGCTGGTGGTGGTGCTGGTGGTGGTGCTGGGGTGAACGGCGGCATGTGTGTGGACAAGCTTGGCGTGGTAGATGAGTCGCCTGCGTGTGAGGAGCTGGGGCTGCGTAAGGGGGACCAGGTGCAGGTGGCATGGTCAGTTCTCACTCAGCACACAACACAACACACGCGCACACACAGAGAGGGGCATGCACACATACATAATGTGTAGGTGTGTTGTGTTGTGTTGTGCTGTGTGTGTAGGCGTACTGCGTGGGGTGCGGCTGGCTGCGCCTGGTGGAATGGGTCCATCATCAATGTGCAGGATAGAGCGGCCAAGGTAGGTCCAAAGCCACACACCACACCACACCACACCACACCTCACACACACCATCACCATACCGCCCCCCTAACCTACACAACGGTTGGTCACTCATGTGTCTGTCCACTGTGGGTGCATGGTGTGGTGTGGTGGCATGTATGTCCAGGTTCGTTTCCAGACAAGCCGTCACGACACGGCCCACGAGATATGGGTCAACACCTCCAAATTCTGCAGACACGGAGGTACGTACCTCACCTCGCCACCCACCGACCCCCCACCCCACCCCAAACACACAGATGGGGAGTGGAGTGCCTTCGCATCGCATCGCATCGCATCGCATATGTGTGTGCGGTTCGATTCCCATCCATCTATCTATCAGTGCCCGTGCGGTCTCCGGAGGAGGGTGCGTTCCGTCTGCGCCCCAGAGAAGTCGACATGAACACAGATTTCTTCGTTGGTAGGTCCACCCCGCCAAACACACACACTGAGAAAGAAACACACGGGCGGGACGGACCACTCTGCCTGTGTGTGTAAAGGTTCGGTGGTGTGCTGCCGGACTGAGACGAACCCGTGTGAGCTGTACGATGCCGTCATCAGGGCTGTGTGGATGCCCAGACGAGCCAGAGGCGTGAGTCAGGGAGTCAGGGAGGCGGGGAGGGAGGGAGGAAGGGCATTGCCACACAACAGACCAGACCTCATTTGTTGCCTTGGTTGGTCGGTTGGTTGGTGTGTGTGTGCAGAAGGAGTTGAAGATCTTCTACTTTATGGACAAGACAATCGATGAGCGGATCACACCCAGGGTACAAACCGCACCCACACACAGAACACAACATAAGCCTAGCAGCAGCAGCACACATCTGCCCTGCCTCCCTCCTTCGGGCTGTCTGTCTGTCTGTCGACACACGCTTCGCTACGCTTCTGTTCTTCTCGGTCAGGTGGTTCGCTACAAGCTGCCCTACAACATCTCCCTCGGCAACAAATGGGAGGTACGCCCGTCCGGACCGGCTCACACACTCTTCCCCCTTCACACACGCATGCGCCATTCCCACACACAGCCACTGCCTGTCTGCCTGTCTGTCTGTCTGTGTATCTCTCCCTCTGTGTGTGTCTGTGTGTGTGTGTGTGTGTGTGTGTGTTGTTTGCGTGAATCAGCTGGCCCCACTGGAGCCCGGTTCGCTCCCTCCAGACCCCTCCAAGTTGCGGCTGATGCATGCGGCCATCGCCGACCCCACCAACCAGATCGACTACATGGTGCCACTGGACAACCCCGAACCCTTCGACAATGCCGTGAGCGACCGACGCACATACGAGAAGGAGGGGGAGGAGGGATGTGCTGCATAAACTGGCTGTATGTGTGTATGGCGGCAGGATGGCATTTGTCCCGACGGGATTAGCAAGATGGTGGGGGGCGTCCGTGTGCCGCTGCTCAGCCCCGCCACGTCGTCCAAGAAGCCTGACCGCAAGAAACCCAAGTCGGCCAAGACCAAGCTCCCCGCCGCAGCCAAGAGCCGTCCCATGCCGCCCATGGGGGGGCTCACCAACCTGCCTGGTGGAGGGCTGCCGCACCAGCACCAGCACCGCCATCACGACCATCACCATGACCACCACCACCGCGACGCAGCCATCGACTGGGATAGCAGCAGTGGGAGCTCATCCTCGATGGACAGCGACCATATCAATGGCCGGTCATTCATGAGACATCACCACCAGCAGCAGCGGCATCATCACGGCTCATCGGCAGCTGCTGCAGCATCAGCAGGGGCGATGGGCGCGATGGGCGAGGCCGAGGACGGCGTGGGTGTGGGTGTGGGTTTAGGTGTAGGCGAAGGTGTGGGTGTGGGTGGGCCGTCCTCACAGCTGATGATGCGTGAGGATGAGGTGGGGATGGAGGCGGACGGCAACGGCAGCGACCTCCTCTTCCCGCCTTCCTCTATGCCCATGGCCGCACACACTTCCGTCGGTGCCAGTGGCGGTGGCGGTGAGGAATATGGGACCGGTGCTGGTAGTGGTAGTGGGTACCTAGGACTGCCTGCGGTGGTGCACCCCATCGACTACCCCCAGGCTCAGCTCAACAACCACCTACACAACCATTCCAACAACGGCGTTGCCAGAGGGTCAGTCAGCTTACCTTACCGAAGCCCCAGCTATGCGTCTACACATACGGTTGTGTGGATGGTGTGGTGTGGATGGTGTGGTGTGTGTTGTCTGTCTCAGGTATGAGGTGCACGAGGACTCTCCCATGCCGCCGGCCGGCGCCGACATGGCCGCGCCGTCTACCGGTGTTGGTGTTGGTGCCAGTGGTGTCGGTAGTGGCGGTGGTCTGCCAGCCACAGTGAGCGAGGGTAGTGAGTGGCAGGTGATCGGCAAGAAGACGCCGACGGCTAGTGAGGGCCGACAGACGGCACCTGACGCGCACATGGGGGGGGACAAGGACACACTGATGAACGGGGGACTCGTGTGATGGATGGATGGATGGATGGAAAAATGGTCGGTAGTGATTTCAAGAGGATGGGTGTGGGCGTGGCATATATGCGCGCGTGCTAGTGGGTGTGGGTGTGGCTGCATGGATGCAGCTGGATGTGATTGATGGACGGGTGGGGTGAGCAGATGGTATGGGTGTGACGACATTCTCAGAAGCTAGATTTGCTTATTTTATGTGGTGGTTTGTTCGTATGTTTGTTTGTATGCTTGTTTGTTTGTTTGCCTGCATGAATAAGTAACTAACTGACTGCGTACGTATGCATGCCGGTACGTATACATCCACTCATATGCACGTATGTATGTACAAGGGCAATGTAAGCTGAGCTCACGCGAGCTGGCGCCCTTTATATATCTCTATTCCTTCGATCTGCCTTGTTCTTTCTTCCTATCAGTCATTTTCGCTATGCGTTGGATTGCTGCGTACACATACTCACAGACAGACAGACAGACAGACAGACAGTAAGTAGAGTCCGTCCCCTCCCTGCGTGTCGTGCCATGCATGGTCTCTGGATCGGACCCTTTGCTCACCCACCAGACAGACGTACACTCACTCTTTCAGACATACACATAAATCACATCGATTCCATCAATATACCTTTTTGAGATTCGCGAAAGGTCACTCACATGTTGGACCAAAGCAATCTCTGGCAACAGAACACACAAACAACCTACGAACACCGAGAACTCGATCACGCATCGCCCCATTTCAGCCTCAGCCCCGGGTGCGCCTCACCCCCCGTCAACCCATCCTCACCACACACCTCCGCCCCCCTCCCTCTCTCCTCCACCGCCTCAGCACCCCGCTCCTTCCTCAGCGTCTGTGTGAGACGCTTGACCTTTTCCTGCAACAACTCAGCGACACAAGACGGCTGACACGCCGAATGATCCCCCTCCCCCTCTGCTGCTGCAGCCTGTGGTGGTGCTGTTGGAGGTGGTGGCTGTGCTGGTTGGTCAGGCGACGTCCGCATGAGCCTCTCAGAGAGCGATGTGAGCACTGCTTGTGGGTCACTACATGAAGAGGGCAAGAGGCCGTGTCTCTGTGCGAGGGTCGCGCACAGCTCTTGCAGGTTCCTGTCCTCCTGTCTCCGGTGCTCCAGCTCTTCCCTCATCCCATCTACTAGCAGGGCGTCTTCGCCTGCCGCGGCACTTGTGACTTCCACGATTATTCTCTGCCGCTGCTCGGCAAGGTCCCGCGCCTCACGCAGCTGTTCCTGGAGAGCGGTGGCTTGTCGGGTCTTGTCGGCGCGTTCGTGTTCCAGAGACGCCGTTAAGGCGTCCAGCTCCTGCTGTTTCTGAGACGTGGCCTCCTCGTGTGTGTCGATGTCCTCTTGTGCTTCCCTGAGCTCGCTCTTCAGTGCTCCCACTTCGAGTAGCGCCGCCTCGAGGCGGCTTGTCATTTCCGTGATTGTTTGGTCCTTCTTGTCTCCCTCCTCCTCTAGAGCTCTCACGTGGTCGTTCTTTTCCTTCAGAGACGCCGAGAGAGTTTTCACCTGCTGCTCGGCAGCCCTGTTGGTGTCTGCGAGGGCGGCATTCCTCTCCATCTCGTCCTTGAGTTGCGACTCTTTCTCGCACACCAGCTTGAGGGCCTGCTCGTAGGCTGCCGTTGTCTGGGCGGCCTCCTTCCGCATGGCAGCGTGCCGCGCCTTTAGGTCCTTGACCTGCTGTCTGAGGACGGCCAGTGACGCCTCCAGTGTCGCTCGAGACCTCTCCGTAACATGCAGGATGACTGACTGCTCGTTTAGACATGACCTGAGGTCCTCCAGTCGCCGAACGATGACTCGTTTCTCCCTCTGCATCCTCGTCAGCTGCTCCTCCGCCCGACCCAATGCATACCGCAGAATCTCGTTTTGTTGTTGGAGGTCGTCATCTTGGGGCGACTGCGGAGCAAATGTGGTGCCTTTCTCCTCTGCAGTTCTCGGGCACGGTGGAAGAGATGGTGGCAGAGGCGACCAGGCCAAAGGCGCCGGCGCATCATTCTCTCTCGTCGTGTGCTTCGGATGCACGTGAGCCTCTGGTTCGCACGATTTGGGTATCGCGGGGCTGGGCGGATTCGGCTCGGGTAAGAAATGATCTGATGCAGCACTGCCGGCCCCTGCTCCTCCATGGTGCTCTTCAGCCCCCCTCCCAACGAGCCCTCTGCTTGTGTCTCCCTCATCGGTCTGCTGTGGCCCTCTTGCCATGGACGTGTCCGGCCCCCCTCTGCTTGGCACAATGCGAGACGACCGGGGTGGCGGCAGCCGGTAGGGGGAGGCGGACGACGAGGCCGATGAAGGCGCTGACGGGCCAGGGGAGGAAGACTCAAACGGGGCGGGGGGCTGAATGCTGAGAGGGAGGGTGCCGACGGTCAGGCGGCAGGCTGGCGCTGCCTGATGGTGCTCTGTAGAGCCGCTTCTCTTGAAACTCGTGCCCGCCGGCCCGCCCCCTTTCCGCCGTCTCGCTCTCCGTCCTTCCATCTCGGCGTGCTCCAGGCAGGCTGCATGCTGGATTTCGTCGAAAATGTCTCTCAAATCCCGCCAGCTGCGACGCCTCTGCAACTTTTCTGGCTTAGGTGGCGTCAGTGAAGACAGTGAGGATGTGTGCATTCGCCTCATGGGCGAGTTTGCACTGTGAAAGCTGTCTTCACTGAGGGACGGTGTCCTGCTCGAGCGCCCTTTGCAGGGTGTGGTCCAGAGGGGAGACGAGGGCTGCAGTGACATGCCCGGCACTTCAGCGACTGGGGCGTTCTGCAAACACGACACAGCGAGACCAAGTGTGAGTCAGACGGCCTTGCACATTGCGGCGGTTGAATGAGGCGCAGCCACCTTGCCTGACCTTTCGTGCTTGCGGAGAGATGTGTGTGGCCGCCTCCGAAGGAGAGTCCGTAACCTTCCACGAGACGGCGGTTGGGTGGCGCGCATGTGCATGCGCTGGCCCCCAGCCAGTCTGCAAGAGATGGCGTCGGAGGAGGGCGTTGAGCGTGTGGTTGAGAAGCAGCCGATATCATGGAACAAGCAGACGTCCATCGACTACATGGAGCTCACCGAGGACCGCTCCGCCGGCCATGCACTGGCCGCTCCCATCGTCGAGGCGACAAAGGTCAGCCAGGGAAGGAGTGGCACTTCAGCTGGCGGGCGGGGGGGAGGCGGCTTCGTTGGTGTCAACACAAAGGCCCTTGGGAGTGCTGTTGCGGTTGTGTGCAGGTGTATCGGGGTCATGAGGACGCCGTTGATTCGGTGCGATGGCTGGACCAGACGAGCTTCATCACGGGCTCCCACGACCACTCACTCAAGTGGGCATACATGCCTGCCCACAGACATGCCGTCTCCATGTGTGCTGTGCCTGCCCTCTTGCCCCGTGGGGCTGTCTGCCTGTCTGCCTGCCTGCAGGGTGTGGGACAGCACGAGCGGGGAGTGCGTCAAGACCCTCAAGGGGTCCACTGAGGGCATCTACAACGTGGATGTGTCCAATGATCGCAAACTCTTCCTCACATGCTCAGCCGGCAAAAGCAAAAACGCAGCCGTCTGGGACGCACACAAAGGTGACACACCAAGACGAAGAGGGAGACGGCAGGCTGGGCTGTATGTTTGGTGCATCTCTCCATGGCATCTTATCTCCAGCCACATTGCTGCGCCATCTTGACGGCCACCCGAGTGCGGTGTACCACGGTGCCTTTGCCCCCACCAACACACACACCATCACCGGCGGCAAAGGTAGACAGTCCGGTAGCGAAGGGGGTGGGCGACATGGCTGGTCGTCTGCCTGTTGTGTTGTTTGCAGACGGGAGTGTGCGTGTGCATGACGTGAACGTGAGCAAGCCCGTGGTAGCGCTGCAGCCACACTCGGACGTCGGTCAGTGCAACCACACAATCGCACACACCGGAACAGGAGGCGACACAGATACACAGTCCCTCTCTGTGTGTCGCCATTCATTCATCCGTCCACCCATCAGTTGAGTGTTGTCGTTTCTGCATGGGTGACGTGCGTGAGGACGGCACCGCTGCTCCCTCCAAGGGCAGCGGGCCGTCGCCCTCAACCAACCTCATCGCCACGGCCTCACGGGACGGGTCCATCATGGTCATGGACCTTGGGGCTGACAGAGGGTGCGCATCCGTGCATCGCTCTCGCCAAGGCTCACTCACCCACACACATGCCTTTGCTGGTTGGCTGGCTATGTTGCGTGCCGTGCAGTTCCGGTGCGTTTCGCATCAAGGAGGCTCATGGGGGCAAGTATGTGTACGCCCTCCTGATGATCAATCCCACCACCATCATCAGCGCCGGAGGGGTGCGACACACTGCAACGCAATGCGGGGTGGCAGGATTGTCTATGTCTTTGTCTCTGTCTCTGTCGGCCCGCAGGACTACCTGATCCGCAAGTTTGACCTGCGCATGTTGGGCCCCGAGGGCAACAGACCCAGCCTCGTCTATGTCGGTGTGTGCCGGAGACACCCACACTGCTCTGCCTGCCTGTACCTCACCGGTGATTCATGCGATGCCATGTGGCTGGGTTGCTTCGTCAGGCCACTCCAGCCCCGTGAGGTCTCTGACAGTCTCCCAGGACTACACGCGATTCGTATCCACCTGTGCAGGTCAGGTCACCGTTAATTGATGGTACCAATGCACGTTGACGGAAAGGTGTGAGAGTGTGTGTGTGCATGCGCGTGTGTGTGTGTGTGTGTGTGTGTAGATGGGTCCGCCCGTCTGTGGAAGGTGGACGAGAAGCGGGTGCTCTTCAAACGCAAACACTCCATCGAAGACAGAGTACACACACACACACACTCGCGAAGGTGCAGCCAGAGTCACTGTGTGTGTGTGTCTCTGTGTGTGTGTGTGTGTGTGTCAGGTCGGTCTTGCCCAGAAGCTGCTGGCTAAGGAGGAGAGGAAATACGCACAGGGGCAGGAGGTCCGCCACCACACACACACACACACACACCCACGCCCTCGTCCTTCTCGTCTCTGCTTGATGTGGGTGCGGTGCATCAGGTTGACATCGAACACCTAAAGAAACTCAGGGCCGACCTGGAAGACCTGCAGGTCACCCACTCACCCACGATACACCCACACCCACACCCACCACACATGCGCCGACAGCAAGGCAAGACGGACACCTTCTTCCTTTTCTGTCACCTCTGGGTGTGGTTGCAGAAGCGTCAGAGTGAGTTGGAGAGCCACCTGTCGTCTCTGACAGACGTGCAGAAGATCGGCGCCGACATGATGTTCGCCGGACACAAAGACCTCGTGTCGGGTAGGCACACACACACACAGAGGGAGGGAGGGAGGGAGGGAGAGAGAGCGAGAGACACGCAAACACTTGACTGTCTTGTGTGTGCCTGTGTGTGTGTGTGTGCGTGTGTGTGTCCAGATTGCAGCCTGGAGACGGTGTCTGACGGCAAGGCCCTCCTGCTCACGTCGTCATGGTATGCGAAAACCATGAGCAGGGTTGCGTCTCTTTCTGTGACTGTTACCATGCGTCTTTGGACAGGGACCAGACCGTCCGCCTGTGGAACGTCCCGCTCGAATGAACATACATGGATGGCGTGGACAGACCTCTTGCGCTGCGTGCGTGCGTATTTTTCATGCTGCCTCCTTCAGTCAATCAATGGCTCAGCGCGTCGTGTCAGTCATGGGGCATCCGGCCATCAGTTCTCACATCGCACGTCCGTCCACTCGTCAGTCAGGGTGTGACAGTGCATTTACGTGCCGTGACGCTTCTAATACATACATAGCTAGACTTGAAATGAATGAAATCGTGTATGTATTTCCCATCTGGAAACCGGTCGGTCAGTCACTTGACAAGAGGTTATCAATGCACTCCCCATTCTCCAGTGCACTCCCCTGTCCCCCTCACCTCACCCCCCTGTCTGTGTCACCCCACCAGCCGGAAGACCTCTATCTCATCGACCACAGACACGTGTACTGCGTATCCCACCGGTGGCAGGCTGGGATGCAGGCGGACTGGCACCTCCCACGCCTCCCGCACGCAGCACCGCCCATCCACCCCCCCCTGTACCCAGCCCACAGGCGGCGGCGCCCACAGCCCCAGCCACTCATGGCCGATAGACCGGCCCACTGTCACCTTGGGAAGCTGCCCGTGGTGGCCGTTCTCCGCTCGCAAGACAGTGATGAACTGCAGGGTGGGGGAGGGTGACTGGAAGGTGGGCGGAGAGGCGCCTGATGCCTTGAAGACGAGGGCGTTGGCAAAGGAGTGTGTGGCGACCCTGTGTGCGGCGGGCAAGTGCGAGTCTTGGGGAGGCGCCTGCAGGCCGGCGGCGAAGTAGCAGCCATGCGCATGTCCGTTGGCGCGGGCGAGCAAGAGGAGGCACGTCGCGTCGCCGACACGGCCGAGCATGTCGGTGAACGCATGCCCGTCCGCAGTCGCCCTGCAAACAAAGCCGAGAGAGGCAACAGAAGGTTGGATGACACGCACGCAGCACATCCACATGGCGGGTTCTCCCTTACTTGTAGAGCGGTTCGATGCCTGTGATTTGTTCGCCGGTCTTGTGCAGTATGGCCATCAGCTGGCTGGCAGACGCGATCACAGAGGGGCTGGGGATGCACGGCGAGCCGCCTTGCAGCCGCATCATGGGCTCCATCGCCATGCCGCGTCGCTGTATCGCTGCCACGATTGGTGCCTTGAGGCGTCGAGGCGCAGATGGGGGGTCGGCTACACTCATGGGCATGGCAGCGCGGACACGGCCGGCCCAGTCGGCGGCAAGCGCCGTGGCTGAGACATCGAGGGGGAGGGAGGGGAGGTAGAGCGACAGCCGGTCCACAGTGGCCGCCAGATCGGTGATCATCGCGAGCCTGTGCTGCGGGTCTTCTGTTCGCATCATGGCCTCCTCAAGCAAGTCGGCGGTCGACGAGTGGGCAAAGGCCGCCTTGCGCAACTGAGATAACACAGACGCATTGCAAGGACAGGACCTTGCGCACATGCACACCTGGCCCGACTTGTGTGCCCAAGGTGGCTTACCGCCGCGACATGATTATCCATCAGGACCACATGGATCTGCCCCTGCACAAAACGGATCTGCCCCTCCATCGCGTCGCCGTCTGGAAAGCGTCGCTGCATTGCTGCCTGCAGGGCATCCAGATGGTGGCGCTGGAGCAGGACCACAGTCAGCTGTGAGATCGACTCAATCTCCAGGACCGACCAGATGCTCGACAAAATGAAGGTGCCAGGGTCGGTAACATCGCCACGCGGCACTGAGGTAAGGGAGACACGGACCGACAGAGACATCCAGAATGACCTTTTCTTTGGTTTCGCCACTTACCGTCTAGGTGCATGACTAGGCTGCTGATCCGTGGCAGCTGGTCCTTATGATCCCCCAGGGTGATGCCCTCCCTCTCGTCGTCAGCCTTGATCGACTCACAGCGACCCTCAGACACGAAGCCCAGCGACAGCCGCGTGATCGGGGCACGGCCGCCGTTCACGAGCACCTGCCGCGCCTCTGTCTCGCTGCCGGCCACGGCGAGCATGTCCAGCGATGGGATGTGCTGTCTGAGGGCGGCTGCAAACTGCAGGGCGACGTCTCCTTTGGCCGTTAGTGTCCTGATCGTCCGGAATCGCTCGTCAAAGGGAACCACAGGCGGCTGCCCAGCCTCCTCGGTCTGCAGTGAGTCGAGCGCCAGCTCCTTGGGCACTCTCCATGCGAGGATGTCCAGCACGTCTGTTGTGGTCATGTCCGCCAGCTGCAGCTTCTCAAGGTTCGGCCGAACCTTGCGCAGCAGCACCCTGGCCACCCCCAGCCCGATGCGACCCTTCACGATCAGACCTCTCACCGGCTCCAGTCCAATGGGACTGAATGCCTCGAGCTCGAGAGGCTCAGGTGGATCGGTGTCGGCTGAGGGGCTCCAGCCGTCCGCACACTCGATGGCAATGCTGCAGCCCCCAGGCGGCACCCACCATGAGAAGCGCAGCTCACCGACCAGGCTCTCCGCGATCCGGCCGTTCTGTTCATACCCACCCATCCATCCCTCCATCCATGTGTTGAGTGGCGGTGTGTGTATTTATGTCTCATGTGTTGAGTGGCGGTGTGTGTATTTATGTCTCACCCGGGGGCGGGCCACCTGGTCCTGCGTGACCGTCCACACATAGCGGTATCGGATGGGCCTCATGCCCTGGACCTCGAAGCACAGAAGGTTGTTGTCCAAGACGTCAAGTTGCAGATTGTACGTGTCCAGCAGCGCACTGAGGAGGGGCAGGCCGCAGGCTGGCAGCTTGCCGAAGTCCCACCGTGTGTATGACAGCAGGTGGGTGAGGGGGACGTCATGAATGCCATCGGCGGGGGGGTGAATGAGGCTGATGACCTTGCCCGATGGCGAGCACGTCGTGTCGATTAGCGAGGCGAGGGCCTTGAATGTCGAGAAGTCATTGAGGAGGAGCGAATGGCAGTCGCTTCGATGCACCATCACACACAGGAGATCCAGGGACTTCGAGCAAGCGCGGTCCACCAAACACCTCTGAAATCACAGGTTTCACAACACAAGCGAGAACACAATCCACATTCCAAGGGCCTCTGCCCCCCGCTGTCTGTGGCCTTCCATTCTGTGGCACCTGCAGGTCTCGGAGGCCGTCTGTGAGATCAGCTGATTCGATGCCGTAGAGCCTGATGTGGCCTATCGTCCGCAAGTTCGCGAGAGCCTGATGCTGCCCCACTGGGATGGACCCAAACAGCTCCACCAGCTGTGGGGGCGTCTGTTGGGCCACCTGCAGGTCAGCCAGGGACCTCGATGTGGCGATTAAGGGTCTGATGTCCGCGATGCCGGGGACCACGGTTCCTGGTGCACACACAACCCGCTCGAGGGCCGGGGTTGTCCATCCCCGCTCATCGGTCTTGAGATGGCCGTGGGTGACGCCGCTGACCTCTGTGAGCGCCGGGAGGCTGATGGATTGGGAAGGGGCGGCAGCAGGAGGGTCGGAGTTGGTGCTGGCCAGCTGGTTGATCTGCTGGAATCCGATGTTCGGCAGCATCACCGCCTCGAAGGTCAGTGACTTGAGTGAGCCCTCGGTCAGGCTCTCCTTGTCCCGCGCCAATCGCCGTCCCAACACATGCCCCTCGACGAGTGCGATAACGATCCCAAGGCACCATCCTGGTGCAAAAGGATTGTGGCCAGCAGGGACCCCTTGTGCGCCGTGAGGATAGCGGTGGATGAGGCACTTGAGGTTGACCATCTGTTGGCCGAGCTCGTATGCCGTCTGCACCGTCATGGCCGTCCAGAATGACCGCTGCCGTGTTTGGCTGCAGTCGATGACGAGCTCGGTGTGTCGAGGCAGGATGATGCCGGTAAGTGGGGAGGGCAGGGGCGGCTTCAGACACCATATGGGATTAATGGAAGCATACACGCCGACGTGGAGCTCTCGAGGCTGCACACACACACCGTGACGGATGACATCTGACTGACACCTTCAATTGAGCCATCTCTTCATTTGATGCGTTCTGACCATCGGAATGGCGGACCACCCCTGCATCCGAATGGCCTGTCATTCAGCAGCAGCCACAAGAAGCAAAGATGCACGTGTCGTGCGCACACGCATCCGTTGGTGCTGGTGCATGTGATCACCTTGAAGACCGCCGCCGCAGCCTCATTATCGGAAGCCCCGCCATCAGCGGCATCAATAATGCCGTCAACAGGCGATTCACCACTACATGTACCTGCAGAAAAGGGAATGCAGCAGCAGCAATGGTTGCGGCAGAATGCACCTCGATCGTATGCGTCATTTGGCCGTTCACTACCTTCTTTTCGGTCCACCTCTCGCCAAATCTGCCGCTTGCGAACCATAAGGCAATGCTATGCTAATTTAAACAAGAGCGGAAACTACGCCCCTCCCAGCCCTCCGCTGCGTTTACATGATCGCTTTTTAGCTTGCTTGCCCTATGGATGGCGCATCGCGGCGGGGGGAGGCCGTGGGGACACAAACAAGGACAGTTTGAAAGAGAGAAGAGGAAACCAAAGTGAGATGGATGAACGGTTTTGCATGGAGGGAGGGAGGTCCGTCTGCCTCGTGGCGGTGTGTGAACATGTTCCTGTGTTCCTGCGCATGCACTGCACTGATGCGGTGAGTGACGGACGGCATCGCATTCACGGACTGCACATCCATGTCCGTCAACATGATTGAATGAGATGTGTGTGTAGGCGTTCGACGCACCAACCGCACCGCACAACCAGCGCATCGCATCACACACGCCCACCACAGACGATGGAATGCACTCACTCATCCACCCACCCACTGGCCATGTGTGCGTGAGCATCCCATATACATCACGTCCATCCATGGGCGATGGTGGGGCTCGACCCATCTATGCAGGTGTCGCTCCTACTTGTCTGTTTGGTTCACTGTCCAACAGGGGACCCCCACCTACCCACCTACGGCAGCACCAAAAGACAAAACATGCCTACATATATCCATGAGCTCGTCAACAGACGTACGTATCAAGGACGGCTGGGCCGCTCGCTCCATGCATGTCACAACCCAGGCAGACAGACAGCCAGGCAGGCAGGCACTTGAAACAAGCAGCACGAGGCCTTCCTTCTTGCCCACCCCACGTGGCTTTAATCCCCCGTTCACTCCCCTCCCCATCTAGCTACACCCATCCATACAGACATACATAGGTGTGTATAAATCATGCACTATGCATGCATTTCGCCACTAAACTGCCATCCGACCGACCGACCGACCAGCCTCCTCCCCCTTCACTCCTCCTCTTCTGTGTGATTCGGCACGGCACACGTGTGTGTGGGTGCTGTGTCACTGCAGTGCTGCCGTGAATGCGGCCTCGATGGGCTCCTTGGGCGCAGGGAAGAGCTTGTGAAACTCGTGACTCGTGCCCGAGAAACCCGTCTGACGAATCAATGACCACACCAGCACGCACAGACAGACAGACAGGCAGACAGACAGACCGGTGGATGGAGGCTATGGTGTGTCAGGGTGCTGTGTCGTTTTGTGTTGGACGTGCCATGAATGTGATGGGGCCGCGGAGGAACCACGACATGGAGCTCTCGTAGATCGCCTGGTCCTGAAGAACCACACACATCACACACACAGCAGATCCGTCCACTTGTGTGGCTGCAGTGTTACCTTGGGGTGCGTGCGAGCCAGCTCCATCATGGCCTGCAGGCCATAGCCCAGCTCCTTCTGCGCACAACACACACACGGCAGCACACATCACATTCTGCCTTCCTTCCATCCCCTGGCAACCCACGACGCACCTGCGATGAGAAGTACTTGCCCACGCGCTTCTGCAGTGCCACGGCGTCGTCTTTCTTGTCGCCCTTCTCGATGGCCTCAGCCAGCGGCAGCAGCAGATGCTCCTCGTCATACGTGTGGTTGTGGTACACTGACCGATGGACGGATCGGATGACCACCATCCACCCAATCGCACACGCACATCCTCCGTGCCGGTCATTTAGTCACCTGCAGCGAACTTGCGGAGGTCGTCGAGGAGGGCAGTGCGTTTGTTCTCGGGGGTGAAGTCGGCCGCAAAGGCGTCCTGCAAAGCCTTCTCCAACACGCCCAACTCACTGCAGCAGCAAACACACACATACGCAGGAGAGCAATCCACATGCTGGTGCTGCCTCGATGGCTGTGGAGGGAGGTACCCGTGTTCCTTGGCGAGGGTGTCGAGCACTTCCTGCATCTTGGTCTTCTCGTCGCCCTCAGCCAGCTCCTTCAGACCGGAGAACATGATCTGTGCACACACACACACACGGATGCAGAAGGTACTCTTTTCCCTGCGTGTGGATCAGATCACTGTGTCTTCGGCGTGGGCGTGGTGCTTGAAGTCGGCATGGTAGAGTTTCCACATCCCGCGGATCTTGGTGACCGCATCCGAGTCGGCCGTGGCGTCCGGGGGCATGTTCTTCAACTCATCCATCTGCACACACAACCAACAGACAGACAGACAGACAGACAGACAGACATCCGGCCGGGGCATCCACCACACGCACATCCCGCCTCGCACCAGTGTGAGCAGCATGTGCCTGCAACACGCAACACGACACACACCACACACTACACAACACAACACAAGTCTACACCGGTGCCCTCCTTGCCGCCCCACTCATGTGTGTACGTGAGTGCATTGGTGCCTTGCATTGCGTGGTCTGCCTGCCATGCCCACCTGCCTACCCTACCTCTGGTATCGGTGGGCGAGTATCATGTGGACCCAGCTGAGCTTCTCGCCAGGGGCATGCTTCATGTCCTCGCCCTCGCACAGCTCAGCCATCGTCTCGACGGGCTTCAGCGGCACCACCGACGACGACGCCATCTCGTCAACAGCCACTTGGGAGCTTGCTTGCAGGGACGTGCAGGGGCAGCTCGACGAAAATCGAAGCGGCAAGCGACGGTTGTGCGGCCTGAGGGCTAGTGAGATGTGGACTACCGATAGAATGACCAAACCAAGTTTTAAACGCATAGATCGGCGCGAGCTGCGAGCTCACTGGCAGTCTTTCTTGGAGTCGATGTTCGAAACCCAAGCTATCCGACAGAATTCTTCTGACGAAACACGCCTCTGTCATTAAAATTCATCCGTCTCAGTCCCCGTCCTACTCAACCGCAAGTCTGAGGACACTTAGTACTGACGCTGCTGGTGCATTCCTTTTCCCTCTTCGACGTACCCTTGCCAGAGCCTCCCTCTTGCAATGTCCACATCCCCATATCTCATCTCAACCACGCCATCTCTCTCTCATGACACCGGGCATTATCTCCCAGCAGCCCCGCCAGAGCCCCAGGGCCTGCAGCAGAGGCGGATCCGGAGGCCGCCCCAGCTGCAAGAAAGGCTGCTGGCGGAGGGGCTGGGGGTGTTTCTCATCTTGACGACCGTGGGCTTGAATGCGGAACAGCCGAACACCGTGGTGGCCAGCGTGAGTGGCGGGCTGATCCTGATGAGTCTGATATACTGCTTTGGGAGTGTCTCGGGTGCTGGGAGAATACACATGCACACAGACAACCAACGAATGTATCGCTCCTGTGGTTTGTCTGGCTTTGTTTTGTCAGGTGGGCATTTCAATCCAGCCGTGTCTCTCGGCTTCTCCCTCACAAACCCACAGCATTCGTCTGCGCCCACGACCACGTCCACATCCTTCTCCTTCTCTGATCTGAGCGGCTATGTCGGCGCACAGATGTTCGGGGCGCTCTGTGGGGCTATCGTCAGTGACAAGGCCTTTTCGCCCTCAGCCGATCAGCCCCAGCCAGCGCCACCCTTCCCTCTGTCGCTGCGGGCCTTAATGCTCGACCTGCTGTTCACATCAGTCCTGGTGCTGGTGATGCTGCGGACGAGGGAAGACTGCGGCAGTGAGGGCCGACAGCAGGAGGGCTGGATGGCCGGGATGGTTGTCACAGGCGCTGCGATGGCATCAAGTAACATATATGAGACACGCACGATTTATGCGTGTTCGTACCCATCCATGTGTGTGCAGGCCATCACGGTGAGGTGTATCTGAACCCGACTATCCCCTTTGGCCAGTCGATGGTGCAGCTGTATGATTCCCATTCGCCCCCCTTGCCTGTCATCGTCCGGCTGCTCGCATTCACCGCCATACACACACTCGCGGCACTCATCGCCGCCGCGCTACATCGCCTGCTGTGGCCATCATCTCACCAGTACGATGGGTCGTTACAGTGCCGATCGACGTCGTGTGCAGGGCTGTGGGAATCGCATCGGCGTGAATACATGGAAGCTGGGTTCGACCGTGTGTCCTTCCTGGACGCATGAATGACCATTCATGACCACCGATCGTCTAAGGCAATGCGTTTGTGTACACGTCTGTAGAGACATAGAGACTGATGGATCGACTAGGCCGTGACTGAGTGAGTGAAATGGTGTCCCTTTGTATATCTTACTGAGACGGCTTGTTCGGTCAGGGCATACTATTCCATCCACAGATACACTCACGTCACATAGACACGTCACATAAACTCAATCCGCTCTGTCGGTCCCATTGCCTGGCTGGGTGCCACAGATAGCTAGAGATACGAAAGAAAAACGGTGTCAAGAGTCAGGCCATCACACGGATGTGTGTGACTCGAGCTGCGGTAGTGGGGGTACGGGGATGGGTTCGGCCTCCTCTTGCTCCTCCTGCTCCCCTTCCCCCTCCTCTTCCTCTTCCAGCTCCTCCTCCCACGACACGTCTTCCAGAGACACGGCTGTGCCGCTCGCTGGCTCATACACACCGCTCGTCGTCTGCAGACAGACAGACAGACAGACAGACGAGTCAACACATACATATATCCCTCCCTGCCTGGACTGTGCCGCCCCACCGTTCTGCGTGTGGCAGTAGATGTGCGTCGTCTGGCTTTCGAGTGGTCTCTCTCCGCAAGCACCCAGTAGGTGCACATCTGACCTGAACGAAGGTATCCATACAAACATAGGGCGGGGCGGCCTAGCTTATGAGTGTGTGTGTGTGTGTGCTGCTATGCAGCGTGTACCTTTGCCCTTGACAAACACCTCCCCGCGAGGCTGGCAGTCGAAGTCATCTTGGATAACGGAATATGTCGACTCGGAAATGTGCACGCGACCCGCCTCGCCATGAGACTGCACACATACGTACGAGACACAAACCGCCCGCTGTTCGTGAACGGCCTGGCAGTGTACAGTACCTACCTCCATGCGGGCGGCGACATTGACGGCATCGCCTGCAGGCAGACAGAAGGGACATACGCATAAGGGATGATGCATGGCCCAGACCACACAAACTGAGTGCTTCGGTCGCCCACCCCAGATGTAGTATGAGAATTTAGAATGGCCGATGACGCCAGCCACACAAGGACCTGAAAATCCACGCAGGGGGTCTCATTGCTTTGACGACTCCAGCCAATGTTTCCCGATCAGTCACTTACCGCTGTGTATTCCAACACGAATCTTGATAGGGTCGCCCAGGTCACTCGTGAATCGGGTCACGTCCCTCTACACCAGACACACAAACACAAACGGAGAGTGATCGACTGACTGCACGATTCCTTCCACCTACACGTACCAGCATTTGGAGGCCCATTCTGCAGCAGTTGTGTGCGTGGTGCCTGGAGGGCACCGGCAGCCCGCCCGCCACCATGTAGGCGTCACCGATGGTCTTGATCTTCTCAAGGTGGTTCTTGGCGGCGATGCGGTCGAACACCACAAAGATGCGATTCAACAAACTCACCAACCTGATGCACGTACGCATGCCATTGGAGCCATTGGAAGGGTTCCTAGCTTCCCCCTGTGTGCGGTGGCTGGTACTTGATTGGAGACACGCGGGAGGACATGACAGTAAAGCCAACGATGTCTGAATGACACATGCATGCAGGAATCAATGCTTACAGTTTGTTGCATGTGCGCTCTGCCTGCCTGCCTGTCTGTCTGTCTGGCTGTCTGTCTGTTGGTGTGTACCCGAGAAGAGGATGGTGGCCATGTCGAAGGCCTCCGCCATGTTCAACCTGACACGTTCGTTACACAAGAAAAATAACTTTTTCGGCCAGGCCGTCCGACTCACTCTTCGCCTGTGGTGGCGGCGGTCATGAATTTCTTGATCACATGTTTGGGCAGGATGTTGGCCAGCAGCGAATCAGACCGCACACTCTCACGCACAACCTACAACACATGTACCCATACACGCATGGCGTGCTGGGCGGTAGGTGTGTGTTTGATAGAGTATGTGGTAGCGCACCACGCTGGTCAGTACGAAGTCTTGTCGCGCCTGCACTTCCAGGGTGTAGTTGATAACTCCGACCAACACTCCACGGCACAAATGAAACTGATATGTATCGACACACAGAAGGGCGGGAAGGTTCTTGCAACATGTCTGTCTGCATTGCGTTGCTTGCGTTGCGTGTGGGGATATGCCCACTCAACTCACCGTCCACCAGTAGACTCGCCACCACCTACGCCCCCCCATCGCGACGTCCTCCCACTGCACATGCACATCATATGCGACACACGCATCCGCAAAGGACTGTCGGTGCTGGTCCGTCCTGGCTCTTGCTTAATCATCCACTCATGTCATGATCACTCACTCACCACATAGATGCTCCACACAATGATGCTGGTCATCAGAAACGACACAAACCTGTCAGACACACGGACGACAAATCATTTGATCGAGACAGCCGACAGGATCCCTCCGACTGCCCGACCTGAGTCTGAAGAATGTGGCAGCCATGAGGAGGAAGAATATGACGTTGTCGGCCTCCTTGCCCGTCCGTGAAATAGGCACTTTCGGGAATGCGTTCGCCATCTCCATCGTCACCCTGAACGCAATACATAAATGGATACGTCCATATACGACTGAAACACATACACATACAGGCACGCATCGCATCGCATGTCTGTGTGGTGTGCTCACGTGGCGCCGAGGACCATGATGGTCATCAGGCCCTGCAGATGCCGCTGGAAGAAGGCTGCAATGGAATGGACACATCCATCCATCCATCCATGTGTTGTGTGGTGGTGGCGTGTGCGTGTGCGTGTGCGAGTGGGACGGATCGACCTTTGTGGACGTATCTGAGAAGCAGGCACGCTGTGGTCCAGGGAATAGAAAACACCTGACCCCATCAACACAAGACAACACACCCACCCCACGGCACCGAATGGTCAAGTGATGTCGTGAAGTGGATTGCAGAGAGCATTATTCACCATGACGTGTGGGAACAGCGCGCTAGTCTTCTTTTTCAGCAGCTGAGAGACGGGACCCGAGATGGTCAGCGCCACACCTTAAGTTGGCAAAATCAGGGCATATCAAAGTGTCTCCATGCCGCCTGGTGTGGGTGGCCGCCACGCCCACCAAATATGGTGCATATCCAGAGTCCCGCCTCGACGAGCTTCTTGCTGCGACGCACAAAATCCTCCTGGAACTTGCGCTTTTTTTTGCAGTTGCGAAGACAGCAGACAGACAGGCAGACAGACAGGCAGACAGAGACACCACATGGCAAGAAGCCATGGATGGGAATGGATGCAGGCGAAGCGAGAAAAGAGAAAGAGACACCACGGTATACCTACCTCTACATCTCTGTCTCGGAATTCGAGTGTGATGAAGTGCATGGAGCTGCCGTGACGCTCCCACATTTCGCGCCGACCGATGTCCGCACCACGCTCGCCCTTGTCGTAGCCCTCGGCGAAGAGCCTCACACACTTTGGAATCACACTGACGAGCAAGAAAGACAACACACAACAACGGGCACAGCACAAGAAGTGTGTCGAGTCAATCATGTATATGCTGTAGGTGTGTGTCGTGTCTTGCGGTGCGGTGGCTGACTCCTTATTGACGGTGTATCGTATCATGGATGTGCTCTGCCTTCGTGCCCCCACCACCAACTCCAGCCGATGCTGATCATCCCCATCCTCGCCGCCCCCCCTGCCATGCCACACATGCATCGCATCGCATCCATCTCCCGCGCATATGAATGGATGGCATCCGCAGCTGTTTGTCTGCCCATGTGCTTTCTCACACACCATGGAGGCTGCCCAGTGGTGCCTTCATTAGTCATGTGCCGCCGCGACAACCATATGGACTGCCAAAACCTCGAAGACAAGCTTGTCGTGCTGCTCTCCTGCCTCCCCGTGGATGACGTGCTGTGTGTCGGCGCTTCAGACACTCTCACCGTCCTGTGCCGTGAGCGAGGCCCATCCCCCTCTGCTTCCATATCCTCAGCTGGCCCTGGCGCAGAGGGCGGGGCGGCCGCTGGCTGGACGGGCGGCTCTGCAGGAGGGCCTGGTGGTGTGTGGGAGATAGGGAAGGACTCGTAAGCCGGAGGCTGCTCCTCGTGGGAGAGGAGGGGCTGCTGACGACGGGCAGCCGAGGCCTCGTCCGGCTCCATCTGCAGTGCAAACAACCACCATCATGATGCATGTGTGAACACATTGGAAAATGTGGTGGCGCGCCGTTCCTTCGTCCTCCTGCCTACATCAGTCGGCTCGTGTGTGTCGGGGCAGTACTCGGAATGCAACTTGCTGAGCGTCCAAGACTGCGTCTTCCGAGGGGGCGGCCCCCAGGAAGCATGCAATTCCAACGTATTCATTTGATCGCTCCTGCGAGTCACTTGCCGACGACCCTCCCCTCCGCTCCCTCCTGTACAATGTACGATGCACAGCCGTCCTCGAATTGCGACAATCCCATATCTCATACCTACATCCACTCCACTCGCCTTAGCTACAGCCGGCACGCCTGCCTCCTTTCGACCCTCCCTCCCTCCCTCCCTCCCTCGATGTGCCAATCACGGCTACATCCTTCCATATCCCGTCTGTCCCGCCCCTGCCGGCCTGGGTATCGACTCTTGGTCGTCGAATGGGTTGGTTGAGCTCCGCTCACCGGCATTGAAGTTGGGGAACATGCCGGTGAGGACACCGTATCCTGCCCCTGTGCCGACGCCGGGAGAGGGTTGTGTCGGCTGCTGGAGGTTGACTGTCCTCTTCTCCTCTGTCGCTGCGTATGACGCCTGCTGGCTGCTCGGCTGCTGCAGCTGCTGCGAAGCCTTGAGCTCAACCTGATTGAGGGCGGTCTGTAAGTACAAGGGATCGGCCTGTGTGCAGGCAGGTCTGGCTCACTTGTTGGGGGTCGAATGATCGGAATTTGCGGAAGTACAGCCATGCGAATAGGACCCCCGATATGAAACCGAAGACATGGCTCTCCCACGACACCCCTGGAGCGAGGGAAACATACATGCCGCAAACGTCCTTGCTTTGCTGCATCTCGTAATTGATGCGTGCTGATCTGTATGTGCTGTGTGCTGTGCTGTGCTTGCCTGGGTTGTATCCGCTGCTGTTAACGAACATGAGCAAAAGCGACCCGTAAAGCACCATGGTCACCACCATGACCACAATGCTCACTATCCGCACGGGACGCTGCCATATGACCGCCGTCAAGAGAAAAGCCAAGTATCTGACAGACAGGCACGCCGTCAGTACACAGAAAGGCACACGGGGCGCGGTGCACGTGTGTGGGTCACCCGAATAGGACACCGGAAAGCCCTGCGTGGGCTGCATCCTTGAGTGAGATAGCCCACACAAGCAATCCCCCCACAACCGCAATGAAGCCCGTCGCATAGAGGAACACAAGGATGCCATAGGTCAACATCGCAGGCGCCAGACCTGCCCAGCCCATCATGTTGCTGCACACAAGACAGTCAGTCAGACAGCGTGGCAACACACGGTCGGCACACGAGGCAGAGACGAAGGGATTGTGTGTTGCTGACCTCCCGTAGTGCAGGAAGGAATAGTGAGCCCATGGAGCGAGGATCAATCCTAACAAGCCCTTGGCGGAACGAGGCCGAATGCCGAACGTCTGCCCCACTGGCACACCCGCCTCCTCTGAACACAACACACACACAAATGAAGAGCCCTAGCCTGCCGCGTCGCTCTTGTGCCTCGATGTGCCTTACGCATAATGGTGAGAACGAGCATGATCACTGGCGGTATGACTAAAAGTAGTATGAGGTTTCGCGCGGCTTTGGGGTTGTCCGACAGCCGAAAGTGACGTTCAATGAACTGCATGGTGGCTTCGATTCAACAATTGCGATTCAAAGCTCACCGGACTCGAACTTTTCTATTCTCACGTTTTGCGGCTGAGGTTGCGACGCCTGACTGACTCCTTCGTCACACCTAGGGTGTATGAAACCTTTGCTGGAGCCATTAAGCTCGCAGTTGGGACCGGGCGGGAGAATGGCTTCGAAAATCGTCACATATCTGCCATACGCCGGTACAAAGAGAACAACCACAATTCAATTACCAACCCTTTCTGAGCTCTTTGGCGGTGTATATGCTTCAGACTACCGACGTTGCGCTGAGTGCATGCGAAAGAATGACTTACAGCTGCAGATGTGAGCAAGAACCAACTGCAGACACCTCACTGCACTGCGCTACATGGACCAATGCTGTCTGTGTCTTACCCCCAGAGACCAGTCTCTGGACATCTTCGAGCAGATAAGCACGAATGCGTTCGCCCGGTCGAGATATGATGGTCACCCGTGCGTTGAGATGTGGCGGGCCCACGTGCCGGCTCTTGTCAAGTACATCAGGACGCTGCATGGTGTATACGTGGAGAAGGGGTACAAGACGCACAGAGATGACGAAATGCAGGTAGAGATGGACATCGAACGACCCTTCATGCTGCTTCGCTCACTCACCAACTCACAACGGCATGCATTATTTATTACGGTCTTGTGTGCAGAGTCGTGTGGACGTCTTGCCGGACTACGAGGATGAGGATGTGCCCCAGCCCCCCTGGACAGAGACGCTCAGGGCCAACCACAGACAGGTGTGCACAGTGATGAAGCAACACGCCAATGAATGAATGAATGCATCCATCCGTGTGGGCACATGTTCCCGTCGCTGTGGGTGATTGATTGCTCCTCAGATGCTTGTGGTATGCGAACACATTGACAACCACAAGTCACCGCACGCACATCGCATCTCGCATCTTGTCTGTTCAGAACATCTGTCCATCTCACTACGCGAGCATGGGTCCTGGTTGGCCGGCTGCGGCTTGCCCCGACGACGATTTCCTCTGGCCGGAGGGCGTCAGCATGGAAGCGTACGAGCAGCGGCAGGGAGAAATCGCTCGGGAGCGGCATGAGCAGCAGCATCGGGGTGGGGGGCGGGCCGAGCCATGTGATGATAGTGCCCACCAGATGGGACAGGATGACGACTACCAAGGGGATGACGACGAGGACGGATACACAGGTATGAATGAAAGTGGTTTATATAAACCGCACCCGTTGTCTGCCCTGTGCCAGTGCAGGTGCGGCAGCGGCTGCAGCTGCTGGCGGTGGCCGACGCTCGAAGCGCTACCGATCGCAGCAGAAGCGCCGCCGCGAGAGGCAGCCGAGCGATGATGATCGCGACGAGGATGATGCCCTCAGATCGGATGATAGGTCGGCGACTTCGCAGTTAGGCGCGTCCAAGCACCATGCCATCACCTGGTGTCTTTTGTTTCATGTCCGTGTTAGTGGAGGTATGAGGGGTGCGGCCCACTCGCTTCCCACGGAACGTCAAGCGCACAGGAAAGGTCAGTCAGTCACCAGCTAAGGCAACGCATGTCTGTCCCTGTCATCGTATGCATGTCTGCAGCACTCCGCCGTGAGCGTCAAGAGCGTAAGAGGGAGGTCGACCTCGCCGACCAGTGGCTCGACGAGAACGAGTCCTTCAATCGCATCCTGGTGTCGCATCAGCTGGCCAGCCGCCAAGTGACATCGGGAGAGCGCGCGATGCTCAAAGGCTTTCTCGACCACTACGTCAAGGGGCGTCGCGCCCTCAAGATACAGATTACGGACACGCCGCCCATCATACAGCGCTTCCCTATCTGCGAGTCCATGCTCGATCGGCTCAGCGGCGCCAAGGGGACCCACTCCCTCACCCGTTTGCGTAAGCACTGCACCACACGGCAAACTAATGCGCTCAAAGGCGTCTGTGTCTTGTGTATCGTCACGTAGATTTGCTGTCGCTCCTCGATGATCACGTGGCAGCCCTGCACATCCACCTGTCGTACCAGGAGGCGCAGAAGAGCACCCAGCCCAGCAGCGAGAAGCGGGGCGGGTTGGTCCACGGTACATCAATCGACCTGACGGATGAAGATGATGCGGGCGGTGCGGGTGAGGCGGCGCCATCATTCACAGAGATCGACCGGCAGGTGGCTGACGCGTCCATTAAGATGGAGACGCCGGCAGAGGGGGCGGGGAATAGCTAGGGCAGCGCGAGGAGAGACACTAGCAAGATGGACGGGTGTCGGGGAAGACGGACGATTTTTCTGTTGTGAATTATCTATGGCTGGCACACTGTTATTGATTGCAGTGGCGACACGGCTACGCAGTGACGATTTGCAAGCAGCTGTAACGTTCATTCATGTGAGATAGATATGCCCCGTTAATCACACTCGTCTGTCGGTCACTCATTCCCCTCGCTGTCAGTGAGTAGCTCATGCAGGCTGAGGCTGGCCGCCTGAGAAGAGCCCCTTGACCTTCCGGCCGAACGACTTGATTCTGTGCAGCACGCCCTTCTTCTTCTCGACCTGCACCCATCCACGCAGGCACATAGAGAGGATGGCTCCACACGTGTCGTGTGCGTGCGGCTGACCTTGGGTAGTTCGGGCATGGCGATTGGTGGCTGCGTCTGGGCCGCACGCAGCGACCTCTGACGCTCCTGCAACACCTTCAGCTCGGCACACGGCTGCAAATCACACACAGAGAGACAGACAGCAGCTACATCATGATGCGTGTGTTTCGTGTGTGTGTGTGTGTGTGTTTCTACCTTGTCTTGTGTTTGAGGGTTGGCCAGCTCCTTTGCTGCCTGTTCGCTCTCGTTGGGGATTGTGTGCAGCAGGGCGGCTGGTGGGATGGCCTGCACAATCAACTGACCGTCACGCCCTTCGCTCACTGACACAAAGCACACAAACACACACTCTGCCATTCCTCGGTCTCTGTCTGTGTGTGTAATGGATGCCTGCTTTTAGTTGGCACGAGTGAGACGACGACGTCAGACTGTTTGGTGGCAGTGATTGGGTTTGTTGCGACGAGTGCTCGGAGGTCTTGAATGTCAGTGGCCAGGTCGGTGAGCTCTCTGTCGGCCTGTGCCCTGGCGACGGTGGCGGGCGACACCTCGCCACGCAGCTCGGCCGTGCCTCGCAAAGCCTCCACCAGCTTCTCCTTCTCCTCCACCTGCATTGCATACACGTGGTGGAAGGATCCAAGACATCGTATACACACACAGAGACGTGAAGCAAAGCAAAGCAATCAACTGTCTGTCTGTCTGTCTGTTGTGTGACCTCAGCAGCGGTCTGTGCCAGTTTTTCGTGCAGTCGTCGCTCCTTCTCGTCGTAATACTCTGCACACATCGATAACCACACACATACACACACAGAATAACCCACCAATCACACAAAGCAGGTATGCTCATTCACTCACCCTCTTCTTGTGGTGGCAGTTTGGTCTCGGCGGCAGGTGCAGTGGCGACAACAGGCACGGGCGGGGCGGGTGGGGCGCTGGGCTGCTGGGCGGGAGGGGCGAGCAGCTTCTCTACCAGACCCGGCACCAACCGATGGGAGGCACCGCACGCAGGCTGGAGACTCACGAGGAGACCAACCACCATCACCGTCACAGGCCAGCCGACACGCACAGAGGCCGTCATCATCGTCATCGTGTGGCAATCGACTGACTCAACGAGTGACCGAATCAGTGAGTAAGTGAGTGACTCGTTGATTGCTCACTGACAGTCAGTTACAGGAACGATCATTCATATGTACAATTAAAGCAATCAAACGGGGAGTCCGTTTGTCTGTCTACACATACGCATACAATCAATATAATCAATACACACGCAATACCCGCCTCACGCAGTCACCTCTCACTCTCCGGCCCCTCTTCATTGCACCCCTCCAGTCAATCCCCATTCTCTTCATCTCCATCCTCATCCTCAGTCCCATCAGCCGACGCTGGTTCGCTGTTCACGCCCTCATTCCCCGTCTCCTCAGGCGCGTCACGCGGCGCAGCGTCACGTGCATACCGCTCACCCAGATAAACCGTCCGCCGCAACAACGCAGCGCTCTCATCGCTCAGCCCCCCCGCCTTGACGTGAGTGTCGACCCACGACTCGCTCAGCGTCCTCGATGGCGCTGATGCTGCTGCTGCTGGTGGCGCCTCTGGAGGCGGGGGGCGCTGTGTGTGTGAGCTCAAATATCGGTCAGCGATGCGGCTGAGGCAGAGATGGGTGAGTGACGGGAAGGGCGGAGGGCGGGGTGGAGGGGTGACGAAGCTGCAGCCGGCGAAGTATGGATGCGACTTTATCTCGGAGAAACCTGATCGATGACAACACAGGGACCCGTCTGCACCCCTGGCTGCATCCATGCGTGTCGACAAGTCTTTACCTCCTTGCGCTCCGAGCCGTTTCGCCGGGTCGTGCACGAGCAGCTTTCGTATGAGGTCCTCAGCCTGGGGATCGAACGAGGGCGGAAACTCCAACTCCATTGCCAGCACCTGACGCAATGCATGGACGCATGCCAAGCGGCGCGCACCGACGAGTGTGTGTCTGCTGTTGTCTCTCGCACCCACCTTGCAGTAGATGAGGTACTCGCTCGCACCCGTGAACGCAGGACAGCCTGACCAACACCCACACACACAACGACAATTGCATGAATATGTGCCAGCAGGAAGGGATGCACCGTGCCTACCGGTGAGTATTTGGTAGATGGTGCATCCGAGAGACCATAGATCGCTCTCCTTGGTGGAGGCCTTGTTGTGGATGGTCTCTGGCGCCATGAAGTTGGGCGTGCCTACATAGTGCTGAAACACCTTCCTACGAGCCGTCAATACACACACAGATATGGAAAACTATGTGCATTGCATTTGTGTCAGTTCAGTCAGGCACACTTACTGTCCGCATCTGTTGCCGCTGCCCTCCAGGTCAGGCCTGTCGAGGTCTTTGGCCGTGCCGAGGTCAATGACCTTCAACACACCACCACTGCACAGCATCAGATTCTCAGCCTGCACAGAGACAATGATGCACAGGCTCCATTCATCAACGAGCCTAAGAGCAATTGAAAGGATACTGACTGACCTTGAGGTCTCGGTGCACGATGTTCCTGCCATGCAGGTACTCCACAGCACATATGAGCTGCGACAGGTAGTGCAGCGCCACCTCCTTCGAGAAACATCCCTTGTTCCGGATGACCTCCCACAGCTCACCACCACTGCACACACACACACACACACACACACACACATGCATTCTGCTGTCTGTCCGGTGTGTGTCCTTTGTCTTTTGTACGAGCAGTAGTCGGTGACCATGTACACATTCTGCGTGTCCTTGAAGGTGTAATGCAGCCGCACCACATTGGGGTGGCCCGGCTCGTTGAGCTTCAGAAGGCAGTGCTTCTCCATCAACACGTCCTGCGTCTTGTGCAGACGCTCCACACGCGCCTCCCGCAAACAAACAACCAATCAGAAGCCATTCGCAGGCCGCTATGTCAGCCTGCGTCTCGCCTGTTGGTACCTTATTGATGATCTTCATGGCGTATTCCTTGCCTGTGCCCTTCTGCGTGACGTGAAAGACCTCCGAGAAGTTCCCCTGGCCCACCAGCCGCTCCACCACGAAGTGATCACACGTCAGCTGAAGAACAACAAGCCGACAATCAATCAGCTTCATTCCACTGCATCCTCCACCTGCATGCACTCATGTGTGTGCATCCCTGAAGCCGTGTAATTGTGCTGTGCTGTCCTGTGCTGCGCTGCGCTGTGAATTGCGCTGCTGACCTTCCCGTCGGGCTGTGTTGGCGGCGCGTCGGGCAGCGGACCAGACAGGAGTCCGAGCGATGTCTTGCGAGCGCCTGCTCCATTCTTCTGGGCGAGGAAGCCCTTTTTCATTTCCGCCACAAGAGAGAGAAAGAGCGGTTTCACGGAATGTCCACAAGAGAGAGAGACGTTTGCAAGCTCGGGCCGCTGCGAGCTTTTGGTCAAAAAAGAGACGGCTTTTCCTTTGAGAGTAGCGGAGAAGACGCCTTCGAGGCCGCCTATTGAAGGGATGGCGGCATCTGGTGGCCCCACGTTGAATGGTGACGTGGCGACCATCCGCGTGGGTGGTGTGCCAGAGCACTTCAACGCGCCCTTCCACGTGGCGCACTCGAGGGGCCTCTATCGGCAGAACCACATCGACTTCCACTGGCAGGACTTCGCTGGTCAGACCATGTGCCAGATGACGACTCCAGAGATGGAGTGCTCATCTCTGCTGTGTGTGTGCGTGGATGTGTGTGCAGGTGGTACGGGTGCGATGACCAAGGCGCTGAGTGAGCGCACCATCGACGTGGCCATTTTGCTGTCGGAGGGCATCGTCGCGGACAGTGAGTCAGGCAGTCAGTCCACACATAGTGCAAATTGAGACGATCCACCAACAGACAATGCATCATGTGTGATGTGATGTGTGTGTGTGTCTTACCCTGGTGTTGTGTGTGTGTGCAGTCGCCAAGGGCAGCTCAAATCGCATCGTGGGCACCTACGTCAGGTCGCCACTCACCTGGGGCATACACACGTCCGCCAAAAACACCAACATACAGGTGAGTGCCGTGACCAACCGCCACTGTGTCCATCCATCCATCGTCTCTATCTATGTGTGTGTGCAGAGTGCGTCAGATCTGAAGGGCCTTGTGTACGGCGTGAGTCGGATGGGCAGCGGCTCCCACCTGATGGCGTATGTGGACGCCAGGAGCAGGGGCTGGGACCCGTCCCATGATCTGCAGCTCAAGGTGGTGGGGTCGCTGGACGGCGCCAGGGAGGCCATGGACAAGGGGGAGATACAGGCATTCATGTGGGAGAAATACACGGTGAGTGAGTGCACCTTGGGGGGG